GTGTGTGTGTGTGCATGAGCCCGACACAGAGCTCCATGACAGAGGAGGGTAATTGGTGTCAGGCTTAATTAGTGGTTCTGTACTCGACACTGTACAATGTTGCTGAAATAGCAACACTTTAAGACATGCACTCAGCCTCATTAACCACCGGTGTAGGGCTTTCACTGCAGAGATTTATGATGATTCAGAGTCTTTAAATCCTGCTGAACCTCCCTGTCTGCCCGGCAACATCACTCCTACTGACACTCAGGAGCATAGATTACATTTGGACTCTCAGTGAAGGTACACACAGCTGTGAATTTTCACCAAGCTAAGTCCAAACACCATCTGGGGAAGGGTTTTTAGAGACAGCTTGAGAGTAACTTTCTTTTAGCTGCTGGCAACTGAGCAAGAAATCTTTAAAAGTTTAGGACTTATTGTGTCACAGAAGCAGAGACACTAAGTACTGTTGGAGACAAAGTTTTGAAGTGTGTTGTAAAGATTTTTCATTGCTGCTGGAAAAGTTCAAATTGACACAAGAGCAATTTTCCATATTTGTTTTCTCTCTATGATATCAATACATAATGCTACAGACTATTTTACTGGTATATTGAATTCTCAACTGTTTATTTTTTTATTTATTCATTATTTTTTACGTTTGTGTCATCAAGACAAATCTCTATGCACCACAACCAAATCCCCTGACTCTGAATGGAAAAAGTTATGCTGCCATCTTGTGGCTTCAAGAGGTATATCTGCTTCTCAGGCAGAAGGAAACCTGATTTGTACTGCGCATGTGCAAAATGTACGCAATCAAAAGGCTGTTTGATTGTATTAAAGATGTACTTAACACAGATTAACAGAAATTAAAGTGACATTACTCTGTATTTCAACACATAAAGAGGAGCTGAAAACTAGACAGCAGGTCTCAAATCGCAGATTTATCATTTTTAATGTTATTGCTTTGCATTTAATGACGGAATTCAAACAAAAAATACCAGAAACAATATTGCTAAACTTGAATGAACTTTACTTATTTAAAACAGACCAGACTAACTTTAGTACAGTAAAATATGATGACAAGAAACTTTTGGTTTTTTTCTATTTGATTAAAATAAAATAATTTTAAAAAAGACAGTTTTTCCCAGAAAAAAGGAAAAAAAAAAAATCAAAAGTTCTGTCTAAATGCATTAACACTAGTCTTATATTTATGTTTACATGATCCAGTGAGTTGCTTTACATGTTTATTAGATAATAAATGAAACAGAAAAATACAGAGTTGTGTGATACATTTGATAAAATATCTAAATATAAATAATCCATTCAATAGATTAGAAAGTTAATAATATAAAATAATAATTAATAATATTAATTTAATTTTTTTTAATTAATAATAAAATAAAATACCATCAGTTAACCTGATTATTCAGCTGACCAATTAACAAAAATCTGGTACAGAACCTTTTTTCAAGAATATGTTTTATTCTGTTTCAAAAGCAGAATTTACAGGAATATCAACATTCAACAGAGCTGAAACAAGACTACACATGATAGGAGATTTAAAAAATGTCTGTAGTGATGAGTATAAATAGATGTCAGGTATGCTTCACCTTAAAAACTACAACTTCCTCTTGTTCTTTTAGTACTCTACACTGAACCGTCCCAGGAGTCGGGTCAACCACCATCTTCATGTGCCTGACTTCTTCCCTCGGCGAGGCGCTCAGCTGCTCCTGCGATGCTGTTCAGAGTCGGATTATCAGTCCACCTTTTCACTGACTGATCAGAGACTGAGAGTGAAGCTGTGAAAATAAATGGAGACTCCTCTTTAATAACTGGTTAGGTGTCTCTAGTAATTAATCCTTCACCATTTCTTTATTAATGAGTAAAAGGGGAGTCTCCATTTATCTCCACAGCTTCACTCTCAGTCTCTGATCAGTCAGTGAAAAGATATGGGGAGCGATTTGTCTCAAAACTATGCACCAATATATATCCACAATTTCCACATGTGATTATCAGATCCACAAATATGTTTCCATGATTTTCACATTTGGGTTTTTAATTATGTGTGTGCATTTATCATGACTTATCATTTGTAAATCTTCAGTTCTGCTTGTGAATTGTTGAAAAATGTGTTTGTGGATCAACTGGCATGTGCATTTATTTTTGAGACAAACATCACACAGTTTTCAAGTTATGCACACACACAAGTTGAGGATATACACATGTGTGGAGAACACCGCCTCTCATATCTGCTGGGCGGCAGTGTTGCTCCCTCTGTTGAGAGCATAGACTGTGAGGAAGATCAGTTCAAGTCCAGTCCTCGAGCCCCCCCACTGTCCTGCATGTTTTGGATGTTTCCCTGCTCCAACACACCTGATTCAAATTATCAGCTCGTTATCAAGCTCTGTAATGGCTGAATAACGAGCCAATCATTTGAATCAGGTGTGTTGAAGCAGGGAAACATCCAACAGGACAGGACAGTGGGCCTCGAGGACTGGACTTGAGAACCACTGAGGAAGATGATTGACAGCTATCCACCTTAGAAGTGAGGAGAACTTTCTCTGCTTCTATAGCAGGTAGCTGTCATCTTCTTCACAGTCTACTGTGCCTTTAACAGAGAGACAGACAGCTCTTTACACAAATGTGGTCAAATTTTACCAAAAAAACCCTCAAATTCTGATTTATTTGTTGTATTTTATGGTACAGGTGCTCACAGTTGGACTCAACATATTGGAAGAAGAGGAGGATCATCAAACAGATACTCTCAGGTGATGTCATCATCTGTGTTTTTATAGTTCATCAGTGTTTTAATTACTGTAAAATTAAATATTGTGTTGCAGATGAAACACGACTTAAAGAAAACGTAGAGCTCAAAACTTCAGGGTCATGCTTTAATGAATTTATTCATCAAAAATCACAAATCAGCTGACATTCGTGTGATTTTCTATTTCATTGGCTGCATGAAAAAAATATAAGCAGAAGTTTGATTGACTTTCCTGTTAATATTTCTGTAAATGAAATCAGTCTAAGGTTTTTTTGTCATGACTTATAAGTTATTCTTCAGCCTACAGTTTTGTAAGAACGATCGAAAACGGAGCGAATCTAAACAGATTTTTTTATTTTTCATCTCCATAATTTTATTTCCCCTCTCACAAAGAATGTGACAAAGAAATATAAGCTTTAAGTCCAAATCCAGAGTTGTGTTGTATCAGTAGATTGTGACTTATACTTTAGCTAAGCTAAATCAGTGTAAATACCTTTCAGATGATATGGGACAATGGAGCATGTTGTTATTAAACACAGATTATTTACTATTTATTTTGATAGATATTTTTGCAACCAATAATAAAAAAAAAAGAAAATGCGAACTTATTTTTGACTATAGAAGATGCAATTAATGGACGGTTGTCAACATTTCCATTAGCTAAGATTATCTGGGGTGGGGATTTTAATACAGTTATGAATGATGAAATTCCCTCCCTACAAAAAGTTAAGGAGCAATGAATGAGCTGGATAATGTATGTAACAGACTAAACTTAATTAACATACGGAAGCATAAACATCCAAGTGATAAAATGTATACATGGCGTAAATAAAGTAGTAATGTATAGTAGTAAATTGTATTAGAGAATTCTCTGATGTATCTGGGTTAACTATGAATTTAGGAAAAGCTGTATCAAAGCGAGCTTGCTGATGCTGAAGCTGTCGAACAAGTGTTGAAGTGGTCGCAAACCACTAGGGGCAAAGAACTGCTGAGCTGTCGCAAAGATGGCTAGTAGAGGAGGCAATGTATGTTTTGCACATGCGCAGTACAAATGGGGTTTTTTGGGATGGATCAGTTAGCGACAACGAGCTCTGCAGCGATTTGTCAAAACAGCAATGTTAAATCTTTATTTAAAACAGAACAAAACAGCAAAACAGCAGTCTGCAACTGCAAAGGCGTTCACTTTTTAGCCTTTTAACAAACAATGACCAGTCATCTCTGCGCAAATACCATTTATTGGACATCTTCTTAAGCTTATTTCATGGTCTTTATAGACAGGTAGCTTTACTTAGCAGTTAGTTTAAGGTTTATACTAGGGATATCCTGATCAGCTATTTTGACCCTGAGCACAGTCTTTAAATGTTCAAGATTGGCCGATACTGAGTCCTAATCTGATCCTTTGCCTGTTTGATATTTGGCTAAATAATAACCTGTAATTTATCACTTTTGCTGTGGTTTTCTACAAAAAATGAAACAATGCTATTCTCCTAACCTTTCTTCATGGAAGTTCATAATACAGTACATTAAAAAAAAAAATCGGTTAGAAAAAAATTCTTTTACAAAACTGGATTGATAAAGAAATTTTATGTTAATGGTCTTTTTGTTAATAACAGATTGCTATTTAGTTATGAATAATTTTTTCATTATAAATAATTTCCTCTAACTAGCAAAGACTTCAACTCTGTTATGGAGGCCGTTCCTGAGGGTTTAATTCATTTGACGAAAAGCTATTTACAATTCCAAGACGCACTGAGAATTAAACCTGAGCTAACTTTAAATGTAATTGAGCTAATAAACAATAAATGCAACTAAAAGTAGAAATGGAACAGCACTTTGCAGCTTCTAATGTTACCCGAACAGCAAGGCTTAACGTCGCTCTACGAGAGACTCCAGGAATTTCTAATTAAGTTTTTGCTTTCTCCAACCATCCTTATTGTCCTGTTAAAACATCCCTCATGACCCCAGTGGCCTTGAAGGAGTTTTCCATGTTGCTAAGTTTGTATCCCAGCCTTATTGATGTCTGAGCCAATCATTGGTTTAGTTGTCTGGCAAGCTCATTAATCTATTGTTTAATGACATGGTCAGCTGAATGAGAGACTCAGTGTGTCAAAGTAGGGCTGTCGTGGTATTACATTTCTTCTGCCCCCCCAAAAAATCACACCAAAAAAAAAAAATATATATATATTTTAAGGTATTAATCAGTGTCATCATGCTAAAGAATATGATCAATCGTTGAGTGAAAACAAAAAAGTCAAGCTTGAAACACACTTGAAATATTTATTTACAGTAGGAGACAGTCATATACAAATGGGTTCCTATAGTAACAGAGCTTATTGTTTGATAAACAAAAATTTACAGTACAGACCCACTGGAGGTACAGAAGTGCTCTGTTGTCTTTAGAGAGTTGAACCAAAGGAAGATGACTCATTACGTAAGAGGAGTATTTCAAATGGCTCTTTACATGTTACAGTTTACTATTTTTCCCCCCAAAACATCGATATTTTTAAATATTTACACAGAATTACAAAACTCCAAAATATTGCCTTTTGATATATCTGCAATATTACACACAAATATCATTAAAAAAACAACAACAGCAAGAGCTAAAATCTTCAAATATTTTCTCCAAGCATGGCACCAAATACAAAGTAAGACAAAATGAAAAATGAAAGAAGGTTGAGCTTTCAGGAGCTGGTGCAGATCAGGTGGAGAGCAGCCTGGATGAGGAAACGGCAGAGATGGACTGAGATTTGGCTTCTGGATTTAAACAGCAGGAAAAATAAAAAGGTCGGACAGGTCAAATGCTTCTGATTGAATGCAACAAAATGTCCAAGCTGCAGATCAAACCCTCCAGTCGTCAGTATGCATGTTCGTATATCACAACTGGAACTTTACGGGTGTTATTTACGCAATGTTTACATGCTGCTGAAGGATTATTACACCCTAGAGGAAAATACACCCAGCAAACAAGCTGAACATGTCTCTCATACGTGGCAGAATCTGTTACTTATTTGACTGATTTGTTCCCACAGCAGTCAGGGATGTCCTCTGCCCTGTGATCAAATCATTATGGTTGTAACTGCAAATAATATAAGTGCTTCAGATACTGGACCACAGTTGGGGCTAAAGGTTCAATAATGCAGTCTTGGAAGATTTGCATCCTTCCACAGCTGCATTTGAAGAACTGAGTAAATCACAGCTGCATGTCAAAGGATGCTCCGAATGTATCTTACTTTTCCCGGGCCACGGCTGAAGCTTATGGTGCATCTTTCCTCGTGATTTCAGTGCCAATTTAACCCTGATAGCAGACTCTGAAAAAGCTGAGCAATACCCTGTTAAAGAATAGCATTTGGTTTCAACTCAATGGCCAGCTGCATTCATGCTTAAAAAAAGCGCAGATGCCTTCAAACTTGAATTTATCTTTGAAAAGTTGGTGATATCGGTCGAATTATTTGTAGATAGCTGTTTGCCAGCTAGCTCATGTTGCTAGCCAATGGTAACTATATTTGACATGGGTGTAGGGGCAGGAAAAGTCAGTGATGAAAACAGGAAATCCTCAGACTACGAAGGCCAGGTCCTGCAAAAGATGCAGCCCTTGAAGTTGGTAACAGCCAATGAGTTGAACTGTTTGGCCAGTTTTTTATGGGTGAAAACAAACATACAAAAACCAACCGAATGAAACATTAAGACGTGGAGCTGCTGTGGCTGTTAAGAGGATTTTCAAAGCGAGAATATATTAATGTTGGAAGCATGGATGTGTGCCAAAATGCGCTTGGTCTGAATACTTCAATATGTCAGATTTACTGTACAGCTGTGTCTGGTTATGCACATACAACTTCTGTAATCAGAGGGTCCGTGTTTGTTACCATGACAACACCGACTCCTCCCTCCTTGGTCATGTGGTGTATGAGCTCAGAAGATGAACTCTCCAGGGACCTCCTGCAGGGCACTGAAGGGCTCCTCGAACTTGAAGCGCTTGGAGATGACCTTCTGCTTGGCAGCCAGCACCTCCTTCTCCGAGGTGGAGTTGGAGGACTGGCGGCACTGACCCACGGTGTAAGCAGCGACCACAATCAGCTCCTCTGTCACCGGACCGTCATCCTCCACCTCCTCATCAGCTGTGGTGTTGCTGCTGGAAGGTTCGGGGCTGCTCACGGAGCTGCTGGAGGAGCTGGACCCCTCATGGTCCTCAACTGGGAGGATCTCCACCCTCTTGGTTACATGGTGGCATGAGAGCTGGAGCCAGGGGTGTTTGAGACACTGCTCTGCTGTGGCCCGATCCCTGAACAATCACAGTGTGTTACTCAGCTTGCAAATTAATAAACGGTGTTCAACAGCGCATTTTTTTTTGCCCTCTTGAGACATTTTTCAGCTTTGCGTGTCAGAGAAGTGAGGTGTGAACATACTGTGGCTGTTTGCGTAGCAGCATCTGGATGAAAGGCAAGGCGGCCTGGTCCACTTGCTGCAGCTCCTCCTCGGTGTAGCTCACATTGAGCTGGGAAATGTTGAGGAAGGTTTCCTGCTTGTCCTCACCCAGGAACGGAGAGATTCCAGTCAGCATCACGTAGGCCAGAACACCAATACTCCTGTAAACACGACAAGAATGAACATTTTTAACTTTCACATCACAAAAACACTTTCTCTTTCTCTCAGCAGTATATGATATTGTATCTATGTATGAAAACCTGATTACATAAACGATCAAATATTCTTGACTTTGTGAACCTCTCAACACTCATGTTACAGCTCAAGGTCTTTTCTGATATCGCCACTAGGGGGACCCCAAAGCAAGATACTCCCCCTTGAATCTCTTTGAGAGCTGATTTTTATGCAAAATGACAGAGAAAACAGGAGTCTCTTACCACATATCTGTCGCTGTGCTGATGGGCTCATAATTTAAAATCTCAGGGGCTGAAAATACGAACACAAACACACTTAGAATTAAATACTTTATTTGTACAGAAAGATGGTAAATGTGCAGCACAGAAGTGACTCACCAACATACTCCGGGGTGCCCATAATCTCCCTGAGCTCCTGGTGGCTGCAGACCATCCTGGACAGACCAAAATCCACAATCTTGATGTCACCCAGAGGTGAGCTGCAGGTGAGCAGGATGTTCTGAGGCTGATGGGACATTACAGAGAATATGAATGAGCTGCTCTTTGTGGTCTTTTCTGTTCTCACTAAATAGACTGAATAGGAATGTTAAATACTTCTGTTTCAGCAGATTTTTATCCTGTGAACTGATGTTTATTTCGGGTTAATGGGTTTAAAGTCTATAATGATCTTTCTCTCTGTATAATTTCTTATTTTGAAATAGATGTTTACTGTAGGTTATTCAGTGTACAAGTTTAAAAGACTTACTCACATTGTATTTAACTGTTTTCACATGCACAACATGAAGTCTCAATTTACCTGACTTATCTTGAGAAAATACAAAACATGAATCATTTTCATGTGTGATGTGTACCGCCCCTGAAATTAACCCTAGGCTTTAACCACTGGAGTGAAAACTTCCCCTGGAGAGTCACAGAGCAGAAATTTATCCTCAGCTCATCTATCTCTACAAACACAGGTGAGAGATGACTGATGAACATCTCTTTGGCATTAAGAAGTGATTCTGTCCTCTTTCTTCAGCCTGGAAAGTACAGCAGACCATCTAAAGAACTGACCTCCATGGGTAACCACTGCAGGCTGTTCCTGAGATGATCATATAAGATTGTATCTTCAATAAAAATACAATTGCTATGGTCTTTGTTGTTTTTTCAAGCTGAGAAAGTTAAACATGAATCGTTTGTATCGACACATCAACATTTGACATTGAATGCAGTTTTCAACATGGTAATCTCAGCTAGTTTAAAGGGATTGTCCTCATCCTTTAAAGACCAAAAAAAAAAAAAAAAGAGCAGGACAGAAATAACTGCAAAGGTTGTGGGGGATGTAGAGCACTGAATAAAGACAGTTCTTTTTGCAGATAACACTTTACACAAATGAGTATGTCTTCAAAACTAACCAATTAACAGATTTTAACTGGACATTTGTTAACATTTTGAATCAAAAAGTTGTCTTTTTAATCAAACCTTTTTACTGTTTGTGGAAATGAAAACACAATTTCACTCTTTTACATATATATTTTATTTTTTTTACATGTAAGTAATAGACTGAAATTTCTTTCGTGCCTTTTTTGTTGATTACCTTTATTGTTGTTGTTAACATTTTGCTTTTGCTCTACACGATTTTATGATTGCTCTTGTATTGTATCGTATTTTATCATTTTGGCTTGGAAACGGACCTGGGTATTAATTTCGTAACACAGACTGTCAAAGGTGTGGGGTATGTCAAATAAAGTTCCTTGAATCCTTTTCAGGATACACACACATCAGTAGGGCTAACTATATTTATGCCCGTTTTTAATGCCTGAAACTGGTGCAATAAATGATACATTTAGTAGTGGAAAGTCAGTAGGGGTCAGTAGAGTGAGATTATTTTTCAGAGGACTCTACTTAAGTGTGTTGACATGATAAACAGGGACTGCTTTATTCACAGGGGTACCAAAATCAACACAAGTTCATCACAGGAGCTTTAAGATTGCACAGATTTTAGGTATATTAAGCATTTGAGAATAAGAGAGTTTCTTAAATCAATTTGCTCAAACATAGAGCAACACACCTTTTTTGTCCATGCAGCACTGGTTACCTTTAAAAACTGTGAATTAACTCTCAATCATGTCAACTACTTGTAGGTAATCATAAACTTAATGTTAGAAACAATAAAAGGCGTTATAATTGTGTGTCAGCAGACCTTAAGGTCGAGGTGAACTACGTTGTTCTGGTGGAGGAAGGACACGCCCTCCAAGATCTGCCTCATCAGCCTCTTCACGTCATCCTCACTGAAGGCCTCTTCCTCACGATCTGCCACACACTGGTTGAAGATCTCGCCTCCTGCAGCACTGTAGACAAACAGATACACAATCAAATTATTTCCTCTGCTTAACTTGGGGCTGGAGGTAGGCTATACAACACACAGAAATAAACACATCTATTTATAAAGTTTGTTTGTTGTGTGTTTGGAACCACAAAAGGAAACAAAAGCGCCCACACAGGAAAGTTAAACTAGAGTCTGTTCTCCAAGTTTCATCCACAAGCTCACCAAAATAATTGAGACTTGTCTGACGTCAGGCTTTTTATGGAGAATCCCATGATACACCCTTGAAATAAATCACTATCTAACCTCAGTGTGTGTGTGTGTGTGTGTGTGTGTGTGTGTGTAACTTGCTGGAGGCAGAGGCAGAAATAGCAGAGTGAACGGCAAACTAATTATGAAGTTCAGGCTGTTGGTTTTGTGTGCTGATGGATTTCTCTCGGCCTCTTGAGAGAAAACAGTGCTGTGATTATTAAACAAACAAAAAAGAATGAAAAACCCTCTGAATCAATAGAAAATACTCGAGCCACTCGCTCATTACAAAGCGCCCTTTAATTTCCTCTGACCTGAGATAAACTCTGATGGATAAACTCAATTAGACTGGGAGAACGATTGCAAAAGAAAAAGAGAGAGGGCAGTCAGGAATAGACAAGGCATCCCCTCAGGGTGCTGCTGAATTAGGCTCTATCTCACAGGAAGTGAGGGAGGAGGAAAAGGAGGAGGCGGCGGCGTGTGTTTTGATTTTTCAAGGTGAGAAGAAAAGGCCTTTTACAGCGTAAAGGTCTGACCTGGCCAAACAGCAGAGTAGCCTACTTCTCTGAGTCCGTCTGGGTACCTTAAATCTCAATCCCCATTTCTGAACTCTGAAACTCACTACATTAAAAACTCAATGTGTCAACTAACAAGAGCCCATGATCTCAATTTCAGCACAGTTCTCACTGTTATTGTTATGAAAGTTGTCTCGCATCACTTCCATCTCCCTGTGAGAGTCATTCAGCCTTAAAAGCAACTCTACATTGAAACTGTGTCCTTTAAAAACTGGACGCTGACAGTATCCCTACCTCTGCTCTTGTTGCCTAGTTATTGTTTCCCCTGCCTTGTTGTTGACAGAGTTGATATCAGAGGTCCCGCCTCTTTTTCATTCTGATTGGTAAGTGATGAAAAAGTGATCTTGACGTACAAGATGGCGTCCCGAAAGTTGAACTCTGTTTTATTGAGAGCACAGAAACAAAAGACGGCTGATACATTGAAGGAGGAAGGTGCATGGACGGTCACGCTTATGATTCATTGTAGAAAATTCTTGTCCACAAAGGCTACTGTCTAGAATTGGATAAATAATTAAAGCAGGATCCTCTTCTTGATGGAAAATATTGGCATCAACAAGCGTTAGAAAGTGGTTTGATATGTACAGAAAAAAATCAGGTCTTTAGATTGTCAACACGTGTTCTCACTAGGGCTGAAAAGTCCAAGTTGACTGGTCGACTTATTGGTAGATACGTTCTGAGTCGACCAAAATTTTGATTGGTCAACTTGATTTTTTTTCGTGTCAATTTACAGTCTATGGTTAATTTCATCAAGAGGAACGTACCAAGTACTAATGGCGATGTTTTCAGAGCCTCCCTGTTTTACAGGTCAGGCCTGTCTTATAACACCACCCTTGTTTTCACCATTTTGGATTCGCCCAACCTACTGGAGAGCGGCTGGAGACAGGAAAATTGAAGAGCGTATACTAGCGTCAATGTCCAGTGGTTTGCTGAATGTAATATATGAGTTTAATTGCCTTCTTGATATCTGTATATTTTCACTCCCCCAAGCCACATCATCCCCGGCCGCAGAAGGGTTTGCCATCAGTCAGAACCCCCAACCCCACCCCTTGATTATTCGATTTTTGGTTGAAAATTTCAGGGTTTTAGTCAACCAAGAATTTCTTTGGTTGATTACAGCCCTTGTTCTCACAAGAATTCAATTTATAAAATAAACCGCTCACCCCTAAATAATACAGTAAATCCTTAAGGAACACAGGAACTTCATTTTTAACACAAAACAGTTTTAAAGTACAGCTATAAAACAAATCAGCTACAAGCAAATTCACTAATGATTGAATTACTCTTCTTTACTGCAACTATCGCTGCTATTATGTTCATCATTCCAACCAAATTATCTGAATGCTTGTGTGTCCGGATTTGCAAGACTCGTGGGCACCATCTGACTCCCCCCTTCAAAGAAAAGTCCTTTGTAAGTCAGTAGTGAGTGTGTTGCTTAATATAAAAGGAAGAAAGGATTTTTTTTCCACTACATTGTAAATTAAAGATCTCACTCAATCACACTGCTTGTAAAAGAAAAGAAAAAGTTGATTATGAATCTGAATTCAAGGCAGCATGTCTTGTCTTATAGACATTTAATAGAATAAAGATATGCATGCATATTTGAAAAGAAATATTTATTGGTGCCTTGAATAAGGATGTGGTAGTTTATAGTTGAAAATATGAATAAACAGTAACTTGAAATAATATACAATCACTTAAAAAAAAAAAAAAAATCTCTATTAGATCCATCCAAATCTTTTCTGTTTCAAACTTCATAAATCATTAATATTATTTTCACATTTGATCAGTAGTATTTCCTTAACATTTTCCTTGGTGTCCTTGTCTTGACCACAATGTTGTTCTGAGAATATAGGGTTCAAAATGTACTGTTGTTTTGGGTTCACTTTAGTTTTCCAGGTCATGTTTACTTAAAGCGGTGTTTGTTTCACATTTTCCCGAATGTCTGGTTCGCACATGGTCATACATTAGGGTTTAAGCTGTCCATACAAACGTGTTTTGTTGTATGTAGGCCAAGAAATCACACTCTGTTGCTTTAGTGTGCGAGGAGAGGAAGTGCCAGAGGAGAGACCAATAATTGGGTCAGCACACGGATTTTGTGTGGGAAGTGATTGGTTTCTAATCTTTGCTGTTGCACACATTCATATACCTCCTGGCACAACAGGTTTTTCTGCACGTGCATGAAACTGTTGGATTGAAAGTTCATACCTGAGAGGATCAGACAGAAATTATTGCCGTCTTACAAACAAACAAAAAACTTCCTGTGTTCTGGCAGCTTAGCTCTGAAAAGTCTAAAAGATGAAAGTTTGACTGAAAGACTGCCAACAGTCGAGCTTTATACGAGTGAGAATCCAAGCAAATGTTCCCAATTGGATCAGATTAACATGAGGTGATTTTTTATCTTTTCTTCAAAGGAACTAGGTTTGGTCCAATTCCCTCTAATTTTACTCAGGGTAAGCTGAGTGTGCTTGTACAAGCTCCTTTATGTGTGTAAATATGTTTGTAGGATAGTTGAAGACTATATGTAGATGTTACTACTAGTATCAGTATTACTATCATCATAAGGATTGCCCTTTTATACTGCTTTTAATACAATATCCTGTATTGAATGTTATGGAACTGATAAACTGTTACTGATGGCAACAACTTCACAAGTTTCAGAGAAGTTATAACTCACCACAGGGCTTGACACAAACTATTTTTTTCACCTCTACTGAGCTAGTGGTTTTGCAAAGTTATAAGCCACTTAGCATTTTTGTTAATTCAATTTTTTCATTCAAATTCTGTGTGATAAATGTTGACTATGATATGTGTAAAATTTACTCAAAGCTTGAGGAAGGAACTTCAGTTTTTGTGAATTCCGGCTCCCCCCCTGTGGAATAAGCAGCCATGTTCTCATCTATATTAAGTAGCATCATCTGACCATAACCTCTTTCTGCTGACTTTTAACAGCCAAACGTTCCATTTATTAAACTTGGGGTTAGGTATCTTATTCGACCATGCCAACTGGTGTTCTCAAGACAGAATGAGTCAAAAACATGGATTAAATTATAAATTTTTTATCAGGACTTTTATCAATATCACCAGAATGGCAAAATTCATCGTGATAAATTTTTTAGTCCATATCACCCATCCCTAGTGTTGTCTACTCTTCAGTTTGTGTTAAAGAACCAGTATCAGAGAGGAATTATTTCAGTCTAATTCACAATTAGTTAAAGAAATCAGAACTACATCTTCAAGTTCCATCATGAACGTGACCAAGAAGGCTAATGGGTAAACCATCAGATACAGACACACTGAGGCACGACTCCATTGATATGATCCCAAACAGAAGCATAATGTGTTGTTGTCCTGAATCCTGTCAGAGGCTCTGAAGCCCAGTGAGGTCAGATTCACACGACTCAGAGGGCCGTCACAGCTTGATTGGCAAGCTGCTCATGTAACTAATGAAATGATTGTCATAGCAGTGCTGTGGGAATGGATCAATTCATCTTTGATCAGCCACCCATCACCGTCAACCTCTGATTGTTTATTTGCAAAAACGAAAACATGAACGTCAGCTGACCTACAAACACACTTAAAGCAATGGGAGGGGTGGGGAGGGGGTCAATACTTGCTGTCAGAAGGCCTATATATATACAAGACTGAAGAACTGGATATTCCTTCACAAGGACTCAGAGAGTGTTTGTAGAAAAATGAGAGTGAATGTGTGAACGTGATAAGACATCCTGGAAAATCAGTGCACGAGAGGAAACGACTCAACAAAAGAGAAAAGAGATACAGAGACAAATGTGCGTGACAGAGAGAGAGAGAGGGGGTAAAGTCAGAGTGAGGTCAAGTGAATGGATCTGAGCGGCCCTTCATCCTGCGCTCATGATGTATTCATGTCCAGAAAATTGGAGTTTCCCACATGTTAATGGCTCCATTGACTGCAGACAAATATAGGACCCTACAGTCTGGTATAATGAACCCATATTTGTCTAAATGCCTTAAGTATGACATCAATGTTTGTTTCTTACAGAGGCAAATTAACCCACTTTTGGGGCCCCGGGGCAAAAGGAAGCCATGGGGCCCTAAGGACCAAACCTGCACATGATCACTGGGAGACCCAGAAACTCCCCAGTTTGTATGTACTCCTCCCCATATTTATTTCCTTTAACACAGATAACCAATAAGCCAATCATACGGCAGTAGCTCAATACATTGAGACATATGGACGTGTTCAAGATGACTTCCTGAAACTCAAACTGAGCATCAGAATGGAGAAGAAAGGGAATTTACGGGACTTTGAATGTGACATTGTTGTCAGTGCCAGAGAGTATTTCAGAAACTGCTGATCTCCGGGGATTTTAACTCACAACCATCTCTTGGGTTTACAGAGAATGGTCTGAAAAAGAGGAGATATCCAGTGTGGATGAAAATACTTTATTGGTGTTAGAGGTCAGAGGAGAATGAGGAGACTGGATAAAGATGATAGAAAGGCAACAGTAAGTCAAATGACCACACGTTACGAACAAGGTATGCAGAATACATCTCTGAACACACAACACATTGAACCTTTGAAGCAGATGGACTACAGCAGAAGAAAAACACACTGGGTCTCACTCCTGTCAGCCAAAAACAGGAAACTGAGCCTACAGTTCACACAGGCTCATCAAAACTGGACAATAGAAAACTGGAAAACGTTGTCTGGTCTGATAAGTCTGGATTTCAGCTCTGACATTCAGGTGGTAGGGTCAGAGTAGGGCCGGATGATAAACCGAAAATTTACCAATACCAAAATTTACAACAATAACCAATGGAGATGAAGGATGGTTCAAAAGTTATAGCAGCTGGAGTGGCAGCTGAAGTTGATGAAGTTAATGTGGGAGGAGGTGAGCAGCTTGTGGACTAGTATCGTCCATTTATCGTTATCGAGGTGAACTGCTCAATATATCGTGATATTGATTTGAGGCCATATCGCCAAGCCCTATTTTAGAGTTGGGCGTAAACAACATAAAAGCATGGATCCATCCTGCCTTGAATCAATGATTCAGTGTGGTAGGTATTTTCTTGGCGCACTTTGGGTCCCTTAGTACCAACTTAGCATCGTTCAAACCCCACAGCCTACTAGGGTTTTGTTACTGACCATGTTCATCCCTTTATGACCACAGTGTACCCATTTTCTGATGGATTCTTCCAGCAGGATAGCCTGGTACTAGCAAGGTGTACCTAATTAAGTTTTAAGTGTAGTTCCCTTTGCTAAACACAAGTAAACCTGCTAAAAATCGAACCTTTCAAATCATGTTGCTCATTTGCAAACAGCAGAAGCGCAACAGACACAGAAAAACATCCAGATTGATACAATGATGTATGTCACGTTCAGGCCCTGTTGTGTGCATACATATTGTTTTTAAATGAGACCCCAGGTCTTTAAGGAAAGTATCGGACTTCTTTAAAGTGAAATTATGAATTTGTTTTGTTCAGTCACACCCTTTGCAGTTACAGTTTCCAATTTGTTGGTGTGAATATACGGTCGATCAGAAGCATCAGGCTTTTTCTATGGTTTTTTTCCCCATGTATGACTTTCTCTCTCTGGGCGAGCTGCCATGCTTTGGCTGGTCACGTGCACTCGTGCTGCTCAACTGACATAATGAACTCTCGGCTGGAGCTCAGCCAGCATTGAGGCCATGGAGTGCACTACTGCTCTCTTTTATTCTTTCTGGACACCTTCATCTCTTTGTTTTACCGCTCCCTCCATCACCCTCTCACCCACCCTGTACACCATTCCTGCTTCTTTCTATACTTTTGCCATCTAACTCTCTTCTTCTATGTCTTCCTTTGTGTCCCAGAGAAAAAAAAAGCTTTGGCCCCTTCGCCTGTTGTCCCCCCCTCTTCCCACCAGAGCATAAATAGCTTTCTATGTCAAGCTGACCCTCATTCGAAGACCCTCATCTATCCCTCAATCCTCTACCACCGCCACTTGCCCCACTGCTCGAAATATCCCTCAGCTGTCCGACAAACAAAAAAACCAAGAGCAAGAATAAAGGACAAGAGTATGCCGTCAACATCTCCAATCATCCCAGAAAGAATAAAAGCCTTCTGCTCTACTTCCTCTTGATATGAAGCAGCTCAAAGAAAAGATACAAGAGAGGATGGGGGTTGAAAGGATGCTGACATGAGCTCTGGCAGCCACTGGGTTATAATCCTAATTGGAAGCTCATCCCTTCATTCATTACATATCTTTGACAGGAAAATCTTTTTTTTTCTGAGATGAGATTCAATTTTAATCCCAAATTAGGGCTTTTGAATGATTTTTTTAAGCATGAAAAATATCTGAACTTAACAGTTGAAGGGATAGACCAAGATAATTTCCATGAAGTAATAATCACCATATTAATCATTTTGCACTGCAGACGCAGTAGTTCTTCTGCCTTAGCGTCTCGGTCTGATTGCATTTTCATCATAAATGTTCTTCCTTGAGCTACAAAACTCCGCTGCACTCAGGCGCACTGGAGGAGAGTGGGTGAGTTGTGTTTAGTCTCTTTGCTAAAGAAACTAGACAAAGTTAAAAAGATGTTTGGTGGCTAGTCCTATGGCTGGGACCCTATATGTACAGTTGATAAAGTTAGGTGCTGTTCTGAGCATTATTTGTGGCTATGGAGTGGCTTTTTGGTTGAGGTTTGTGCGTGAAGACGTAGACCGCTGTGTATTGCTATTGTGCGGTCGTAGCTGAAGTTGGTATAACTAGAGAAGCAAGCAGTCTGCAATGTTCATCTCTCGAGGGGGTGTCTAACTCAGTGTCAAGGTATGTTTGACCATAACTTAAATTTACACCAGAATATCCCTTTAAATGCAATTGTGCAAAGTTGTCTTTCTTATGAAAATTATTTAGCATTTTATCAGTTTAAAAGTATTTAGTAATAAAGTAAAGCAACTCTTCCTTGGGGATCAGTTTGGTACAGTGAAATGTTCTTTCAAATCCAATCAAACTTTTATTATTTAAGCAAAGGCAACACTGCTGCATTGGTGACAGTGAGAATGACTGGTTACAGCATAATACACCATACACCAAAATCTTGAGCCATAGTGTGACCTGACCAGATTTTATCTTTTTAGTAAGTGCTGAGTTAGTTTGTGGCGGTTTGCACACTCTAAAATATTGACATTAGTTTGATACATACTTAGCTTGAAATTGTCAGTTAATACTTCTTTGATATATTTCTACATCATGTGCTTTAAAATGATACAATATTTTTTAATTAAAAAAAAAAAAAAAATAGAATTAAAAAATGCTAAAGGCAGTGAAACAAACAGAGCCACACTCATATTTTCAACCAGATTCTGTTGCAAGCAAATGAGGCGAGAGAGCTAGTGGTAAACAACTGGGAGCCCTGTTTCTGGGCTACAGCACCATGAATGCCAAAAGATCAATCATTGCTCTCTTTGCTCTCTATGTGGAAATGCTGAGATAAACTTATTTCTTTGAGCTGAAAAACAATGCCAAGGAACAAAAGACAAGCCTTCAAGTTTATGATCTACAAACCCTAATTCTAATGAAGTAGGGACGTTGTTTAAAACATTAATGAAAACAAAATACAGTAGTCTGCAAATTGTTTTCAACCTAATTGAATACACTGCAGAAACAAGCTAATGTTTAAACTGACAAACTTCATTAGTTTATAGCAAATATTTACTAGTTTTGAATTTGATGTCTGCAATGTGTTACAAAAAATTTGGAAGACTGGTATGATATAAAAATTCTGATAGCATGACAACCCCATCTTGTACTTAAAATATGTCAGTGATATCTTAATTTAGCTTGACAAAAAGTGTATAATACTTCTTTATCTAGTTATATGGGAGGTTTTTTTTCAAGTGAAATAAACACATTCAATAGCACAGAGTTGTTTCTATCACTGTAGCAACAGGAGAAGGAGGATGCTGCAGCAGCTCAACAACAGTGTCCTAAAAGGAACAAAATAGCAAGATATATGTGCAGGTAATCGCAAATGGACCAACTTTTTAATTTAGATGTACTTAATTATGCACCTGTAAAGACTCATTTCTGTTTACTGAATTATGAATTCTATGTTTGAATTGCACTCATATGAGCCAGCTAACGCTGTGTCCAGGAAAAGGGGCGCTATCTTCATTCAGGGCAGCCGTTAATTCTGGGATTATCCTTTTTTCAACAAAGGGCTGGGATTGGGATTATGGACTGAGGTGGGGGAGGATTTGGCTGACTGGAGCATTTAAAGGGGCATTAATGGGATCTCCTTAACAGGCAGATTGGACTGCATAGCATGTGCTGCTGACAGCATATAATCCTGTAAAAGACTGCAACCCTAACAATACCACCATCTTCTCTGCTCCAGCCCTGTCTGGCTCTAAACACTCAGTGAACGCAGAGAAGCAGGAAACAAGTTTGATGTTTCAAGAGAGGGACCATTTAATTTTAAGAGCTTTTCATAGACAGTCTTCACCAATGATGGATCAGACCTCTGCACCATTGCAGCCTCTGTCCTTAAAGACTACTGTTACTCTACTGATGGAAGGGGTGAACAGGGTAGCATAGAATGTCAATTAGGGATGCACTGAAATGAAAATTCTTGGCCAGGGCTCGACAGTGCGACCATTTCACTCACATTTGTAACTAAAAATAGATGTGTGCGAATTGTAAAATGTATTTAGGGGCAGTTAGTTTTAAGGTCCTTTCACACCGGGACCGTTTTTTACGTGTGATTATTTCGGACGTCAATATTTTTTTTCGAACCCGTATCCTGTCAATACAAGCGTTCACATCAGCTATGTTTTCCCGTCCTGCGATCTTGCCGCATTTATTTTTTCATATCATGGTCGATTTTCGAAAGTTTCGCATACTGTGTGTCCACTTCTGACCAATCAGACTGCGTGTTGTTGCGACGTCTGATTCACCGGTATATCCAACATGGCTGACCGGCTGATTGTTTACGTGACGGAGAACAGAGAGCTTTTTGATAAAAGACACAAACATTACAAGGATAAGGATCTGAAGGACAATTTGTGGAGAGTCATAGCGTCGGATTTCTAATATGACGATGGTTTGTGTGCTTTAACAGTTTGCTAAACGCCTTTGTTTTAACTTTCATCTGTGCTAACATAAGCTAAAGGTTGTTGCGATAGTTTCATGTGCTTAACTTATCACCTGATTGGCTATAAGTGCTGACCGTTTGGCTTGAGCGTATGATGACGTTTCCAGCTTTTCTAGCCAATCAGAGGCAAAGGAGGCAGGACTTTCCCCGGGAAAAGTCTTCCCTGCGATGTGTCTTTTCCCCCAGAAAGTCGCAAAATCGCATCAGGCTTGATGTGTATAGTCAGGCGCGTCAAAATTCGCCTCCCAATATTTCGTAATTTTGCGTTCGATATTAGCGTCGGCCCCAGTGTGTAAGAGCGTGTCTTATCGGCCGATCTTAGTACTATTATTTGAAACCAATTTAAGGTCAATTGGTCGCATGACATGGAAGCTATTGAAGGAAAACAGCTTTTTTTGAGAACACCAACCGGTAATTTATTGATGATCCCTTATTCAACACCCGGTGTTGACAGCGAGGGTGCCGAGTAGATTTAACTGCGCCGCTGTTGCTATGGAGAGTGAGAAGACACCAGTAGATCAGCAGTGCATGTCCGTCATATATCCAACATAAAACTAACTTTGTTGCGGTATTTACATGAAGAAACATTTGTTGCCTCGGCTGATTTATTTTATGTGCACATGTGTCCCTAAACACATTTTACAATTTGCACACATGTATTTTTAGTCGCAAATGCATGTGAAACGGTCGCACTGTCGAGCCCTGGTACTTATGTCGACCAATAAGACACACATTATTTGATCAATTTTCATTGTGCCCCTAAAGTTCTTTGTGTGCTCCTTACTTATTCAACTTAGGAGCACATGTACCTCTTGTTAAAACAGTTAATTGGCTAAACCAAAAACCAAAAATGAGGAAACCAAGGCCAAAAACCAAAACACTAAATATATATATATATTATTTATGTTGATTAGTGGCTATTGGGAGTGTGCGGTCACTTCACGGCATTCATGAACTATGATGAACTTACACATGAGTCTACAAACTCACAAAGGGATTTTAGCAGTGTTCATGAATCTGTAGTAGCTTTAGTCGTACCAAAGTTTACACATAAATCTACATAAATTTACTAACATTTAATAAAAGAGGCCTAATGTCTTGTGAGTTTGTTTGGGATAACATGGAAATTTACACTCGAAGTTGGTACGGTTCCATGGCCTAATTTACTGGTCATGGATACTATTTAGCACGTGTGAACAGGTGTACAATGTCTTGGATTAACCTGTCCCTCAGTCCATTCAGCTCATAATCCAGCAGATCTCCAGTATGACAATTTAGTATCGATGTCACCACCTTGAATATGATCTGCTGATCTGTTAGAGGCTGTTGGAGGTTAAAAACAAGAACTTTAAGACTTTGAGCTGAGTGTGTGTGTGTACAAGTGTGTGTATAAGTGTGTGTGTGTGTAAATAATTGGGGCTCCAGGAGTTGCTATGGTGAGGGATGTCGGCAAAATCTAATATGGCATGTGAGAGAGAGAGTGAGATCCCAAGTACACACACACACACACACACACACACACACACACACACACACTATGGGAACCAGGTCAAGCACGGCCCGGGAATGACCAGTGAGATGAGATCATCGACAACTGGTGCAGCCTCTGTAGTCAACACCATCCATGCATGTTAAGTGTGCACGTGTGCATGTGTGTGTGCATGTGTGTGTGAATCCCACATACTTGGTCAAACGTTCACAGTCGGTTGTTATTTGCTGTTACTGGTGGATTGAACATGTCAAACTGCTGTCTGTCTGAATGACATCTCCCTCACCTCTTCACTGCTATAATCCTGGGACACAGGAAACCCAATCCGGCCCTGACTTACTACAACACTGAGTGTGTGTATACAAAAGGACACAGGCAGCCCTCATTGCTGGAATAGCTGGTGTTTGCTGGAGCATTAAAGTTTGGCCTGAAGCTTTGCAGGATTTCAAAGTTCCAGTTATAGTGCCTGTTGCCTTCTCACGACGTGGAGTACATCACACATTTTATATCCTGTGGGTTTGTTCTATTTAGTCACAGGTAAACCAAATTTAAGAGTACCATCCTGACCAATATTCAAACTAGCATAATAACTCTATAGGAGGGCTTTGACTCCCATATAAACAAATTTCAATGACAGACTTTCCCACCTGTGTAACACTGCATAAACAGTCATGTGTTAATCATAGGTTTGATTATTGCAATTTTCTACTCTAAAAATGCTCTAATAACTTTTAGAAGTACATGCAGTCCTAAAAACTCTAAAATAGCATTTCCTGCCTCCCAGTCCAGTTTAGGTCCAGGGGACATACTTTATCTCATTTTACAATGAAGCCTAATTTATGATTCTGCACCAGATTTATGCAGCCATACATGAAGACTGAAAAAAACATTTCAAGATATCCAATAAGATAATAAAAAATTGGTATCTTTGTGTAGATATTGTGCAGAATTGATACTCACTACTCCAACACCAGCACCATCTCAGAGGCCATTTCATAGACCTGGTGGAGGTTGACCACACGGGGGCTGGCTGTAGCCAACTCAAGCACAGCAATCTCATGGATGATCTCCATCCGGCAGTCTTGGCCTTTCCGTCTTTTCCTCATGAACTTTGCTGCGTACTCATTGCCTGTGCATTTCTCCACACACTTTCTGACCACAGCAAATTTCCCCCTGGAGGACGAGAAAATCAAAACACTGTTAACACAATGAAAGAAAGAACATGTCTGACAAAACAAAGTTTACCAAAGATGATCATCACTGTAGGATTGTATTTATGCCAAATGTTAACACGTTGAAAACAGGACTATGACACAAATGCTGATAACAAAGAGTAGAAAAAGTCTAAATCAACGAATGGATCAACTTTTTTCCTTTGAATTATTTTTTATGGACTTTGCCTTGATTGAAAGGACAGCTCAAGAGTGACAGGAAATGTGGGGACAGAAGGAAATAAAATACGACAAATTGTGCCGGGATCAAGGATCAACCCTGCAACTACTGCAACAAGGACTGCAACCTCCATACATGGGGCTTGTGCAGAAACCAGCAACTCCATGAATGGAAAAGCTACTTTACACATCCAGTAACCCACTTAATCAAAAGTCAGTTAGAATTTTTTTCTGCAAGACTATCAAAGAATCAGCACATATCCTATGGGGACCACAAACACTTGAAAAACAGTCAAAAGTCAAATTATTTCTTTAGGTATTCCAGTCTTGTAAAAACTCAAGTCCACTGCTAACAGAGCTGAGGAAAGAAAAACAATGCAGGGCTTCAATGCAACCTTCTTGGCAGCATATGCCCCTGTAGTTTCATCCTTGTAAAATAGTTTTTGGTGCATTTGTGCTAGTGTAAATGATTATTGTGGTGCAACCATAGACTGTATATACTATGGACAACTTGGTTCCGCCTTCCGTCACTACACGAACTTGAAGCTGAATTGCTCTTGGTATTTCCAGGATTTTCTCCACTTCCTGGAACCACCACTTGCGCAGTAGCATTGTACGCATTTGGCGGGGGAGTAACCGAGCGTCCCTGTGATGGCACTGGGCTCAAACAGCGTATCCCCCAGGTGAGCTACGCAATCTTTGTACACCCATATGCTGTATCAAGTGTCAATCATAGAAAACATGAACCCCCTAATAAATTTAAAAAAGGAGCTGCACTGAAAAAAGAGGACTTGAGCACAAACCAGTCTTACAATAACTACATGTCAACATTGCAACCAGGGGGGAGAAAATTTATATTCTGTGTAATAAATTTCTAAAGTTTGTCCACAGCCCCATAGGGATTGCTGGAGGAGGCCGGATTTATGACCTATACTGCAGCCTGTCAACAGAGGGTGCTGTTCTCAAGGTGGTTTCATGTTACACAGCACTAAAGGGTGTAGCAGGTATTACTAATCAACCACTGTTCCTTTAACCAATCAGAAGTCAGCTTGACACTCTTAACTTTCTAGGTATTAGAGAAATAGTTCACCTTTAGCTGCATTTTGTTGAGATGTTAGTGTGTTTACTAGTGCTGATATCCCATCGCTGAATGGGATTTTTTCATTCAGGTTTTTTCCCCACTTACTCAGCTGCTCTGAATGAATAATGAGACTACATAACAGTAAAAGCATGACAAAGGTAAACAGCATGGAGGATTTAAGTTTGCTGTTCAAGATTTGGAACTTCCTTGATTGTTGTTCCAGCAAGTCAAAAACAAGCTCATTAAAGGCTATTGTCAAAGTCAGACGGAAAGCTGCTTAAATAAAGGAAAGCTGCTGCTGGCACCAGAAGTTTCCAGCTATCAAAACAGCAGCTGATCCTACGTTTATTTGGACACACAGCTTTACACATAGTTTATTCAGAGTAATGCTGGGTTTCAGAACCACCTAAGAATACTTTGTGGAGTTTGCTTTGGACGTTGTTTCCCATTTCTTTCTTTCACAAGAATCTGGCCTGACCCAGTTCTATTTTTGGCTATAAATGTACCCGTGCGAGGACCGCAGCGTTGTGTGAGCACGCTGCCCTGGGGAAATCCTGTGAAATGTGGCTGGTGATGGAGATGACAGGCTCACATCGTGCCTTCCCTCTGGCTAGTGTTGGCAGTCAATGCTCCAATAATCAGCGGTGTGATCCTGGCTGAATGTGACCGATCCACTGCCAAGATTCAATCACAGTGACACGCCAAAACTGCTCTCCCTGGTTTCTTTAATGTGGCTTGACGTTTTGATGGATGGGAGTATTAGAGTTATCTTCCTCTTTCTCTTAGAGCCAAACAAGTTTCTGGAATCACAAATTTGCTATCAATACAACCTACTCTAAACTCACCCTAAATATTACGAGCAGGTTAAAAACTAGCTTATCAATAATGGATGTATTCTTTTCTAAATCTAGGCAGCGACAAAAAGTGGTGGTAAGTTTCAACAAATATTAGCATGTTAAGCTTGTCAGACATCCAGGGAATTGAATGTAGAACAGCACAGCAGGCAGCACGGTAGGAGTATGCTGGATAAAAAGTGAATGACCCATTTGGATTTTATTGGTTTCTGTGTGACGCTGCTGGCTACTGCATGCTATCTCATCACAGAACAAGTGAAGAGAATACAACATAACAGTCACCACAGAACACTTTGTTATAATATTTGAGTGGGACAAACAGTAATTTTCCAAATGATTTATTGATAACAATGCCAAGTTTTATCCCCTTGGTTGGTCTGATGAGACTGGAAAAACCTAACTCCTGACTGGATCTTTACAGATCAGCGGATCACAGATACAGCTTCTGACTGGTGGGAAAACCAAAACAAAGATGGCAGCCTTTATCAAGCACAGTCAGCTCACAACAGAAATGACACTGTTACATAAAGTTAATCCATAGATCATGACAGATTACCTTTGCCTTTGAGAAACTGGATCTAAACAGCCTCTGGAAATATACCTGCATCTTTTTGTTTTTAAAACTTATATCATTGTTTTGCCAGGAATGCCGAACCACACTGAAGGCATCAATAAGAAAGCTATTAAGCATAAAGGATAATGATGTCAACTGACTGAACCAGTTGGAACAAGTTGTTAATGTCTTTCCATAAAAATGATTGACCTACAGACAGCAGCACTGTTAATACACTGAGGTGCAAATGTGGGACAGCTTCTCAGACCTGCTGTTCTAACTCCGATTACTGGAAATTAGGGCTAGGCAATATGGCCTCAAATCAATATCACAATAAATTGAGCAGGTCACCTCAATAACGATAAAAATGGACGATAACTACTCCACAAGCTGCTCACCTCCTCCCACATTAACTTTGACTTCAGTCGCCGCTCCAACTTTTGAACCGTCCTCCATCTCCTCACCTTTCTTTCCCTCTTTGTTACGGACTGGATGGGGTGGAGTCATGTCTCCGACATAGGACAGTGTCTTAAAGGGACATGAGACCATAGACCTACCTACACACAGCCAAAACCAACTTTTATTTATTTATTTTGACACTGAATATATATTGACATGGACAAAATGACGTTGGTTACTGTTGTAAATTTCGGTATTGGTAAATTTTCGGCTTATCGCCCAGCCCTACTGGAAATCTTCCTTTTCTATCCGTATCAGTCATTTATAAACTCTTGATTTAATACTTACACCTGAATTAGCTAAAACTTTATTTCAAGGTTCAGAACTCATTATCAAAGTACTTATTCTAGCAGTAGCCTTTATATATTCAGGGATAACTTGAGGTGTAAATAGATGTGATTTGGGGAAAAATGCTTTAGTGTCTAGTTGAAGCTCTTGTGAAGGCCCTCTAAACTATTACAAAGTGGAGTTTAGCAATCATTGACTGTTTAAGGGGCACTAAAAACCTGAACCCCCTTCATTGCTTGCACATTAATGGATCATTTTACAGTGAAAGTGTGGTCAAACACACCAGAGCATTTGAGCTGAATGTGTGTAGCTGACACACAATGGATGGGACTGTGTGGGAGTCATAAAAGACCTAAAATAGAGTGTAGGCCATGATGAGCAGCACTGGACTAGAATAACTAGACTGACTGGCTTCATCCTCATGTGAGAGTCATGAGGAGGATGACTCTGTAAGCAACAATTTTTAACATCATAGAGGAAGCTTATTATATTTTTAATTACTGATGCAGCTGGTCAGTGCAGCTTCAAGACAAATCAACAAATCCCTGATTGTTACACTCTTTAGATATTGCACTGAAAATTTCTTTGTCAACAGCTGTTTTGAAATACTACATACTACATCGACTTAAAAGCTGAAATATCCAAATCTTCCTTCCCCATTAAATTTATGTCAGTTTTTGCAGTTTAACATATGTATGTACACACACACACACACACATATATATATCCTTGTTAATCAAAACCAACATCTCTTTAAAACCTTGACTTCAGTTTTAATCTGCAGTTATTCAATTAAACCACGCTTGACTTGTCTTTGATCAGGCATTGAAGCTTTTACAGTGATAGCTTTGCTCACACGGACAATGCACACAAACATTTGCATACATATACAACATGAATGTTTACATCATGTGTCATATGACAGTGACAGCACTGACACCTGTGACCTTAGACCTTCCCTTCAATCTCATTAGCCATGTAAATACCTTTCCCTTCACCTTTAACACACTTACTGACACTGTCAGAAACTATCAGATGTACAGGCATGAAATGGTAAAGCATGTGCATGTATGCACCATCAGACATAATGACACAGTGCAGTGTTGCAGATGGACTGATGTAAATTTTGACTGATGTTTGGTGCTGATATTCACGCGTTTTTGTGTTCATTAGCACCAACAAGTGAGCACAGTTTGCATGGAAACTGACCCACTGAAACTGTGCTTGGTTTTGACACTGCAGCCAAACTGTACAAACTTAAGAAGTCCAAGGTGACAGCATGAGTCATTCAGTGTTTAAAACAGTCATGCTTTAAAAATGACTGTCCATACTGGCATGCATTTCCTCAACGATAAGGTTTCCATTGCTCCTGCCCTGTAGGACTTACTAATGGTGAAGATAGTTAATCATAACCAACTGTTTAAAATGCACTTCAATCAAAATGGGTCAAATTCCAAGTGTGCTGACTGTTTAGCTGTGACTTATTTTAACTGAGTGATACAACAGTTGTATCAGGAGAGTATAAAAAGAATAATAAGATAATAAGTGACTTTTTTTTGGAAAAATGTAACATTAGGTGATTTGGATAAGTCTATTTAGGGCTGTCACAATGAACCCTGATAGATGATGACCACCTTTAAAATAAGTTTTATAGCAAAAAGCAATACCATTTTACTAATTTGCTAATAGTGGGGGCAGTAGAGGTACAGCATGGGGGGGCAGGAGATAGTTAAGCACTTTTAACAGGGATTTTCCAAGATTAACTGTTCTTTTAGCTGTAACTGTTGATCTACTGGAGTAGAGTTGACTTAATTACAAATTAAAATTATATTTTAAAAATGCGGGAAATGAATGGATCTCTATGTCTAGACAGTTAAAATGAAAAATCACAAAAATGTTCTGTAAGGCAATCTCCTCTCTGCAAAAACTTCTGTCACAGGGACAATAGTTAACCTTAATTTTTTTTTTTTTCTTTTTTGTTTTGTTTTGAGGTAACCCAATTTGCACAAAGGGGTTTGGAAGAATGGCCAGTTATAAATAGTTTTACCGTACATCCATAAATCTAAGTTAGTGTAGTTGAAAGCCCCCTGTGACCAGTATGTTTAGGTCTGGGTGTGGACTTGTTGGGAACAGCAGATAGAAGCTGTTTGGTTTGGGAGTCTGGGCCTGCTCTTTAGAAACCATACTGGGCCACCACAGCCTTTTCTAAAGCCGTGTCAGCACATTACCAAAGCCAGCAGCCTCATTCACAGACTACACCCTGAAAGAGATGGCTTTTGTGCCGTTGTGTGTTTGCATGTTAGTGTGTGTGTGTGTAGTCACACAGTCCACGCCAGAGGTGATGGCACGGTTACAGAAACTTTAAAGGAGCAGTAAAATGGATGCTGTGTTTGGCTTTAGGAGGTCACAGACTGTAAAGCTCAGCTAAAGCAGGGAGCTTTGAGGTGCTCTGTACCAGCTGTGCACAGGTTCACCGCAGCCTAGTTACAGTGGTATGTTCACTCAGTAAAGATTACATTCAAAAACAGCATGCATTAATAAATTCAACTGTCAATTACAGCTGGATTATTTTTACATAGTCTGACGATATTTTACAATCTAGCTATGCAGAATTATGATCATGCTCTTTTGTTTTTAACTAATATTTTTCAAAGCACTCAGTCACATGAGGTGTCTATCATATAGTTTGGCTTCTGGAAACTCTTAAACTGCATCTTTAATGGACAAACTCAGTTTCCCACGGGTTAGAAAGGTGCATCAGCCTTAAACAAAAGAGAACCTATTGGTACTTGAGGGGATGTCAGTAGATCTCTGTCTCTGCTCATGTGGACAGGGGAGGCTGTTTGCAGTCTCATGGCTGGTCTCTGTTCGAGGCTGCCAGGCAGCCCTGGGTGCATTTAATGAAATAAAGATTTTCACTGGCCCAGGGCCAAACACTTCCACCAGCATCAATGGATTCCCCACGTGCACACCAGGGTTGGCTCCAAGCCACAGGCTCAAAGCTGGGGTAACCTAAAACTGACACGCAGTTCTGATAGAAAGAAATCGAAGAACTGGTGACCCTGTTTTCCAAAATTCAACCGGCTTTTAACAAGAGAAAGTCAATCAGCAAGCAACTCATATAATCTAGGTTATATTGGATTCTACCACTGCATACAATGTCTGATAAGTAAACAGAGAATTGTTTTATATGAAGACTTACTGGCAGCTATATTCTAAACAAAACTCCAAAGGAATTGTCAATATCACAGATAATGATGATCGACAAGGTGCCTGGTCAAAGTTAACAAATGATGTTAATATAAAAAACAAACAAACAAACATAGATGTCATGAAGGCATCATAATTACAGCCAACTCTAACTAACTTGCTCCAGCACAAAACATATCTGATACGATCCCTGGAATCCCCAATAGTTATATTTTCAGAATCCAACAACAACAAAACCAGTTATTAGAAAAATCAGCCAGAAAAGTCATTGGGTAACCACAGCTCCTGTATACGTCAGTGGACTCCTAGTGTTAAATCCTAACTCCGGGACAAGGCTAAAGAGCTCTGACCAGGAACATATGGACCAATAAGAGAGTGGCCATTCCTGTCACTAAGACCCCTCATGAAAAAAGCTTTTGGTCTTAACCATATGGAATTCAGTGACTGTTGCACCATTGTCGTAGTCACTAAAGGAGCTTGGCTTGGAGCCATCTGGGACTCCCACTGCAGAAATGCATTGAAGGGTATTAGTTTAAACTCCCTATCCTCAGTCTATCTGGAACCCCATATGTGAAAAGTAGATGGTTGGTGATCAGTTTCTGAAACCCACCTGAACAAACCCTGCTGCAGTAAACGCATCAATACAGCAGTAGTCCAGCCACAACCACATCTAAATTAGTGGCATTTATTTATTTTTATTGTATATTTCTTCACATATTTTTTGAAATGTTGCTCTGGAAGTCTGATAAACAAAAGGATCCTGACAGTCCGTAAATGTTTCATTACTTCTCAATGGATCAGAGGCCAAACAAACTGTGACTCCTTAGTCAAAAGTTAAAGTGTGTCTACCAGACTTGATGGAGATGGAAGAATATCTGTGAGTATGTGTAAATTAGTGTATAATCACCCTGATATGAAGATAGTTTTGTTTTTGTTAACTTATAATGAGCCCTTCACATCTACATTAGAGGCAGGTCCTCTTCTACCATTTTTCTACAGTAACTCACGCCAGACAAACCACAATACTTAGCATTTTTTAAACAAGGGTTTTCACGATCCAAAGTCTATTCAGTCAAAAAAGGGTCGGTTTCATCCCATCAGTGGTTTAAAACCAGGTATCAGGTTGGACAACAATATCCCTGACAAAAAGTTAAAGGAAACTGGCATGTGTGATCTTGGTTAATAAATGTCCCCTGTGTGAAGATAATGAAGAGCAAATTCTGTTTGGTTACTTGATGACAAAACATGGATAACAGAAGAAATGTTTCCATCTAACCTTGCTGTTTGAGAATAAGGTGAAGAGGAGCGGTAATTAATGACATTAAACAGCGGAGTTTAGTAAGGGCTTAAGTCCTCCTAATCTAATTAATCACAATGCTTTCCATGTTACGTGCACAGCAACATGTTGTAAACTGGCCTTGTTCCTCTTGTTCTGTGTTTCATTCATTAATTTGCAGCTTTACGCAATTGTAAACATGGGTTTTTGTGTTATTATGTGCTTAGAGAGTATATTCAGTGTGCAGCAGTTGTGTAGACGAAAATGCTTTGTCAATGTTAGAGGTCAGAGGAGAACTGCGGACATAGACGGGCTCAACAAAGATGGACAAAAGAAGATTGAGAAAATGTCGCCTCGTCTGATGAGTCTGAATTTCAGCTGCAATACAAAAGCATGGATTCATCCTGCCTTGTATTAAGAAATAGACTGTATATAGCATGGACAATATGTCTCCGCCTCCCATCACTGTTGAAGCAAAAAAGCCCTAGATGAATTTTCTCCATTTCCTGAAACCGGCATTTGTGAAGTAGCGTTTAGTGGGAGAACGTTGTGACTATGCACTGCTTAAACAGCGTACCCTCTCAGATGATCTACGCAATCTTCATAGCCCATAGGCTGTATTTAAGTGTCAATCATAAAAAATATGACATCATATCCCATTTTTATAACAGCCAATAACTTTTAAGATGGAGCTACACAAAAAAAGGACTTGAGCACAAACCAGTCTAACAGTAATTACATGCCAACATCACAACCAGGGGCCAAAAAAAAAAAGAAAATTGTATTTAATTTTCAAAGTTTGACCACAGTGCCATTCATTTTGCTGGAGGAGGTGGGGTTCAAGACCAATACTGCAACCAGTCACCAGGGGGTGCTTTTCTCATGGAAGCTTTATCTAGCAAGGAGGCAGATGAAGTCCATTCTATCAAACAGTCTTTGGGTTCCGGCTGCTGGTGGTGTGATGGCGTGGGGGATATTTTCTTGGCACACTTTGGGCTCCTTAGTACCAACTGGGCATCATTTAAACACCCTGGGTATTAATGCTGACCATACCCATCCTTTTATGACCACAGTGTATCATCTGATGGCTACTCCAAGCAGGATGATGCACCATGTCACAAAGCTGGTTTCTTGCACATGACAATGAGTTCACTGTACTCCAGTGGCCTCAACAGTCACCAGGTCTCAATCCAATAGAGAACCTTTGGGAGGAGGTGGAACAGGAGATTGGTGTCATGGATGTGCAGCCGACAAATCTGCCGCATCTGTGTGATGATCTCATGGACAGAGAGAAGGCTAAGGCTAAAGATAGTTTTGTGATGTTGCTTCATATGAAAATCACTCTGAAATGAAACAACCAGGATCACGTTCAGCCAACCCTTTAAGTGTATTTATGGATTTGTGGCAGTCAGACTTGCTCTTGCCTTGGATCAACAGGAAAGGTTGGCCTCTCTGGTTTTAGCTTTGTGTTTGTCTAGGCAGGTGTCCAGGTTGTTTTAAATCTTGGTTTGGCCACAGTGATATCTGTTAAAGCTATAAAAACATACAGGCCAACCGACTTTGAGAACTACACCACCTCATCCACATTCATCTTGCAGTTTTGATGCAAAGACTTTCATGTCATAGGTATTGCCTGGATAATAAAACCACCAAAGAGTAGACAGAGTCAAGTTTTCTTTTTCTTTTTCGTGTGTTTGCTTTAAGAAACCTAACTGTTGGTGGCATCTCAGCAATACTACATATTCTAAGACATGAATCAAAGTAATTGAAATTGATCAAGAATGAGCTCTGCATTCAAAGTACTTGGGTATCTGACTGTTATGGTCTATATCAGATATCACTGTGAGTTTGAAAACCACATACTGTTGTTTCCAGATGCTCATTTTTGACAGCCTCTTGGCTGGTATTCCTTTTCTCACCTTTCACTTCTGATTCTGACTTCTAAAATTCAATCCCAGGGTGGGCTTTAGTCTCTGGGTCTTTGTATCCCCTGGCAAAAACATATCTTGAACTCCCAGAACAAAATTGTGTGGGTCAAGCATATGGGCAGGAGAACCTGTGGTTTGGTCCACACGTGATGAAAGTTTCCCCAAGAAGTAAGAATGTTTGGAAAGTAACTGGGAGGAGAGGAGTAAGTCTGCATACATCTAGCTAAATCCAAGGTAGGAAACTGCTCACCGTAACATTTCACACAAAGAGAACACAAGCTGGACCTATATGTGCTAAAATCCTGCCTTGATTTTAATGGGCTGGAATAAGAATGATTCAATTTCAGCAGAATTATCAAGGAATGAACTTTTTTTTTTTTTTTTTCAAGGAAAGAGGATAAAGACAGAGGTACTAAATCCTATGTCGACATTCCAGCCAGAGCTAGAACTCTTTTGAGTGTCTGATTGAGAAAAACTTCACTGATAGCTCATATTTAAACATCAGTCCCTTGCAACTCGACCAGTTTGTTGATGATACCTCAGGCACACTGCGATCAGTTCTAGACTCAGTTGCCCCTCTTCGACAAAAAACTCTTACACACGAGAGGCTAGCCCCGTGGTATAATGCTGAAACCCGTGAGCTGAAACAGTTATTAAGAAAATGTGAAAGGATTTGGCGCTCCTCCAAAACAGCTGAAGCTCGTTTTCTCTGGCAGAATTGTCTCGATAAATATAAGAAAGCCCTACGACATGCTCGGACAACCTACTACTCGTCTCTTATTGAGGAAAATAAGAATAACCCCAGATATCTCTTCAGCACTGTAGCCAGGCTGACAGACTGTCAGAGCACCACTGAACCATGTATCCCTTTAGCCCTTAGCAGCAACGACTTCCTGAGCTTCTTCAATGATAAAATCTTAAAAATAAGAGGTAAAATTAGTAACCTATTGACTCCATCAAGTGTCTCTCTCTCAGATAACCCTAAAAATGTTGAGGAGCCCCTAAGGCCTCTGGTGCACCTTAGTAATTTTGTACCTATTGACCTTCCTGAGTTAAAGTCAGTGGTGCTAGCAGCCAAACCATCGACGTGTCTCTTAGACCCAATTCCATCAAAATTGCTGAAGGAAACTCTTCCTTTGATTAGTACGTCCCTGCTCAAATTGATTAACACGTCTTTATTAACAGGATATGTTCCCCAGTCTTTCAAGACTGCATTGATTAAGCCTCTCCTTAAAAAACCTACTCTGGACTTAAGCTCCCTAGCTAACTATAGACCAATATCCAACCTTCCTTTTATTTCTAAAATCCTAGAGAAAGTTGTTGCGAATCAACTCTGTGATTTTCTCCATAACAACGGTTTATTAGAGGATTTCCAGTCTGGGTTTAGAACCCATCACAGCACAGAGACTGCTCTGCTAAAGGTGTCAAATGACCTACTCATGGCCTCAGACAATGGTTTTCTCTCTGTTCTAGTCCTGTTAGATCTTAGTGCAGCATTTGACACAATTGACCACTCCATCCTGCTTCAGAGACTAGAACAATCTATAGGCATAGCAGGATCAGCTCTCTCCTGGTTTAAATCGTACCTAACAGATCGATCCCAGTTTGTCAATGTAAATAATGAATCCTCTGCACACACCAAGGTCTGCTACGGTGTGCCGCAAGGGTCAGTGCTCGGTCCAATCCTATTCACCCTGTACATGATTCCGCTGGGTAAAATTATGAGGAAGTACTCGATTAATTTCCACTGTTATGCAGATGACACCCAGCTATACCTATCCATAAAGCCAGAGGAAGCAGGCCAGGTTGCTAGGTTAGAAGCCTGCCTCAAAGATATAAAATCCTGGATGACCAATAATTTTCTAATGCTCAACTCAGACAAAACTGAAGTTCTGGTCCTCGGTCCTAAACACCTTAGAGAGGCGTTCTCTAGTAATTTAGCTACATTTGATGGTATCAGCCTGGCATCCAGCCCCACTGTGCGAAATCTAGGAGTTGTATTTGATCAGGATTTATCTTTTAGCTCCCACATTCAACAAATTTCCAGGACAGCCTTTTTCCACCTGCGCAATATCTCAAAAATTAGACGTATATTGTCTCAGAGCGATGCAGAAAAACTAGTCCATGCCTTTGTTACCTCTAGGCTGGATTACTGTAATTCTCTCCTATCAGGCTGCTCTAGTAAGTCATTAAGGACTCTTCAGCTGGTCCAAAATGCAGCAGCTCGGGTATTGACTAGAACTAGAAGGAGGGAGCACATCTCTCCTGTTTTAGCCTCTCTTCACTGGCTCCCTATTAAATATAGAATTGAGTTTAAAATCCTCCTTGTGACATATAAAGCGCTTAATGGCCAGGCGGCATCATATCTCAACGAGCTAGTTATACCGTACTTTCCATCTAGACCGTTACGCTCACAGTCTGCAGGTCTGCTCGTTGTACCAAATGTCTCTAAAAGTAGTATTGGAGGAAGAGCTTTCAGCTACCAGGCACCTCTCCTCTGGAATCATTTACCGCTCGAGGTTCGGGGGGCAGACACACTCTCAACTTTCAAGAGTAGACTTAAAACGTTCCTCTTTGATAAAGCCTATAGTCAGGGCTGATTTGAACCAGCTCTTAGTTATGCTGCTATAGGCCTAGACTGCCGGGGCTATCTGGCACACTGAGCTAGAGTCTGTCTCTATCTCCTCTTTAGATCTCTATGTCCCATATAAGTCACTGACCAGTTTTCTGTCTCTCTGAGTGTCTCTGAGTCTTTTAGCTGCCACTGGACTAATGCTGCAAACAGGTCTGCTGCGGAACTGCCTGACCCCAGCTGCATCCACCCTGGGCCATCAGCCTCACTGTCATTATTGACATTAATAATACAAAATAGAACTGACTACGATTAAGCCTGCTAACTGTAATCGTACTCAATTAATTCAACATTGTCCATTATCACTCATATCCTAAACCTGTAAACTGAACTTCTTTTTGTTTCACCATTACATGAGCTGTTGTTGTTGTTGCTGTTGTTCCTGCTGCCTCCTGTCTCTCTCTCACCCTCGTTCCCTACTCTCTCTCCCTCCCCCTCCCTCTCCATACTCATTCTCTCTCGCCTTTCCCCCATCTTGTTGTCTCTCTTCCTCCCCCTGTCCTCTCCCCCTCTCCCCTCTTCTCTCTACATTCCTCCCCAACCCAGCAGCGGCATGGTGGCTGTCTAGCATGAGGCTGGTCCTGCCCAAGGTTTCTGCCTGTTAAAAGGAAGTTTTTCCTTGCCACTGTAACTCATGTTAGTTGAGATGGGCCAAAACCCATCTTAGGTTGGTTCTTGATCATGAAACAATGAGCGTGGTCCAGACCTGCTCTTGTTCCTTGAAAAGCGTCTTGAGATGACGACTGTTGTGAATTGGCGCTATATAAATAAAATTTGATTGATTGATTGATTGATTATATAATGGTATTTCAGGTAAAAACTCAGCTTAAAGCGGGGTTTACAAATCCCTGTTAAAGCTTGAGTTTTCAATCAGAAAAACGTTGACATGAATGGAATTCCACTGTTCAGTCCAGAGAGCGCAACCAGAGGACTGACCAAGAGTTAGCCAAACACAAGTTTGAACTTCAAAGACAAGCAAACCCTTCATCTGTTATTGTACTGATTAAACTCCAACCCTGCTGAAAAAACAACCTCAGGAACATTTGACTAAAGATAAAAAAAAAACACGTGAGCTGGGAGGTCGCTACTCTAAACTTGTTTGGTTTGAGTGCTTTCAAACTGTGGAGTGAGCAGTAGAATTGATTTAAGATTGATCTGATACGATCTGATACGTATGAACACAAATGCATTTCACACTTGTTTCCCATAAAATGAGCAGAAATTATCGCGTACACCTCTATGGATAATGAATTCCATGGCAGATAAGTAAAAATGTCTCTGCAGACTGAAGTAGACCACAGATGTTGACAAAAAATCAAGTATTGAGAGGTTGATAGTTAAATACGTGCTAAAACAAGCTCTTTTTGTTAAATGTCCTATCAGGTAGAGATAAACAATATGTATTCTCATATTACATTCAACTTGCTATCAGCCCAGTGTTCCAAGTTTACAGCATGTTACAGTGCAAACCAGTGTAACCAACTTGTTCAAGGGCTGCAATAGTAGAGTGTATTTTACAGGATATGCAGAAAAATTAGCTGCACCGTTTAAGCTGGCACTTTCATACCAGCTCAACTGGTGCTATCAAAGCATCTATTCTATGCTGCTAAGCTGACAGTGACCCACAATGTAGACAAACTCATTTTTTAAGAACAAGTGGGCAGAAGACTAGTCACTGTCTGAAATAGTTTCTATTCAGTTCTCTAGTTACAGCAATTCCGCATCAACCTCGCTCTGAATTATTTTTATAAGCATGCTCAACTTGTTTGATATTCAGCTTAAGAAACGGTTTATACACCTCTATGTTTTCTGTAGAAAATATTCATATTATCAAAAGCCAATTATGGACAAAATTTTAAATCTGTACCAAACATTACAGCAATTATTTTCAGTGAACTCCAAAACTTCCTGATCCTGGACATGTTTTGACCCCCCCCCCCCAAGAGTTAATATGAGTATTAGTCTGAAACATATTTTGATCCATTGTAAAGTACTGACATACATGGACTTGAACGCACAACTTCACATCAATATATATGCCTGCTAAAAAGCTGAAGATCAGAGAAACAGACACAGATTAATGTCACCTTTCATGTTGCTCTGTGGCAGCTAATCTTAGTCACAATGTCAAGTCATGCGACACAATACCATACACACAGTCATCCCACAACATAGCTGACCATTGCTCTCTAATAAGTTACTGAAGTTGGTTGGAATAACTTTGATTCATCCATGTCTAAACTCAACTTTTATTACCCAGGTTGTACCTGAATTAACTCATTTGTGATTTGAGCATAGACATAGACTCTGTGATTACTTTAGAAGGTCTGCACCAGCAGGACAGAAGGCAATTCCTCCAATAATTAACCCTGAAGAAATACTGTGAAACATTAGCCAAAAGGTGCCAGATCATGTTGCTAGGGAATGGACTGGGTTTGACCTAAAGTTTCAAAGAGGAACAGACCGACAGGTTTATGATTTGATGATGGATCTTTTGCTCATTTTTTCTCAAACATATGGTTTTGCAGTTTGAGAGAAAGAGGGGAAACTTATATTATTTTTAAATGCATGACACTACCAGGGGAGAGGATGAAGTAGTTTTAAAACCAACCCTAATACAGACTTTAGAGAGACAAGAAAATCAACAATAACTGTAAAAGCAGCACATCTGGAAAGTAGATATATCAGAGCAACAAAAATAAACTAAGAAAAACCCTTCTGCAACAAAATGATGAATACCATAAAGATATGATTTTATAACTTTTAGACTTTTAATATGTTGGTATATAACAGATATTTACATTCACTGACAGTGAACGTTACTTTTCACAATGTTTTTAAATGACTATGCAGAATAAATGAATGGGGTTCTGGGGGCAGAGTTGATAAACTGCTGAATAAAAGGATGGAGCACAGGATTACTCCTATTGTATTGTTTACTGTGGTTACAGAGCTACCTCAATGCATTTAGTATGCCATATTCACTCTGAGATACTATTTCATTGTCAAAAACATTACTCGAAATTCTCCACAGAGTACAGTTATTGCCAACAAAAAAGACCAAACTTCACATTACCTTCCGAGTTCTTTCCCTGGTATGATGGTGTAGTAGTCGGTGAAAGGTTCGGTCTTAATGGTGGTTTTAATTTCGGACAACAAGCCGCTGCCGCTCCGGCCCTGGCCCGGTTCGGGAGCGGGATTGTGCTGGAAGCGGGCCCGGCTTCTCGGGTCCCCGGTGCGTGGGCATTCGGGGATCATGGCGACGTTTGATTGAAACGGTTGTTAGCAAATCTGAAAAACTTGAACCACACGGTAGCAGACTGCTACTCAACAACAACACAGCTGACTACACGCTGAAAGACAACTTCAAAAAAACATTCGTCTGGAAGAGAGAGATTACTGTTTAACTGGACAGGACTTGAAAACATCCGCATAGTCTAATATTCTGTCAGTTATCGCGACTGTAAAGCTCATTTTGAGAAAGTTATCCTGTCGTGCTGTTACTCCAGTTAAGAGCGGTCCTCAGTCTGCTGCTCATCAGTGACAAACCGAACTGGGGCTTCCAGTAACCATGGGAAACTGTAATGATTGACAGGTGAAGTAGCCAATTGGAATACATGAAACGGCGCACAACGTCACTGTTCTCGCTTGAATTGATTGGTTTAAAAGGTTTTTGTGTAAATAAGGGGAGGAGACTAAATGCTCAAATTCAGAAACATCAGCTGAAATTGTTCAACTCTACAGTGAAACTTTTCGAGTAAAGTAACTCTTCTCCTCTCCTTTCTTTCTTTCTTTCTTACAGTGAATTACCTTTTTTTATCTGGGTACATCAATACTAACAGTTTCCTTTTAATTAGGCAGAGCACATGACCAGATTTCAAAATAACGGATTTATTATTAATCAATAGATTTAATTCAATCAACTACGCTTGGAATAAGATCTTTCTTTCTTTCTTTCTTTCTTTCTTTCTTTCTTTCTGTCTGTCTGTCTGTCTGTCTGTCTGTCTTTCTTTTCTTACTCACTTTGTCTTTCTTTCTTTCTTTTTTCTCTCTTTTTCTTTCTATCTTTCTCTCTTTATTTTCTTTCTTTCTTTCTTTGTTTAGAAGGCAAGGGTGAAGATTGTTTGAAAAAAATGTTTGAAAAAAAATTCTCCTTTCTTTCTCTCTTTCTTTTTCTTTCTCTTTCTTTCTTTCTGTCTGTCTTCCTTTCCTCCTTTTCTTATTCTTTCTGTCTTTTCTTACTCACTTTGTCTTTCTTTCTTTTTTTCTTTCTCTTTTCTTTCTTTTTCTTCCATTTTTCCTTCTTTCTTTCTATCTTTCTTTTCTTTCTCTCTCCTTTCTTTTCTTTCTCTTTCCTTCTTTCTTTTCTTTCCCTCTTTCTTTCTTTCTTTCTTTCCCTCTTTCTTTCTTTCTTTCTTTCTTTCTTTCTTTCTGTCTTTGTTTAGTAGGCAAGGGTGAAGAGTGTTTGAAAATGTGTAAGTTTAATAATCTAATAAAGGACAGATTATTTTACACCAAAGTAAATGTTTGATTTACAACTTTCAGGACAAAATAAGACAGCAACAAAAACAACTAAAAAGGACTTTTGCAGTTGTCAAAATTTAATGAGTTAGTAGATTTCACTATGTTGCAGATTATGTATAAAGCTCATAGGAAAATTTTACCAGTCAACATCCAGAGCCCATTTGAAACGAGAGAAAGTTGTTATAAATTAAAAGGATTTGAAATATTTAAAAAGCCAAGATTTAAAACTAAACTGAAAGAGTGCTGTGTTACAGTGAGAGGAATAAGTTTGTGGAACAATCTGAACAAAGAAACTTAAGAAGCTAAATCAAATTTTAGCTTACAAAAAAAGCGTCAAAGCCAGTATATTGAGCAAATACAGGTAAATATGTTAATCAAAGTCTTGGTATGTTTGTTTTGTGGAAAAATTTGAATTAGCGTGGTCTTTTCTGTTTGTTTTTGAAAAATAAGAAATAATGATCTGTAAAAAAGCATGTTGGCCTGTAGCTCTTGTTTATTTTTATTGTGTTTAGTTGATTTACATCTTATGAAATATTATAAATATTAACTGAATGAAATAAGGTATGAACATGAAAAATAGAAAAAATTAAACTTTTGGCTGATATCACTGATATCAAATATCAACCCCTGCTAAGCAAATGTTGCAGCATCCATGATTTCCACAAACAATGTCAGTATCTTGTTTGTCAGACCACAGGATGGTTTTTGTTTTGCCTCAGTCCATTATAAATTGGCCCCAGTCCTGAGATGTTGCCTCCATTTCTGGATCACATCACTGATCCCTCTTTTGTCATCATGGTAAAACTACATCTCTGGATGCACAACAGACAGTGGTTTCTGAATGACGTTCTAGGTCCATGCATGCAGCCATTTCCATAACAGAGCTGGTTCATACTTTATTAAAAATGGTGTATTTTAAAGTTTGAGTTGGTTCATTAGACACACACGATGACAGCAATATAACAAAGTGACCTTTTATTGAGATTCTTGAGCCATTGTATTGTGTGGTGGAGTGATAGCACAGCCTGAGCATTTAGCAACCTGTTCCCAGATAGTTCAAAACTGTACCTTTTTTAAAAGTATTTACATATGTGTTCAACCAATACACAAAAAGAAGCAAAACATATAACAACAAGCATGCTTCAGTGAACGTTGACACATTCAGTAGTACAGTTGTTCACATATTCCCTTTGTTAAATTCCTTTAAAAAAATGAACATAAGAAATAAATACTCCAAAAAAAAAAACATAAATACTAAACAGCTGCTACAAATTTCCACCATCTTAACTTTCTGTCTATCCCACAATTCTTCACTTTTCCAAAAGTTCACTTAAATATTTATTTAATGGCTGTAATCAATACACTTAGATTTTCCCCCATCCTTTTTCGAGAATGAGTGTCAGTTTCAAGATGTACAATGTTTGTATTTAACATCAACTTAATAAAAAAACAAGACATATGTACACTGCTTATACATTTTCAGCAACTTACATACAAAAGTCTTGATTGTTGCTTTAACTGCCAAAAGCACAGAGTACTTGCTGGATACATGCAACTCTGAAATATCAAACAAAGTCAGACATCTGTGACATGAAAAAGACAGAAAAAATAAATGACTGAAGATATTGATGGGCCCTAAATCTGTATCTAGTGAAACCACCTTACAGGTGAACAGAAGAAGACCTGCATAGCTGAATGGTAACAGAAAACAGACAGTAAGGTTGCACATTTCCTGCACTGAGAGACAGATAACTAACCAGCTAATCATCTTACAAAAAAGACGCATATCAAAACGCAGAGGCTCCAAAAGTGAAGGCAATATCTTCAACTGATACTTCGTAAAATAACTTAAAAAACCCAAAACATTCAAAGGAAGCTCCCAAACTTCTGTTTAACAATAAATATAATACAGTATAAATCACAATACAAAAGATTGTAGATAAAAAAGAGAGAAGATGCAACATAATCGCAGCCTTGTCCTCTTGGATGTAGAGATGAGCGAATAAGGTCTCCCCACTGTGAGGATGAGTGCGGTTATAATAATCTGACAGCCGGTAGAATGAATGAACCTGAAGGGAAAGTTCTCCATCCCTAACATATCCTTAAATTTGCTGACCAGAGATTCTAAATTTATTAGCTGTATTTATCTTGTTGGGCTTATTGCCCCTTCTTTATCACGAGCATGGTGAGCACAAAATATCAAGATGACATCACACCACATTTGGGATGTTTATCCCAGTAGTCCTTCATTAGAAAACTATTACTACTCAAACTTTGAGTGAGACAAACATATAAGAACATATTACTGAATCTCACAGGGTGGTAGAATTGCCCTGTACAAGAATCCTGTACTACAACAAAACACTTCTTATGCTCCACTGAAACACTCCAGCCAACTCACCAAGCATTGGCATATCATCTTATTTGATTCTTAATCCAGAACACAAGAATAACTCTAATTCTTAAAAAGTTGGACACAGAGGGAAAAAGTTGATAAAAAGATTCTGATGTTTTGCAAATTATTTAAACCCCACATTTAATTGCTAATAGTGCAAAGACAACAATGTTGTTGAAATGTTGGAACTAAGAAATTCCATTGGATTTGTTCAAGATATTCTCTTTTTAAGTGTAATACCAAGTTTCAAAAAAGTTGGAGCAAAAACAACAAAATGCTGTAAAAATTGTATGAAATGCAAAACAAAAACACTAACAGGAACATCTGCTGTTTGCGACATATGAAATAACATATCTGAGTGTAAAATAGCCATTCAGAAATGTTAAGTCCCTAAGTAGTAAAGATGGGAAGAGTTTAGCCAATCTGCGGGGAAATAGATGTTCAACAATTTCAGGGATTATGTTTCCAGGTGTAAATCCAGAAAATTTGAGGAACATAAAATCGTTAAGCGATTTAGAGAATACCTGTCTTGCATTTTTCTACAAGACAACACCAATTCACTTTCTGCAACAAAATAAAAAAAAAAAAAATTAAACATTCAGTTCAGTGTTTTTGCACTTTTTCAATTAATGTATCATTTAACTGGTTTGAAAATCATCAAATGCAGTTTTTATCAACATTTTATACAGCATCCCACATTTGTTTTTACAGTTGAGGTTGTCATTACATGCAGCATGTAAAAACAGTCTTGCTCGGGGGAATATTGGTACAAAGCATCTTTAGACAAAAGTGAGGGACACATAATTGTCATGGCAATGAAACTATGATTCCGGTGAAGCTATGGCAGAAAAAAGTATAATAAATAGGTATATAAACAAATAAATACATACATGCTATACTTCATTTTACTGTTTGTTAGGTTTGGTGTTTCAGGTGTTTTGTTTCTGCTCTGACACATGGAGTTTAACAGATATGATGATAGAAATAGTTGGAAGCACTAATTGTGTTGCTGTGCACACAGTTTTACATTTGTGTTACAGCTAACCTAAAACAAAGAATCAGACCAAATTAGCTTAGAGTAACCAACAGCAGTCAAATGAAATATGCTTTAGTTTGTCACTTGTGGCAAATTTTCACAATGGATTGTAAAAGTGGACAATACATAGTTGAAACAATAAAGTTAAACTTATACATGTGGCTACGAGAGATAATGCTTTTTTTTTTTTTTTTTTACCATTTCAACATCAGAGTAGTACTGCAGGAATAGTATTCAGGTTATGCATTCATAGTAGATATCTTGACTCCCCAAGCTGCATCATGGGGCCTGATGTTTAATGGGGTATCAGAGTCTCGAATTAGCATGGCTTATATGTAGGGAGTTGCAACAAAGCCACAAATACAAAAATACAAATCAACTGAAAAAAACAAAGGCAAAATATTAAAGAAAGACTTTCTTTCTGTCAAAAGACTTAGCATCTGAACCCCACAGGTCACACATGAGGCAGTAAGTAACTGAGGCACAGTTTCATTACTGGACTAGAGTTGTCGATGAGGGGCTGGGAATGCTGAGAGTTCACTGCAGTCAGTCATGGTCTGAGAAAACATGGTAGACTGTGGAAGAGATTGTAGTTCAACATCTTAACTATTGCATATAATACACTGGTTCAACCAAGGGCCCCTGTACACCTTTAGAGTTCTTCTCAGGAGTTGAACCAATGATCCCAGGCCCTTGGAGATCTACATCCTGCTTTGCACCAGTCATGAGTCTGTAAAGGTTCTTTGACAGTGAAGGTTCAGATATTGGAGTACCTGCTCCATGCAAAGAGCAACACTTTGATAAAGGAACACAGTCTGAGAGAAGAAGTTCACAAGCAGCCCTGAATTGGAGAGCTAAACTTGCTGAAGTTGAAGCACCACTCTTGTCAACCAGATTCAAAGAACTTTGGCCGGACATGCATCCACCCACACTCTCTGTTACTAAGGGATCTCAAGCTACCTTTTTCCTTGGTTGACAGTTTCTTCCTCTGTCTCCACAGAAGCCCTTAAGTTGGAACTGATGGCTACTTTGATAGAGAGAGAGAGCAGTTCGACAGGAGAGGTGACATCATTGTTCATGCTTTAAGTACCGTCAAGCATACTGTTAGAGTTTGTCCAGAGCATTGCTGTCCATTCAGAGGAGGAAGTTAAAGGAGAGAGTTAAAGGTCTGTTTCCAGCTGTTGTCGTCACTTTGGACTGAGCCAAAGAGGACAGGGAAACTGAAGAGAGAGTTCCAGATCTTGGCTTTTCTGGAATTAAATATTCTTTTATATTGTGTGAGGCATGACTGTGTGGAGTCATTATTACCATAACCAGTCTCATGCCTTAAACATACAAACCAAACCAACAGTAACAACAGGTTTTGGGCAAACACTTCTGCCCTGTTTCAGATCATATTTTGCTCTGATAAATAGCTTTGGAGGTTACTCTGCTCAAACAGAAAGCTTTGAAATAGTTGATTTCTATCATCAAGCTCCATTATATTCTTTTAATAGCTTGTATTTCCATTGATGAGTTTCTCCTAGTCAATAACAGTCTACATAAATGACTTAGTAATTCTTTAATCATATTGAATAAAAAAAGACATGACTGTTCCTTTGGCTTACAAGACTTGTTATCCTCTAAATCTCCATTTTACTTTGAAGTTTTTCCTTAAAGCCACATACATTTATGTGAATCCACAGAAACAGCACACCTGAGAAACAGCATGTAGTAATTGCACGCATTATTTCCACCCTCGTCTAAATTCACAGAGATGCTATCAAATTTTTCATAAATATCTGAATTCTGTTCTGCATAATTTGTAATATTTGATTAGTATATTTTTTTTCCTACTTTTGAATAGTCAACAGTTTTTCAAGTATATCCTTTATTTTTTGCAAAAGCTTTTGTGAGGAACTTACTGGGTTGTTGTTGGCGCCCTCTGTGGACAAAGTGATGTCTGATTTCTTTTGTTATCTTGTTCTTTACATGTGTTTTTTTAAGCAAAACCTTTTCAACTTGTGACAAACTTCAAATCATTTGCTACAGAAAAGTGAATGAACAGGCCTGTTCTTCGATCATTCCCCCTTAAATTGCATTCAAAATTAGTTTTGGAAATGTGATTATTGTTGTTGTTTAGAGTTTTATTTGCTTTTGTAGTAAATAAGGAGGCTTCACTTCAATATGCTTCATAACCAGCTAAAGACTCATTACAGGAGATTGAAGTCAATTTTTAAATATATAAAAATTCTTTAACTCTTTAGTCACTGCTATTTTCAAATGTCAATCTTCTCTTCGATTGAAAATTGTCAAGTCAGGAGTAAGAATCAATTTAAAGGAAATAAATTTGCCAGAAATAAAAATGTTCAGTTGTCATAATAACTTCTTATACTCTATGTAAAATTCTTATATTGAGTGATTCTATGTATGTTTATTTTTTGTTATTACTGTTTGTCTTTCTTTGCATGTTCAGTATTTTTATCATTAGATTAGACATGATGCTTTCTGCTACATGCAATTTCAAATGAATTTATTTCATTTAACATTGCCTTATGTATGCATAAATATATAGATGTTATTTAAAAATGCTTTTGTAGTGGTCCATATTTTCTCAGTCTCTGTGTTAAATATAAAAATAATCATTGTTTTGTGGTGGTGCAGTCATTAAGGACCTCATATCTAAGAGAGAACCCACACACACTATAGTACCAGAACAGTGACGTACAGTACATATATCCACTAAACCAAAAACTTGGTCGAGAATCCAGGTAACTTTAGAGATGCATTGACGATCTGATTGTGCTGTCTGTCTTACTCCAGGCCAAATGTGCTGGTTTCCTCCACTGCGATCAGAAGTTTCTCATACAGCATGGTGTATGAAGGGTACGGAGGCAAGTCAAGGCGGTTGAAACAGGTATGAGCCCTAGAAGACAGAAAGAGAGATTGACGGTTCGAGAGAGGAAAGAGTTCATAACTGAAGGGTAGTCCAAATCTCATGAGATATGTTTCACTTCTTTAATTTTCATTTCACAGCATTGACATGAATCCTAATAGGATAATCCTGGGATTCCCATATTCCATATGACTGACATAGAGCAATCTTTTTTAAGTGGCTACAATTGTGAATGATTTAAGGTGAATTGGAAAATTTAGTTTTAGTTATCACATTTTAGTACTCAACCCATGTCTGATGCTTGAACAGCATGTAAAAATTTGTAAATGTAAGCTCAGCATTGAAATCGTCTACCCTCATGAATGGAAGCAATATTTCTTTAAATAAGCAGCAGGTTTATTTATTAATGAATACAGATATTTGGAGATGTCTATTATCTTAGCTTGGGCGCCTGCAGTATTTATCACTGGGTGAGGAGTCGCGCTTGGTTGATGTTTTTAAGGTCAGTTTTGATTATGTTTTCTTCTGGTTTGCTTCACTCCTGGCTCCAGCCCCATAAATTCTTGTAAACAGCAGGTTAGCTCTATCCGTCTTTTCAAGCACCTTTCAATTTCCTCATACAGGTGGTTATCCCTGCGGGGTAACTTTAGAAGTTTAATGGTCTGCATTTGGGTCTAACTCCCCCTTTACCTGACAGGTGGACACAGCAGACCCTGCTTTCGGTGACTCAGAATTAAATAAAAACCAGCTCCTCAAGGGCAGGCCATAACTGCACAGGGAGTCCTTTTGGGGTCTAACGAGCGGACTCTTTGTACCGTTGCTGAGCAACAGGCTACCTATGACAGTGTAGTATTGTATGTTAAAGGAAATTCTTGACCGTTTGCAGGCAGCAGCGGAGTCAATCGCAACCCAAGCACCAAACCCAGTAGTCCACCAAGCACCCCCACTCCACCTCCCAGCCTTGTTCCAGATCAGGAGACCAGGCTGTCCACTTCAGCATGGTATGATGGGCATCCATGGGAGGGAGGTACAAGGGATTCATCACTCAATGTAGCTTGGTGATTGAGTTACAACCCTCCATGTTTGGCACAGAATGAGCCTGGGCTGCATATATTATATTCCTGCTCTTTTATGGGCCACAGCCTGGTGGGAGAGGCATGCTCCTATTTGTGCTGACTCTGCCCTCTTCAATGAAGTGAGATTTTGAGCACTGAGGTAAGTCTTCAATGCAGGAAGGCAGGCCAATTTATACATGCGTGACCCTCAAAACAGAGAAAGGAGTAGACTCGCTAGAACTGGAGGTCCTGTCAAGTCTCAACACCCGCCCCTACACAGCCAATGACCACACCTTTCTGTCCCTAAAGTTATACTGAGGGGAGAAGAGATTAATCCTCTCAGCATTTGTTGATCCAGGGGCAGCTGGTAGTTTTATTGATGCAACTCTGGCCATAAAACTGAAACTTTCACTGTTTACACTCCTTTGTCCTCTTGCCATCACTGCTGTGGACAACAGACTCCTAGGTATTGGGAGGGTTAAAAGAATCACAGGCCAGGGTTCGATTTGCATTTGCTGCCACATAGAGAAAATGCAGTTTTTCCTTATTGATGCCTCAAATTTGCCTCTGATTTTGGGACACCCTTGGCTGTTTAAACACAATCTCCATATCAACTGAAAATTCGGGGCCCAGAGTGTGCATCTCAATTTTTTGATTCCAAGTCTTTACAACTCGGCCCTTTAAGCTTTGAGCCTCCTGTTACTTCAAGCTCAGCTGCTTCCATGTCTTCAGTCCTTTGTTGTGCACTTCAGACTCTCTAATGCTCCAGTAGTCTTTGAGGCTGTGGTGAACTATAGGGTAATCATATGTCCACTTCTACCCGGACATGTCCTCTTTTTTCTGGGCTGTTCAGGCTGTCCAGGTTTGTCCGGGAAAATTTACAATATCTTTTAAATGTCTGCGATTTTGTGCGTAAGATTCAAATTTGTATCACTTGGATTTATTGAGTTAGAAGCGGGTAAAAGATATTCTATCAGACTTGAAAAACTCTCTAAATTAACTTTGTGCAACCCGTGACTCTGCCCCCGTGTAGTCGTGTCCTCTTTTTGGGAAGTCAAAATATGGCCACCCTAGTAAACAACATTCTGAGGGACATGTTGGAGGTGTATGTGGACATTGACAACATCCTCATCATTTCTAAAACCTATCAGGAGCATATGTCCCATGTAAAGATGGTGCTGCAGAGGCTGTTAGAGCATCAACTCTACTTAAAGGTAAAGAAATGTGTCTTCTGTGCCCCAACTGTTAAGTTCCTGGAGTATGTGTTGTCGCATGGCAGCGCCAGAATGGACCTTCGCAAAGTGAAGGCAAAAATAGACTGGCTGCAGCCCAACTTTGTCAAGCAGGTTTTTTGCTTCCAATTTTTTTTTTGCACTTCATCAGAGATACTATCAACACCAAGAAGCAGCTTTTTTCTGTAGGTCTTCTGCAAACACACAAGGACTAATGTGTGGGCATGAACACAGACAGAATGATATTTAGCGCTACAATGGTTTCACACTTTCCTTTTGACTGCTTGTAAATGTTAAATGTAAAATACAGAGTAACAGCAGTGAAACAGAAAAAAAATGATTGTGCTGTATACCAACAATCTCTGATCTGTGTTAGAAACAAATATACAGCAGCCAATTCTCCACCATCATCAAAGCTTCTATTATTACTGAACCTCTGGTATAAATGCTGATGCTACAGAATCAAATTCTGGCACTTTTCCACGCTCTGCAGTGAAACCTGAGCCCGGCTCTTTGTTTGTGTTGAGCATGCACAGCTTTTCACTGCTGCCTGCCAAATTAGTGTCCTACAGGAAGGTCAGGTAATCACACCTTGCACAAAATTAGATCAACCTACACTACAAAGGTGGAGGAGTGTCAAAATAGCTCTTTGATGGTAGAAAACCGATAACGCTGATATCAGAACATTTATTTTTATGTTCGTGTAAAGCTGCTGATGTCAGTAATGAGGAATACATCTGTACTCAAACTGGGGGGAGGTTTATGTATTTTTTATGTGTTTATTTTGGTGGTCAACTTATAACCTTAAGTTCAAGAATTAATCTCAATCACATAACCACAAACATAGCCTGTGGTGACTCCTGTGCTAAAATATTATAAATATAATAATAATTAAAGCAAATGTCAGTGTATGTTCCTTTTTAGTCATGTAAAAGTGAGCCGCATCCTGTACACCAGTGTTACCAGTATGCCAGCATAAAATGCAGAGAGGGGTTATGGTATTTAACCCAGATGTTGGTGCTTGGAGGAAGCAATTGCTCATATGCTGCCCTGTGCAAAGCCTGCTGGAAACATAATGAGGTGAACCAGTGAAGGGGCACCGCTTTTTAGTCGAGGTAAACTATGAAATGAATAATCCTCATGGATTGCTGGTGTGATTGAAATGACTTTAATCTAAGGCGACAAAGGCGACGCCTCATTGGATTGGTTGCTAGCAGTGTGTATGATCCCACTGCTCGCAATCAATGGCACAACGGTGACAACAGGTCGAACTTGAAATAGCTACACATTTGCATAAAAAATGCACATTGCTGAATGCAGCCTTTATAGATATGCAGTTTAAAACTTTTCCATTCTGATTGACTAAATAGGTGAGAAAGTATGAAAAAATGCAAATATCTAAGTTTACATGCTTTTGAATGGCTAGAACAACTATGTGTGTCTTTACAGAAAAAGACATGCTCAGGTTTGCAGGGATTTACAAAGTCTTCGGTTTCGTTCAAGGGCGAATGCATGACTTTCTTCACTGTACCTTTGTTTTTATTTTTAGGAACATGCTAATGAGAGTAGGGGACAGTGAGCGTGTCTTTTCAAAGTACCTGGGGAGTGAAGTGACTTTGCCCCACTTCTCAATGCAGAACCGCCGCAGGCCATTGGATCCCCGCAGTGCAGCGAAGCCTTCATAGGGCACGCTGGAAGTCCCGGTGACAAACTGGAGCAGGCGGAGACGCTGCTCGTTGTTGAAGCGCTCCACAGCGGCCCAGAACCACCGCATCACTATGTGACCGTCATGGTAACCTAATGATGGGGAATCAGGCGAGTGATGTCAGGATTAAATCTAGTGCTGACAATATCATTAGAATTTGCTTACACAAATACTGAATACAATGTTGATGAATAGTTCTTTTAAAAGTTGTGCATAAATTGTGTCGCATAGTTAAGTTACCTTTGTTGTCCTAATGATTCAAGTCTTGTGTTTCCAGTTTGATTTTGATACTCACCTCTGTCTTTCTCAGTTTGTGAATATCTGGCCCTCGCTGATGTGTTTCACCTACATCTGACTGTCTCTACTCACCTTGAGTATTTAGTCTCTGTGTTACCCTCCTTCTGCGCCAGTTTTGTCTTTTACCAGAGCCTGCCTTTTCTAGTAATAGTATTCCTCCTGTAAGACCGGCTTCTTTAGTTTGGACTTGTTTCTACCAGCTGAATTTTGTACTTTTGCCTAATCTTTTTTTCAACTTGAGGTAAAACTTTTTGAACTTTTTTTTTTTTCAACTGTTGTCTGAGTTATCTGCAATCTTGTCCTCTGTTTGTGCCAAGTGTGACAAATTGGAGAGTACCTGCAGGACTGCACATGCATAATTCCACAACACCTAAAACGTCATCACATTTAACTTGAATCAGATATTTTTATGTTTCATCTTTCATGTTAGACGCGATACTTAGGTCTTAGAAAACATATGCACACCTCCTCTGTACTCAGTGTTGCTTCTCCAGTCGCCAAGGTCAATCTCCACTGTACCAGCGATGACCAGCTCAAGTTCTCGGGCATCAAACACAGACACAAGCCTGGAGTCAACCACCTAGGATCAAAAACAACATGTTTTATTAGTCTTTGGGGTTTATTTCATGTGCTCACCTTTGTTTAATTGCTGGCTATTGCTCCAAACAGCACCCGACAAAGAAAGACCCTCTGACCTTCTTTAGTGTTCAATGTTTGAATGAAAATAAAAAGGTATTTATGACAAAGTTATGTTGCTAGAGTTATTTCCTGGTTGCATGTAAAATGTGAGAATTGGAACAACTTTGTTTACCTCGTAGAAGCCTCTGACGAGTGCCTCTGTCTGCTGCACCACTCCTCTCTCCACCCTCCACTTTGCCATTCGCTCAATATAATCCTTCTTGTTCTTCTCAGTCACTTGGAGGTGGGAGCCGCCTGACTTCAGCTCTCGCTCTGTGACCTGGAAACAAAGAATCCGGTTTACAGTGAACAGTGAACGCTCTATATTGTGGTCCACATGCACCTCAGGTTATAAGTATTTAAATTGGGATATGTGGCTGGTGCTGTCAGCAGAATCAAACACCCACAGACACACATGCTGACCTGGCCAAAGACCTCCTCGTTGACAGTGAAGGTGAGGTCCAGGATGTCAGTGATGTCGTTGTCCTTCATCCATTGCAGAGACTGGTGGAACTCCTCATCCAGGTACTCCAGATCAGACAGGTCTGTTGGCCTGGAGAAGAAATGAGGTCACATAAACTTCACATGGAGTGACCGCAATAGAGTGCAGGATATTTAAAGAGGGACTAATATGCTTATTGTCCCTCTGATATCTTTGAAGCAGCTAGACATGATTTACAGTTCAACAAATTCTAATTATATTTCAAGCTACTACCCTCTCATTTCAGCCTCTATCTGAGACGCTTCAGCTCAGTATTTATTTGCACATAATTTGGATAATCAACAATAAATAATAATAATAAATTGGTGGAGTAGATAAAAAACACAAAAGTACACGAAATGAAAATCATAACGAATGAGATTTTTAAGAACCTTCCTTTAAAATACCAGGATACATCATTCCCTCAAATTGCTCATCCATCTGATTCTTCCTCATCAAAGCTCTGAAACTTGTCATTCTTCTTCTAGTTGTCATTTTTGAGTCTCTTGAGTAAAGTTATAGCAAGATTTTAGCTTCACAGAGCTTAAAATACAAAACAAACAACAGAGCAGGAGAAAGAGCAGGAAAATGTAGCAAATAGTGAAATATAACACCTTTGGTAAAAAGCATGCACTTAAATTGACTGCTCTGGTAGTTCGAGGTAGTTATACTCAGATCTCTTTTGTGTTTTGAAAATTTAATGATAAAACAATGTTAGAATACAATATACACCCATTTAGGAAAAGTCAGGGTGCGACTGGTGTATAGGTTTTATTTTTAAAAAGTTATGACCTTGTACATTTTGAAAGCAGTCAAAATGACTGACTCGGTAGTTCGAGCCTCTAGGATTTGATCTGCAATTTACAAACCAACTGGAGACTTCACAGTGGTCATGTCTTCTACTTAAACTATATGAAACATTTTTTTGTTGTTGATTTTAACTTCTTAAAAATTGAAGGAAAATGCGTTCAAGATGTGAGTGTGTACTCACAGCCTGAGCAGGGCCTTGTAGAAGGGTCTGGTGAAGAAAGCATCAAGTAGGTACTGATGGATCAGAGCCAGGCCCAGGATACGACCACTAAAACGGAACCTAGACATACATACAGACATAAAACCATAGAAGAGTCAATCATTACACGAGTCCAAGTAAAATATTGTCATGTGGAAGGTATAAATGATCCTCTCACTGGCCTGATACTAAAATCTACATTTCTTGAACTAAATTTGATCTAACGCCCCCTTTAAAAGTCAATATTGCTCTGTTTAGACAATACAAACAAACAGTCAAGAAAATTAAAGCCCTGTCTAATAAAAAACAAGCATGTTCCATCCTCTCCTACTGCATCCTGGCCATCCCAGGTGAGCTGCTTAAGACTATTGTTTAATCAAATAGATTGTGCCGCCGGCCTTTGTTGATCTGAAATTAGCGCGCTGAACCCTTTGTACTTTGTTTTCTCATGACTCAGATCTTTTGGATTAGATCCGAGTCGGTAGTTTCAGTGTGATTGTGTTGTGTGTTTTGATTGCGAAGCTTACCATTCCAGATGGTTCTCAACAAATGCTGACATGGGGCTGATCTGGACAGTGTAGGTATCATTAGCGGAGTACTCAAACAGTCCATAGTACGGATTGAACAACTCCTGAGACAAGAGGAAGAAGAACTCTCTGGAGGGACCGCTGTAGTCCAACCTGAGGAGGCAAGCAGATAGAGACACGACATGTAGATTTAGTCAGTGAAACAAATATGGATGACTTCTATGGACAATAATTAAAGACATGACAATATAATGCTGGTGGAGGAGGAGGAGAGGCTGAAATGCTCTGCAGGACTGGGAGCAGAATTAGGCATAAATGTGTATGGGCCACTCAATCTATCTGTTTTTAAAACTACTGATAAGTGCAACTTAAATTCAGAATATGCATTTTTGTATCACTGATAGCAGATTAAAGGCCTTGAAAGTTGATCAAACTTTCATAACACGCACTGTTATGCATCAAATTTTGACTCTTGTGGTTTTTGTGTGCATGTGAGTGCTGGTCTGTCTTACCCCTCCTCTCCCAGGAAAGTGACGTAGAGTTTGTTTCTCTGCAGCTCCTTGCGAGAGTACGCCATCACCTGGTTGAAGGTTCCTTCCAGCAGGTGCTCTCTTCTGATCAGCAACCTGCAATAACAAAGAAGAGATTTTTTTTCTTCACCTGGGAGTTTCAAATTGAGCTTTTATTATCAACCTGTGATTAAATTCAGCAGGAAATGAAAGTATTTATTCCTGTTATAATGTAATAGATAATTTATTCTGCCTCCTGTGTATTAGCATTTGGAAGTATGTGGTGTCTAAATCATAAAGCTCTTAGTTTATTACAGTAAGAATCACATGTTCATATGTTTGCATTGTCTTACTTGATCTTGCCTGGTCCCTGGCCATAACCCTTAGCTTCTAATTTCCTGTAGAAGTTTCTTAGTTTGGCTTCGAAGTCTCTGCGGTAAGGAGCAGGAGCCCTGGCCCTCTGCAAGCCTGCAAATACAAATGTAGACACACATAATCAAACAAAGGATGGTAAACACAGAAAAACAAGAGAAAACAGATACACTGGAGTTAAAGAAAATGCAATTACATAAAAAAATTTGAGCTTAAGTCGTGAGGTTGAACCTGTTTTAAGGGGAAATTATACCCCTAAAAACGGGCTTTTGATATTCATTTGGTATAAGCTGAGGTCGTTTTTCATAAATACAATGATACTTTTTTTCCACTTAGTAAAATAACTTCACAACACTGAGGGATTATAAAAAAAAGCATTAGTAGAGTCAGCGTGCAGCTTCTGATGTATCGTAGCACAGTCTAGTTGACCCCACACCAATTTATCATAGTTTTTTTTTCAGCCTAAATTTACATGAAAACAAAAACACAACTAATGAACGTTTCACAGAATTCCAAGACAGGCGTATCTGCTGTGACCCAGTTTCTCTCTATGAAACCTCCGACCAAAAACATGTGTCCTCTGACGCACACACATTCTTGTTTATTTTCGCCCTCATTAAGACAACACGAGTGGCCCCTAACACAGCACAGCGGGGTCTTTCAAACAGAAATGATTACTATGAGGTTTCTGTGTTTGTTTGTGGTACTGTGCTAGATGAGTGTCAACAAGCCTTCAGAGTGTTTCCACATCTTTTTGCAATCATGAATGAATGAAAGTGTTTTGTTTGATTGCAAGTATTCATACTTAGTACAAAATGTAAAGTGAAGAATAATTAAGACAATTGAGATTTTTTATATGTGTATATATTTGTCTGTGGATAAGATAAATTCCACTCACTTGCCTTCTTACAGTCAACACTAAAAAGGGTAACAACAATTTTCCTTTTGGTGAGTTAAATAGACTGAAAACTAAAATAAATGTTACAAAAAGGAATAAAATTCAGTCAAAATCAGGATCACTGACAGCACCTGATTAAAACCAATATCAAAACAGATCGAAGAATATACACTGAAAAACATTTGCTTTGATTTCTGTGTCAGTTGTATGAAATATCTTTGATTTACAAACAGTTAAGACAAGGTTGTTTTGGAAAGGTTGGCAGATCTATGCTGCTCTCTGTTGGACAACTCTGAAATGCTCTATAAACCTTATCAGTATGTTTTTTTGTTTCTACTTTTAAAATATATGTTTCTATGACAGATTATGTTTTTGTTTTCACTGCATTTTTGTCTCAATTTCAGAAGTTAAATTATTTTTTTTTTAATTTCAAAATATCCTTAAATTTTGGAGAATCTTTACATGAAGGAGTGGCCTGATACCATCCCCTGTTGGAGTTCAGTTGTTTCAGAAAAGAGGTTTCAAATCGTTACAGAGAAACAGTGACTGTAAGACATTCCCGACTGTCGGGCTGAAGGACGTACCAGGTGAGTTCTGAGGCGATGAGGCAGGCGAACAGCGAGGAGAGAAGCTGAAGCCTGGGTGGATGGGATGAGGCGGAGCATAAGACATGATTTCCTCTTCATATAAGCTGCAGAAATAAAACAGAACAGCAAGAAAAATGTTATGCTTATACATACATTTATTAAAAAACAGGGTTCTCAGGATTTTATTTTGTTTTTGTACCTTAAAAGGATGACCAGATCTGCATCACAAGACAGCTTCTCCACTCCCTGAGTACCTTCTGTTCGAATGTAGTGGATTTTTTCCCTAATCAGCCAAAAAAAAAGAAGAAAAAAACAGTAAAAAACAAAGCTCTTATGCTTTTTTTCCCCCTAAACTTCCTAAATACAACCCAACATTTAGTTTTTATTTGAGACATGCTCTCATTGTTTTCTTAAGCCTCCTTGTAAAGAAAGACACTTCAATGTTGATGTACAGTACAACACCACTATAGAAGATGCCCTGTGTGCAGCAGTGTCAGTTTTTGTAACTTGGTGCAGGTGATGCTAAGAAATCGTCAAATTTGACAGAAAATAAGGAGATTTATTACACACATAAGGGCTGACTCGCTTCTTTTTTCTTGCAATTTCCTCTTTTCAGAAAAACAAAGTGTTTTTCCTCATAGCTTCAGTTCACGGTAACTGACATATACCACACTAAGTACCTCTATATCCTTGTATTAAGAGGAAGGTGAGCAGACAATATGACTTAAGGGAGTGCTCTGTCTTCCTTTTAGCTTTTCCTTCACAGTCCATTTTATTTATGACATTTGTTATTTATTTATGTTATTTAAAACTATAACTCATTTGTCATGTTTCATCAGATGTTTTACAAAAACTAAGTGAAAAGGATTAAATGGAAATACGCTGTTCAGTAGTCTCATGTGCAGCTAATTTCTTTATTTTCTATCAAACCATTGTCCTGCAATTTGGTATGAATTCTTTCTCTTTGGCAGAGGGCTTTTTTTTTTTTTAAAGAGTGCAGGAAAGTAGCAAAGAGGATAAGAAAAACAACAACTAAAAGGACAGGATGAGGAAAGGAGTGCAAAAGAGGAATATGAAGATGAGTATATATGTCTGTAACACTATTTAATCCAATAATAACTGGAGACGAACTCAGTCACAGCAGAGACTACATTTGCAGTTCTATACCTGAAAGAAAGCCTATACCAGGTGTATAACTTGGATTGTTACAGCAGCATAAAATCCCAGTCTTAAATATTAGCCACTATGCACCAGGAAACTGCTATTTTCTACCCTTCTATTTCTGAATCTTAAAGAGAGGCAAACCTCAGCGCATGGTTTCTGCTAAGGCTCGGCTGTCGCTCCTGCAACATGTCAAAAATGTTGGGCTGTCGAAGGAATGCCACGATCTTGTCATTGTAGGCTGGTGAGAGAAAGCAGACAGAAACCATCATAAGTTAGCATGAGGAAAGACCATGACGGAGAAGTTGAGGCCAAATGAACTTTTCTGTGACTTTCAGTGCTTACATGGAGCGCTCAGTTGTTGTGGGTGACTCCGTATGGCCGCCACTAAGCTGTTTCCAGGCCTGGCCATAAGAGAAGCCCCACGACTCCTGGACACATCAGAGGCCTAGAAATAATAAAAAAGCATTTAGAAATATTAACATCACGTTTTTTACTTCCCCTGTGGCTTACCATAGTGAGTAACAATCTTAAGCTACAACATGAACCTGATTTTAAAGCTTTTAAGTTCAAAACAGCTTCTCTATGCTTCTACAGTTTCTTAGCAGTTAAATCATGCTTTCTGGAATGGTCTGGTGTTACTGCACATTTAAATTTACACTGAAATCCTACATACTGTGACACTTGAGTGTTGTCTTTAAAGATTAAATCTGGAGAATTATTTTGTTTTTCTTATAAAAAACTAAAGCCATTTCAAAAAAGCTGAAAGTTTTATGAAATTATGGGTTTTTTTTGTTGTTATTTTTTCATATATATGTATATTTGCTCAGTAATTACTTATGAACTTATGCCTGAGTTGCAAAACAGCATAAGGAGGTACTCTCTAATAGCATGCTGCCATGTGTCATGCTTTGATAGTCCACAATGCTAACAATCTGCTGGGGCGACTTCTATGTGGCTATTTTGTTTCTCCTAATCAATACTGCATGTGCTTGTACTTCTCCAGCGCTGTAGCTGCGTAGTCTCTGCAGGTGTTGTCTGTGGGCGAGATGCCCAGGCAGCCGGCCATTCTGCAGAGGGATGCGGGGGTCGATGAAGGTCGTGGCTCGACTGTTGTGGTCTACGAAGAAAGACTGACAGACAGACAGCAGAAAACTGAAATTAGTCCAATATTCTTGTAGAATAATCTTCATTGTAACAAATACTGGAGCACATTTGATATAACGGCACCCGTCACTGCTTTTGCTTTTATTACTTTTCCTTATTCTGTATTCTGAACATTATACATTATATGTTCTACATTTTGGCCTATGTAGTAGATGTGGCTTGTGCACATCCATTGGGAGCATTTTGTGTTTGAAAGCTAACGCATAAATTAATAAAAGGTGAATCTGAAAAGAGATACTCCAGCAAGTAAGTGGCGCAGTAATCATCTACCTTGCTAATGTCACAGATTGTCAATATTTTGTCTCTGATTGTGTTTTTGTTTTACAATCTTAAGGCTCATTGTAAGCCACATCAGAGTGACTTTAACACTGCATACAAATACACAGTCATACTGAAAATAGTTGCATGTCCAGTATGTGTCCTTGGACCATTCTGCACAGCCAGCATTTCTAGGTATAAACTGTGCTTACTGCAAACATTCACCCGTCTTCATGAATAAATAAATCTAGGATCATTCTATTCAGGTAAATTACCTTGCCCTGGGGGTCAGTCTTGATCTCCCAGCCTCGTGGCAGCTCTAGCTGAGTGTCTGCAAACTTGTTGAGGAAAACCACCAGGTCCCGGTTATGTTGATAACGTTCAAAGTTTCTGGCATCACGGCGCACCTTCAGGATCATGTGTTTCACACAGCTGCTGCTGGTGAACATTCGGTACGCTGCCTGTAAGAGCAACATCCTCTGGTTTACTTTTTATTTCTTAAAGTTATTGAGCTTTACTGAAGTTGCATCTTCGTGTAAAAGAATCAAAAATATTTTTGATATACAGTACAGGCCAAAAGTTTGGACACACCTTCTCATTCAATGCATTTTCTTTGTTTTCATTACTATTTAAATTGTAGATCCTCAAAACTATGAATGAACACATGCGGAATCATGTGCTTAAGAAAAAAGTGTGAAATAACTGAAAACATGTTTTATATTTTAGATTTCTCAAAGTAGCCACCCTTTGCTTTTTTGATAGCGCTGCAAACTTTAGCTGTTCTCTCATCGAGCTTCATGAGGTAGTCACCTGAAATGGTTTTTACTTCACAGGAGTGCCTGAAGTAACCCTGACAAGGTACTTCTGTCATCAAGAGCAAAGGGTGGCTATTTTAAAGAAACTAGAATATAAAACATGTTTTCGGTTATTTCACACTTTTTTTATAAGTACAAATTTCTACATGTGTTCATTCATATTTTTAATGCCTTCAGTAATAATCTACAATGTAAATGGTCTTATAAATAAATAAAGAAAAGACATTGAATGAGAAGGTGTGTCCAAACTTTTGGCCTGTACTGTATTGGTTGAAAAATAAAACTCTGAAGTCTTTATTTACCAACAAATACAGTGCTGCTTGTGTGAGCAGTACTTACATAATTACTGTGCAACACAGTGAAGAATTCTGGGTGTGTGATGAACTTGACTGCAGGTGATTGGAGGAGATTGCTGATCTTCTGATGATTGACAGGTGAACTAGGGCCTGCAGACAGACAGCAGATTTGTGTCTTTCTCAGGGCAGTTCACAGAGGCTAACATATGTATTATGTTCAGACACTGTTGAAGGTACAACAGTAAATCATCCATACATGATGGGTATGTCTCATTTCTATCTGTTTAAATGAGCACTAAAAGCCGTGTGCTGTACCTGTCTGAGGAGGTTCTGATTCATTCTCTGTACTGTTGCTCCTCTCTAACCTTGGACCTCCACCATCCTCCTCTGTCGCCATGGTCCTCTGGATGTTCTGGTACCTACAGAAACAATAAAACATCTTCTTAAACATTTCACTATTATCAAGACCATGAAATGTCACTTTTTACTCTGAGTTTATGCTTATTTATCCCTCTCTTTTCATGCAGTACACACTGTGGACATCTCTCTCTGGACTTAATTTCCTCTCCAGTCACCAGATGTCAGCCTTTCTCCACGGATCTTATGAGGCTCCCAATAGTGCACTAACTCTAATTGCATCCTCTTCCTTATACTCTCTCCTTTGTCCTTGCCTTGTTTCAGCACTATGTCAGAGCTTTTTTATGAATAAAAATACAAGATTTTGGTTTATATAAGTGCAAAATATGTCTTGATAAAATGCCAAATTTTTCTTTGACCTCAGATCTACAAGGAACTTCTCATTTCCTGTGAACGAGGTACAGGGAGGAAGAAGGGCTCTAACCATCAGGTGTTTTTATAAATGATGTATGTACTTATTTACTCTATTTATGTACTATTCTTTGTAAATATAATGTAAATATGTTGGAGACTGACTCTTTATTGAGGTTTAAAAAAAGCTTAATGCTTCATACTACTTCTGTTCGATTGTTGGGTTCACATTATTATTAGTAGTATTTCTTTTTTTGTTTTGCTTTGATTAATGTTATTGTTGTTTTGAATATTCTCATTGGTTTTGTTTGTATGTTTTCAGTTTACTTTCTTGTGTTGCACGCACATGTTCGAAAAATATATATAAATAAAAATAAAAAAGATTTGAAAAGATGCCTACCGCTACACAATGCAGTTTTAATAGCAAGACCAATATGATGACACCAGTAGTGTGTGATAAGAGTCTACAATGGCTGGTTTCATCTGTTGTTGTTAAGATAAATACATTTTTTTTAAAGGTGTTTTCTTAATTAAGTTTAATCAGATGTTGGTTTGACAACATCGGTTGAGTTGGTTGCTGCCTCTGTGTGTAGTGCAGTCTGACCTCCTGTTGAGTTGTTCCATCTGCTGCGTGGATCCTGAGCGGGGGATGCCGTGGTTACACTTGCCACTGTTGCTCGGTCTCTGCCAGGTTGTGGTTCGGTTGACGTGGTCCACATAGAAAACTCTGCCATGGCTGTCCACGCGAGCTTCCCAGTCTGTCAAAAGAGAGATGAGCAGAGTCAGATTTTTTTTCCTTTTTTTTTTTTAAATTTAATAATTGCTCAAACTCCAGAGGTTAAACAAGAACATCCAGAGCTGAGTGGTGCACAAATCCTTACTTTAGTTACCACTCGCTCAAAGTTTTAGTATCCAGACCGCACTTCTCTTATCTTTCTTCTTTGAACACCATCCGCTCACCAGGACTGAGTTTCTTCTTTAAAGGAAAGTAGAGAGGTTGGGCTTTTTCCCACCGCTTTGATGCTTTACATCATAAACCAAAACTGAGTGGATAATAAATCCCTTCATGCATGCTCTGATGCCTGCCCTTAAGATCACTTAGACTTTCAGATCTTTACTGACAAGCTGATCGATGCCGGATTGGAGAGCATGAGCTTTTTGTTAAAACACTGTGGGCGTGCAGCAACTGCGAGTTAAAAAAAAGCCTGAAACTCTGTAACTAGTTCAAGAAAAGAGGAAGAATGTGGGAAAGAAGTGAGCTCACCTGCAGCCATAGTGCAGCAATTCATTAGGACATAACACCACCTTTGAAGATGTTACGCTAAACCTGTGAGCCAAGACATGCAGACCTACACCTCGAGCGGATACAGTAAAACATGAACGCTTCAGCAGATAGAAAATTAACTTCCATGTTTATTCTTGTACAATCAAATTAGATGCAGAAGGCTGGGGAATAAAAAAAAAGTTGTGTGGAGTCGAGGCAAACTGCACAGCTGGTGATAAATCTCAGTGGATTCACTCCTACAAGCTGTGCTTCTATTCACAGACTAAGTGTTGCTACCAAATTGAGCAAGTAAATAAATCAATACAAAGGAAAAACAAACAATTAACTAAATATTTTTATCCTAGCTCTTAAAGCTGTGTATTAAACTTCTAAAACACTTTTTTTGGCATCCAAAGGTGGTGAACTCCAATTTCTGCAGAACCAGAAAGGAATGCATCCTATTTATCACAGGAATTCTGGCCTCTTTCTCTCTCTTCATAAACATATAAAATGTCTGAAGGTTAACTTGGAAACATACAGACAATTAAAATTGACACATTTATTCCTTAAAAATGTATATTTATATCTTCAACTGCTTCTCTCTCCAACATCTCAGTTTTGCAACAACCTCTTACCACCACTCATCCTGCAGCTGTAAATCTCTACATCTGTCCTTCTACCCCAGTCACCTCCACTCCTCATCATTGTCTGAATTTCACCTGTCATATGTCAACCCTTCTTTTTATCTTGCATCCTTTCCGTGCAACAACTACCAACGCGTAGACTCCTATCCTGCAGTCAGCCTTGCGAACAGTTAGAAGAAATAGGGACGTCACAGTAAGGTCTAATCACCACGGACTTTGCACATTTGACATCCTTTTTTGCATCTTGTTAAAGATTAAATCTCTCTTCATTAAAATTATTTTAATCCAGAAAGATTTGTTACAATTTCAAAAGCTCATATTACCCCACTGGCAGCAACTGTACAAGTACAAACACTGTAAGAATCACTTGCCTTTGAACTCTTGGTTAAAAATGACTACAGTAAAAACGGTGTGTAATCGTAATTTTTTTTACCCTTTGCTGCCTGCTTTGAGGATGTTTTTTGGGGGGGATTTTGTGATCAAATGCATTGATGAAAGGCAGAAACCAAAAGCAGTTTAAAACCAGAACATGAAAGCTTGCCATTTGTGTATTTTGCATGTCAGAACCAGGATTTTAATTAGGTTAATAAATGGCCTCAGTGTGAATGTGTGAGACAATAACAGCAGCAGCTTTTCTCAGCTCTGACTAACTGCTGAAAGAGAAGGAGGAAGATGAAGGCTGCCCCCTCAGGAAAGGAAAACTTTTCCTCTGCTGGTTGTAATGACTCCTTTGCCTGTACACACACACACACATGCACGCACGCACACATACACACAGGACAGCCTTTTTTCTTCCCTTCACAGTTCGGGAGAAAGTTTGCCCATTTTCTTTTTGTAGCTCTGCTTCATTTCATCATGGTTTGGGCTGGTTTTAGGTGACTGCATAATCAGATAATGGTGTTAACTTTCTTGTACAGATCAGGCTTTGTTTCTGATAAACTTCAGTGTCACCATCAAATCCCAAGGTTTACAAAAGCACAGATTGACTCAACATAATGTGAAAGCAAAAGAAAACAGATGCTTTAACTAGTCACAGTGTAAATTGTTAAGAAAGACAATCTGGTCTTCTCACCAGACATGGCTTTCTGATTGGACATTTCTCAAGTAAATTGTGTTAATATTTGTAGCTGCAGTTTCTCGCTTGGGATTTTGTTTTCCATTTCAAACAGCCAGTGTTATTTTTATGAGTTCCTTACTATGGGTTACTAATAAAGATCATCTTCCAGTATTCTCACAAGACTGGCTTCCTTGGCTTGTCTGCTGCTCCTTTAACTTTAGACATCATACTGCTGAAAACTGGTAGCAAAACATTAACTTATTTAAGCTAATAGCATATCTTAAGTCAAGTGTACCAACAAGTATAAAGCCTAGATGACTTTGTTGTCAGCAAAGTCTTTTTTCTCCAACAAAGAATGACTGCGACTTATTGCTAGCAGATAGCTAATAATTAATAGTTAATAATTGCTTTATAAGAATTTATAGACACTGTTCTCACTTTAGATTCAGTAGCTGCAAAGGTGAATTGTTAATTGTTAACAAGTCCCTAATACAGATTTACTAATCCTAACAAGGCATTAATCTGGACACGTTATTGTCTTGTCATGTAATTAACAGAGAAAAATTCGTAGTAATTTTGATTAAAACTATACTGTTATAAATACTAAGTTTTCTGCAATTTTTTTTACAGGTCTATCATAAATATGTGAATTAGGGCCTGAATTTTTTATCGGCCAGTTTTGGCCCGTTTGAGACTAATCGGTAATTGGCCAAAACTTGCCGATTTTCATCGATATTTTCAGAAATAAAAAGCGGAGAATAAGATTTGGTTTCACTTAAAAAATGTTTCACCATTTGAAAAGTTCCCTGATTTATCCTGTAGATGGTGCAGCGATCTCAGTACAATCTTCATCCACTAACTACCTCACAGCACAGCAGAGTGAAGGATCTGAAGCAGGCAGCTCAGGGACGCACGGCGGAGAGTGGTCCGCCTCAACGGTAAATAAACCAGTTTGTGAAATACACAATAAGTCAACAAGTTTCAGTTCAACCCACATCACGATGTTCCCCGCTGTGCTGGTCTCAGTCACGCCGAGTTAACGGTGAAGCACCATGTAATATGCAAGCTTAAGTTAGAATTAGCCACCTGCTATTGGCCTTGCTACACTGTTAGCCGTGCCAGTAACGGTAGAATAAACAACAGTACACATTAAGTGATCGAGCTACTTCTCTTTCTGAGGCAGCTGCATGTCTCAGATGAGACTGGACCGAAAATGAGCAACATGAGTTAAGACATGGAGGGGTAGTTGAAAACGTTTTTCTGGTCTGAGTTTGATCAGTCGGTCTTCCTGTCAGCATGAAGAGCAGTACCCTTCAGTATATTTACAGTATATAGTGTACTATAGATATCTACCGTATATTTATTTTTTTTAAACTTCATAAAAAATTTTAAAAACCGGCTGATTAATTGGTATCGGCCCCAAAAAATCCATATCGGTCGGGCCCTAATGTGAATTGATCTTGAATTAACCCCTATGAAGTCTAATTAATGTTAATAACCATCCTATAGATGTCTTTGACAGGCATATTAATTGTTTATATAAAAGTTTTGAATAAGGGCCTATAAGTGTATTATTATACACACTGCTAGCATTTGTGAATGTTTATAAGCACCTTATATGGTCTAATTGTTGGGTTAGCAATTATTATTTAGGCTTATTAAAAGACTACACCTGTTGTCTTTCTACGGTGACATTTATCACTCACTCTTACTATTTGCTGGTCTCATTTGCTTTTGAACATTATAGAGAAGCACATCTGTAAATAACCTTACTTTTCATCCCTTTGAAATTTGTTTATTGTAATTTGAGGTTTTAAACGGACCATTTATATGTTCTAGGATGAATCTAGGATGAATTAGTGTTCCACTTTGTTTCAGTGTGTTTCTGCCAAGGCCTGATGTTCCTTAACAGTGCAACCTCTGTGCCGACAAGCAAGCTACATAAACCATGTCTAAATGTTTCTGCCTAGAGATCATTCCTGCACCTAATCTTCCTTAAAACTTGTAAAAACGTATCTGCATTTTTAGGGAAAGGCTGCAGCTTCATGGCGAAGCAAACGTGTCCTGTATTTGGGACTTCCAGTGGATAAAAATGATGATGGAGATGGTGATGTGGAGTTTACTTTTTCCAGAAATTGACTTTCCTGCAAAGATCAGAGACCTTCCCAACATTAAAATCTCAACGCAGACCCACCTTGAACCAGAAGCAACAGAGAGCATTGTGATGATGAAAAGAGGTGGATGGTGAGATGGGCAATGACAAACACAGAGGAGATGTTTGGGACATTCATGGCAGCATGCAACTGAGTGAAATGAAGAAATGAAACACAGCAAACCAAGGTGCAGGGATGTGACTCCAGAGTAAGACTGGGAGGTGTTGATCTTACTTGGAGGTAAGGCTGGGTCAGTGGCTGCAGGAAAATGGTTTAGGTCATGGCTGGGTCGCAGGACTGGTAGATGACCAACTGGAGGGGAGAGGTCTGAGCCTACAGGACATCAGAGAAACATTATACTTATGTTACTATAGAACTGGAGATGGATCATATCACCTGTCAGGCTACATATTTGCACTCATAGGATGTTAAAACTCAGTCTTTCCTTGATTCCTAATTATAACACAGTATCCTTCTGATCTAAGTTTGTTTAAACTGTCACTATTGTAGGGCATGGATTTTGTCCTGTAGGCGACACTCATAGTTGATGCATGATGTTGGCTAATGTTGGAAAAAGACCAAACTCCAACAAATAAATTGTGAGAAAACAAAAAAGTAAAAAAATATACAAAGATCTCTCCATAACTGCTTAATGCTGCTGTGAGGAACGTTTGGTTTGTGCTGGTTCTGGCGCCCCCCTGTGGACAAAGTGATGATTGAATTCCCCGTTCTGCACATGCAAAGGTGTGTTTTCAGACAAAAACATCATCCAGAGTTGACCACTCACTCTGAGTATTTGTACTTGTAGAAGTTTAAAAAGACCTCTGCTGTCAACCATCTGGTCTGAAACCTACCCTCCCCTAGTGGTCCAGGCATTAAAATTAGGACAGAGAAATACCAAGTCTTGCTGCTAGCTCTCTTATTTCCTTTTTAATGAGATAGAAAGACATCAGTATCAGCTTCAGTCTGTTTCTCAAGCAGACAAATACTCCTAACAATGCCTTTAAATTGAGAATTACAAGGAGTTATCCTAAACTTCGATGAAGTTGGAGCTTTAACATTGTGTCCCAACAACATATGACGGGAATAAGCTACAGCAAAAGAACCCCCATAAAAATACTGTTTCCTACTGGCTTATTCACCTGCCCTTAATCAATAAAACATCATTTTAACTTTCTTTTTTTTTTATTTGCTTTCTTTGTCACAATCAATGCATTTGTTTTCACTGATTATTGTCATTTTTGAAGGATTGGATGTGGACAGTCTGAAAACACACAGACCTTTTCTGCAAGATAGAAAAGCCCATGAATGTTGATGAAACATGCCAAGTTTACAGTATTACTGGAGAGCTGCCGGTCTCACAAAATAAGTCAGTTTTACAGTAAGCTCTTACTTTAGAGCTGATATTGTAGTATATAGTAAAGCAATAATGTGTCATATTGGGATTACTTTCTTTGTTGTAGTTCCTGCTGACTGTCCTTTGCAATGTGTAATGACACTTTGCAATGACACTGAGAATAAAGGCAGATGGTGTTGTTTGGCTTGAGCTTGTTCCAACCAGTTCTCAACTTCTGATATGAACTATGCAGTATCATAAACAGTACCCTCTACACTTATGCCAAGTTATGTGTAAAACTTAAGAGTCACTATATGGACCTTTTACAGGCAACTAGAATGTAAATACTGGGTGTAAAAACATGGTCTCAGTAGGTTTATTTATGTTTTCTGCAAAATCCCCATGAATGGCATGGAGCTTTATTTTCGTGTATGCCGGTGACGCGGCGGAGGGTGAAACTTTCAACCCGAAATCAGCTCATTATAATTATTATAGTTATTTCTCAAACTCAGGCTTTTTGATTTGAACTCTTTCTTTTTTGCTGCCTCTTGGCCAGGACTCCCTTGAAAAAGAGGTTTTTAATCTCAATGGGACATTACTGGTTAAATAAAGGTAAAATACATAAAAGAATAAAACCATAATAGCAGTCTGTAAGTGTTTACAAAACACAGCTTGGAGCTATAAGTCCCTCCTGTTTTCTAGTGGAGGATACTGTCCAAGCAGAAACTCAAGCAAAAATACTCACACAATGGCTCTCTGCAGACATCCTCCGATATATTCAACTGCACACATTACAAAGCATTACTCACCTTTCTCCTTGTTTCTGTTTTTCCACAATCCTCACATCATAAGAGGGGACACCCTTAAACAGTGTTCTGTACATACCTGTTTCAAATGGCTCATATCTGTGATGGGTCTTCAACTTGCAAAATATCTATTATTGTGTAGAATTAATTTAGATAACATGAGTGCATCTGTTTTTAAAAGTGGATATAATAATTCATCCATGCATAATATAACACAAAATAAGTATTAAGTGCAAACTAGTGGGCTTAAAATATGACTGATATATTCATGGTTCTCTATAAAAATGGGACTGCAAAAATATGCAAATTTTTCCAAATTTGTAATGAATTGAAGAGTTTCATTAGTAATATCAGAAAAGAACAAGATCTGGTCTGACTATTATTTCTAATTGGAGGGGAAAAGAAGCTTTTTAATATTTAAACACTGTGAGAAAACTCTCTTTCCATTTGGTGAAGGTTGTTTTAGTAGGTTTGGAGATGAACAGGAGATAGGAAAGGAAAGAAATTTGTTTGAAAGGGCAAACCTGGCAGGCTGCTGCCGCTGATTGCATTTCAGAGGAGGGAATTTCATTTTGTTCCTGAAAAACTCTGCCTGTGTGTGTGTGTGACCTACTTTTCCAACAGTCTATAAGAGTCATCATGTAAAATGTTCTAATACAGTATAAAACATCAAAACGTACCCAGTGAAACAAGGTCAGTCTAATTTGACTGCAGGCGGTGTGTGAAGCAGCTGAAATGTCTTTCTTTTGCACTTAGGACCTGAGAAATTTACATCTCTGCACATTTAGCATTTTTTTAAATCAGGTTAACGTCCTGATTTGTAAATTCTGTTTAGATTATTGTGCAAATTCAACATCCAGGCATTACAGGGTTAATTTGGTGTGTTTCAAAATACATACAGCCATGTGTAAGGGTCAATGACGTATAAGGTTTTTCAACATGCCAATTTTAAAATACCAAAAATAAGAATATCTTTTGCAACAGTTCAAACACTAAGGATGTTATGTATACAAAAACTAAAGTTTAATTTTTAAATTAGGCAATTTTAGTGTTTTTTCATATAGATGAATTGCCCGTGGCCTTAAAAAATGTCATTTGGTGCGACCAACATTTATCTCAAAATTATTACATTTTTTCAACATACCCATAGTTTTTTACAAATTGTCGGTAATATCAAATACTCAGGGACAAAGCGTTTGCATTTTATTTGAGTTTTTGTAAATAATGATCTCAAATATTAGCTCTATAATGTCACAGTCGCTATATCTAATGTAGTTCACTGACTATTTTTTTCTTTAAATTGCATAATACTGATAAAAATGTTTTGAAACTACCTTTCATGTAAGCATATTGTTTCAGGTATTAATGTCCCAGTAACAGAATTTAGATATTTTAGTTTGTATTTGATATAATTAATGTTATTATTGGTCGCACCACATGATTGGTGGTCGCGCCAAATGACCTGAGGACCTTGTATCATTAAAAATCAATTTAAAGAGACCTATGAACAATTAATTTCATGCAAATTTTATATTCAAACCAAATTTTATTAACATTTCAAACATGAACACAAACATTTCATTTCCCTTTTTGACAAAAATTTAACTCTGTGTGTGTTTGTTTATGTGGTCCAGAGGCCTGCACTACGAAGCTGGATTAACACACCCAGGATAACTCTGCCACAACTCGCTCAACTTCACCAGATCTCCGTAATCCCGATCAGCTGTACTACGAGGCAGGATATCAACTCGCTAACTAAATTCAGTTGTGGTCAGTCTAGATCTGTGTGCGCACACGTAAAGGAGGTGGGGTCAGTGGCACCGGACCAATCTCCACAATGGAGAAGGCTGCACGTCATATTTCACAGCCGAGGAGCAGAGCATTATTTTACGCAAATACGAGGAGTACCACAACATTATAACAGTGAGGAGCAGGACAGCCACAGCCGTTAAAAGCGGGAGGGACGGCTGGCAACAAATATATGGCCCCCTAATATGTTGTCATGCAGCGTGTGTGATCACCACCATCATTGACCTCATTATTTCAGATACAACAGCAGTGGGGAAAAGAGTACATGGGAGCAAATAAAAATAAATCTAAAAACATCCTTTAAAGTAGTTTGTAGGTTTATTGGAAGATTTTATTTGTACATATTTCAACGCGTTGACAGTGATTTCCTCACACTGCCTTTTTTTCTTTTTTCTCCATGATGGTCACATGTCATCTGCAGACACATTTGGGGTTAAGAGTTTTCTAATCTGCTTCAATAAATTCTGAATGATGACTGATATGCTGCATGAAATTGGAACCTGGAGCTTGGCAAATATTAGTGCATTGCAGAGACTTCATGCTACCTGAATACTGAGGCCGTCCGAGGAAAACTTGTAACGTTCATAGACAACGTCATCAGGTATATCAAACGGATTTGAACGATCATGAATATAACGCTCTCGGCGAAGCGCTCCTCTCACTATCCGTGCAATGATGTCCCCGGGATCCGGCAAAAGTGGGCAAGCCATTTTCCAAGAGATCCGACTGGTCATTGGGCGGTCTTATATACCTGCTGAGATCTTATCCTGAAACATAACCTGCTCCGGAGCAGGTTTGGTTACCGGGGCAACGGACCCGGATCAAAAGGGATCCACCTTCGTAGCACGGAAAACCCAGAAGTTATCTCGCTGAGACCAAATCCAGCTTCGTAGTATAGGCCTCAGGACTGGTAAGGCATCTTCATTTGTTGAATAACAGAAATATCCCATGCAGCATGCAGTGTCATTTATCATTCCTTTCTATGTACTTTGCATTACAGATAGAACATGATTTCAGGCTCCTTTTTGGTGAGGTCACTGCCAACAAATTCTCAGAAAGGTGGCCCAGTTTCAAAGCAAACGTTATCAAGGAAAGCCATGGACTGGCGCCCACCACAGAACTCTTGGAATTAATGCGCAATTCTGAGTCTGCTGTTGGAGTTGAGAATGGTATGACTGGAACTTTAATTACTGTTGTTGATGATATAGATATAGTTATTGTGCCAATTTAAGGTAGCCTACATGTGGCATTCTGCTAACCTGATGTTTTAATGTAGGCTGGGGCAGTGACATGTCTGCTATCTTGCTGCTACTCCACCTGCTACCACTTCCAGATTGAAAATGATAAATAGTTGAAAAATTGCAATGTAGTTATAAAAGGCTTGAGTGAATGTGAATATTTTATTTTTGAATAATAATAATAATAATAATAATATTTTTTGGGCATCAACCGCGATTTGGTCATTGTTAATTCTTTCAGTTTGAGCTAATAGTTCCAGGCCTTGTCTACCTTGTACCATAGGCGATCAACAATGGATTTGGACAGGAGCGTATCCTCTGCGGGATACCAGTTATAAGAGCTAAACATCAACACCAGGCCGAAATCCTCCCAGCCAGCAGTGGACAGGAGCCACCAAGGCAAAGCGAAAGGCAAGATGGTGTCCAATACAGCCGTGATTGAAGACAAGAAGGACCCTGTGAAACAGGAACTACTACAGAAAGAACTGGTGCTGAATGAGTGGCGAGGAGTGCGAGGAGATTGGTAAATAAGAGTTCAGCCTCAAAATCAAATCAAGCTAAGCTGATGTTAAATTTTTGAATGCACTAAACGATCTTAGGGTAAATTACAATGATGGTTGGCTTGTTGTTATAGTCTATTGGTTGGTCACTGAATATTTCATGTTAAATGTGCACATAGAGAGCAATGCTGACACAAACTTGGCCAATAGACCTGATTCTGCTTTGATAAATTATTCCTTTTCAGTACAAACAGGCATGTATGACAGCAATTGATGCAACAGCTGATCTGGCTTTTCACCAATGGATTGTTGAAAATGTAAGTAGTAATCAAGCTAAGCTTTATTGGCATTATTGATCATATGTACACTTGCTACATGTCAAAATGTACAGTAAAGTGACTAGAGGTCAAGGAGCAAAGTGCATGCAGAACATTATGATTGCAATGGGAATGGTCCTGTAACTGTTAATAATGCATGTTACTAAATCAAACAGAATATAAAATAATACTTATACTACTACTACTAAAAATAATAATAATAGTAATAATAATAATAATAATGAAAATAATAATTATCATAATCAAACTTTATTTAAAAAGCACTTTTCATACAAAGGATGTAACACAAAGTGCATTACAGTCCATTATTACTATAATTACAATAATAATAATAATTATTATTGTTATAATTGTGGCCAAATAAACAGGCCCAAGCAGTGTTGCATCACCAACTTTGTGATTCCATAGCTATGGACCACACACAGGGGCTGTGGCTTAATTTTTGAAATTTTGTAGGAGCGCTATGAAGCCAATTTTGGTTGTATCTCCATTTTGACACTGGAACCCACAAGAGGATGCCCCTCCTGATCATATCTATGGCAATATTGCAGAATGCTACGGCCTCTCTGACCAACCAGGTGAAGCTGCCCCCCACCCCACGCCACACAAAATTTCAGGAAAATAGTTTGCTTCAATTATGCTGGTTTGTACTATTAACATTTTTGTTTGTGCTGCTATGGTTTTCAAGTTATTAAATATTGTTTATAGGTCATTCAGAGGTCACCCAGCCCCCCATTTGTTCCGAATGGACCTGAAATGGTGAAATTTTAACAGCACAAACAAAGCACTGATGAATGGCACAATTTCGGGTCCATTCAGAACAAGTGGGGGGCTGGGTGACCTCTGGATGACCTATAAAACAATATCTAATAACTTAAAAACCATAGCAGCACAAACAAAAACGAAAATTTTAACGGCACAAACCAGCACAAACGAAGCACAAATGAAGCAGACTGTTTTCCCAAGATTTCTCGTAGGGTGGGGGGCCAGCTTCACGTAGCCTGGCTGGGCCATCCAGTTGCGTGAATTACTTGACGTTCCTTCCCACCACAGGCCCATTGGAAGCCCTGAAAGCGGGCGGGAGTACTTTCCTTGATAGACAGACTACTGTAACCAATCACCGTAACCAAGCATCTGACATCATCACAGATGCTTGGTTACGGTGACTGGTTACAGTAGTACATGGACCAATCAGGGGCTGCCTTTCCCTGTTGTCCGAGTAACAGTGAAAACACAGTCTCTGATTGGCCCGGTTATTTTCTGATCGGGAATACACGCTCTCTATGGGCCGAAGTCCAGACTGTGGTGGGAAGGAACGTCAAGTGATTCACGCAACAGGATGGCCCAGCCAGGCTAAGCTTCACGCAGGTCTCTGACCACCACCAAACAAAACTCACAATCATACTCTGTAAGCAGAGTGTAATCACAGCTAGTCTATCCTGAATGCTACTGTGCAAATGTTTCAGGAAATAGGGAAAACTCCCGCAAATACGAGAGCAATTAGGCCTCAAATTCGCACACTGACACATCAACTGTGTTTATAATATAAACAATCTATGGTTTGTATCCAAAAGTGTCCATGAATACAGTCAAAAAATGGCCTCTGCTGTTCTACTTTTGTCAACTGTGTTGCTATGGCGACAAGAAGCTCCTCAGCATTTTTTAAACCTGCTTCTAGAATTTTGGGGCTTTGATGTGTCATCATGACTCTGTAATGATGTCATCATGACATCATGCCATCAAAGCCCCAGAAAAAGGTAAGTCAAGGGTTAAACCTTACATTGAAGCAAAGACTACAATACACAGAAAAGTTTTGTCACTCTGCGCTCTTTCTGCAACTCAGCTCATATTAAGCTGATCTTCATTTCCCTACACTTTAAAAAAAATAACATGACCATGAATAAAGACTATGCCAACATCCTCCCCAGTAACTACTGTTTGCTGAAGGAGGCTGGACATGGGGCCTTTGGGGTCGTGCTAAAATGTTTAAAAGTGGACACTGATGATATCGTTGCCATAAAGGTCCTACGTGATACCGAGGGGTTTAGAAATGAGGTAAGTTCAATGCTTTAGACACTTTTAGTTTTCACATAATAGAGAACCAAAAACAGACAGAAACACCTGGTGGGCTCAAACCTCTATACCTGAGGTTTGTCATGTCTGTGTTACAGGCAGAAAACACCTTACACAGATACCACTCTAAGTTCCTAGGTCCTACTCAAATTTTAACAATCAGTGTTCTCAGCAAAAATGCATCTTTCCTTTTTATTATGAATTTTGTCATACACACACCTTATTTTATTACCAAGAAACAAAGTTAGGAATATGTAAACATCTCAAGAAATGAGTTTTAACATTGTGTTTCTCTGTTTCATCTACAGTATGATTTGTTGGAATTCTTCAAGAGGAACAACTTGGACGAGAAGAACATCGTCAGGTATATTGAGATGATTCCACTGAAGGATAACATCAAAGGCTTAGTGTTTGAGATGTTGGATGAGACTCTTTGGAAACATATGACAGTCACCCGTAGCTTTGACCCTCTAAATCTGGCCAACGTTAGAAGCGTCATCCATCAGGTAAGAAAAGAGCAGACCAATCAATAACCAGCCGTCACGGCTGCTGATAGACTGCTCACAGGAAGTGAGACAAATAAGGAAAAATCTGCTATCTCTCTAATGACCAACAGGTGGCATTTGGGGAGGTAGTTTTCTAGATATTATTATTATTATTGTTGTCAAAGTTTAATTTCTTTGCTCTGACTGTGTACTTTGTCTGATTTGCAGATGGCTACAGCCTTGGATGTTCTGAAGACCTACAAAGTGATCCACTCGGATATAAAGCCGGACAACATCATGGTGGTGGACTCAGATGAGGAGCCTCTCCAGGTCAAGCTCATTGACTTTGGATTGGCTTTTCCAACCAGCTCTGCGGTGCAGGGCCAACGCAAACAAGCTTTAAACTTCAGGTAAGCTCTATCCCTCCTGCAAGATGTGATATCTTAGCCTGGCTGAGCCATCCTGTTGCGCGAATCACTTGCCGTTCCTTCCCACGACAGTCTGGACCTTGGCCCATTGGGAGTGTGTAGTTCCGGTCAGGTTATTTTCTGACCGGGAATATAAGCTCCCAGTGGGCCGAAGTCCAGACTGTTGTGGAAAGGAACGGCAAGTGATTCACACAACAGGATGGCCCAGCCAGGCTAATGATATCTTACTTAGAGATGAAAAGTTTTCTTAATTAACATTATGATTTTGTGTCACTTTCAGGGCTCCAGAGATCATTTTAGGGCAGCCGTTTTCAGAGGCCATTGACATGTGGTCTCTCGGTGTGGTGATGGCGTTCATGCTAACTGGACATAAGCTCTTTCCAGCAAGATTGGAATATGATGCTGTAAGTTTTTGAAATATTTCTTTTTCATTTCATTTCTTTTCTCCTGTTGGATTTAGTCTTGCTGGTCATTTAACAAAGAGACAGTGAACTTCAGTGGTTAAAAGTTGCTTGCATCTCCTTTATGAGGCTGTCGGACTAGATTCACACCTTGAGAGGGAGGACATATTATTTTCAGCATGCACTTTTGAAAAAAAATGTCCAGGTTACAAGAAAAAAGTCTAAATTCAACTTAGAGAATTAAGTCAATGTTGCTAAGTGGTTCAAGAACATTTTTGCAAATTTTTTTTTAAATTTTAATTGATTGATTTATTTAACATGTTGATGTTAATCTGTGTTGTTTTGCAGCTGCATTCCATGATCAAGGTCCTCGGTGCTCCTCCAAACCACGTTTTTGATAACGGGTTGAGAACCAGGATGTATTGCAAAAAGACTTCTGGCCAATGGAGACTGAAGGTAAGATCCTGAACAGTTTCATCTTAAATTTCTACCACAGTTAAGATTACCCTTTTCTAGATTTTCCACATAGTGATCAATGATGGAGAGATTTCTAAAAATAATTCTTTATCGTTTCAGACCCCTTACGAGTATGCTCAAACAGACGTTTGGTTTATTGACTCCTGCCACTGCCCTTTTGAAAGCCTGGACCAGCTGGAAAAAGTAAGTGTTAAAATCCACATAGTTGCAGCTCTAAATTAAGCTCTTCAAGAACCAGAAAGTTAACTTTTCTCCACTTTGTTTCCTCCATTAGCTAACCACCCTTGCTGGCGAGGATGCCAATGAGAAGAAGGAGTGCATCAACCTTTTGAAGGCCATGCTTCAGATAGATCCCAGCAAGAGAATCACCCCAAGCGAAGTCCTCGCCCATCCATTTATCACCAACGCAAAGCAAAGCTCTGAGTAAGTGTCTGTTTATGCCATAGACTGCATATACAATGGACATCATCTGGCTTCTCGCTAGGTGAAACCTTAGCGAGAACAGAATCCCCCGGTGACAGGCACAGTCTAGGTCATGTTGTCCTTACTATATACAGACGATGGTTTTAAATACATATGAACTGATTTCATATATTACCTTTAGACAGAGAGATTTAGGATTATTATTGTTTTAAAAGCTGTTAATAATCATCATTTAAAAAAGCACAAGTTCTACATATGTTTAAAATGATTTGTAGTTTTTAAAGTTCATCTTATACTTCGATCAAATGCCTGATGAAAGTTTAAATGAACTTTAGCAGGTGTAGGTGAACAAGAGTAAATGAGATAATTATCATCACAGAATTTCATACCAGAGTTTAGAGTATTCTGTCAGAACATGTCAGGTTCATATCAAAAGGCAGTAGGCCCGGGACAGAACCTTATGGTACACCCTTGTGCATTTCTAGAGTATAATCTTCATATACCTGTGATTGACTGCATATAATTTTACCTTCACAGCTCCAGGGGCAGCAGTGGCTTTAATGAACAGACCCCACGGACACCCTTATTGACCCTGGTTAAACCTAATACCCAGACCCCACGGAAACCCCGAATTATCCAGGTTAAACCTGAACCCGCTGAACACTCCTCTATATCGGAAGAAGACTCAGAGAAAGACTTGGAGCCGAAAAGGAGACCTTGTCTTCCCAGGTATTTCAAGGATGAGAGTGACACTGAGGGGGAGACCTCTAAGGACAGGACTGTCACTTCAGGTAGGAAACAACAACTGTAACTTTACATTGACATTTTTTTTTTCAAACTTTGAAATAAACAAGAAGTATGAAGAGTCGTGGCACTAACGCTAATCTCTGTCTTCCTTTGATTTTCATTGTTAAGGTGACCCGGTTCCAGTCAAGAGGAGACAGGCGGAGAAGAAGACCCCACGGAAACCCCTAATTATCCAGGTTAAACCTAAACCCCCTGAATTCGTCCTGAGTCCTCTCTCTATATCGGAAAAAGACTCAGGGGAAGACTTGGAGCCGAAAAGGAGACCTTGTCTTCCCAGGTATTTCCAGGATGAGAGTGACACTGAGAGGAGACCGGAGGAGAAGAAGAAGAAGAAGAAAGGTCAGAACTGTGTGGTCCTATTCGGTCGGTGGCTCCGGAAGAAGTCTTGTCGCTTCAGCAACTGCGTTCACTCTGTGAACTGAATCTCTCTGAGATAGTTTTTACAGCACAGCACCTCACCTGGGGGATTTCAGTGCTGCATTCCAGCTCAGGCCAACAGCACACGCCATCACTCACTGGCAGCATGGCAGCAGTGTTGCAGCTGCCTAGGGCTGCTGCTACACTGCGATGGCATGCGTTGTTGGAACCAGAACCAGAACACAGTGCTGATGGAGCGCAAAGAACATGCATCTGGCGGGTTTTTGGCTTATGGCTTTGATCCCGTGCAAAATCCTCCAGGTGACGTGATGTGCTGTAAAAACTATCCCAGATCTCTTGAGCAGCACGGTGGCTTCACGGAGGTCAGACTCTGTGTGGAGTTGGCGTGTTCTCCTCGTGTCTGCATGGGTTTTCCCCGGGAGCTCTGGTTTTTCCCAAATAGCCCAACAAGCGTATGATTAGGTAAAATTGAAGCGTCGTCAAAAAAAAATTCCCCCTTTGTTTCTTAATGTAAAATATGTGAATTAGATGTGTCTGCATGGGTTTCCTCCGGGAGCTCCGGTTTCTCCCAAATAGCCCAAAACACCTATGATTAGGTAAATTGAGGTGTCGTAAAAAAATTCCCCCTTTCCCCCAAAACTTAATTAAACATATAAAAAAATAAAAAATAAAAAATAAAATAAAAAAAAACCTCAGTAACTCCGCCAAATTGTCTCAATTGGGTCATTTTTGCTGGTCCCAAGCCCGGATAAAGGAAGAGGGTTGGTATTGCAACATTTGAAAAAAAAAAAAAAGAATCGACAGAAAGAAGTTCATTTGTAGTTCTAAACATATTTGGGGTGTTTTTTACTCACTTTTTGTCTCTCCCACGACGTTCCTCCCCCCTTACATTACAATTTGTCCAATTATGAAAATTAGACAATGTTATCATTTAGCAATTTCTGGCGACTATTAAGCAAGCCAATAGCTACTTTCCTTTTTGAGGAGTTGGCAAAACTAAATATGATGGCTTCTAGCTGGCAGAATTCAGTGGTTTCAACCCTCTGGGTCTCAGTTTCACCGTCAAAATAAAGAAACACTAAAGCTTTGCTCTTACTTGTGGTTTGTCTGATTGTGCTGAGTCTCAGTTTCAACGTAAAAAGAACGTAATGGAAATAATTTACTCGTAATTGCTTCAGCAAAATATAAACCAGAAAAAATAAATGGATGTTCTTGTGATTTACATGTCTCACGTTTCTAAAAAAACAGCACTATAATGCAGATTCGTCCTAAGTCCATCTTTGTCAGGTCTTAAGGAGAAAACTACTTCGAAAATGTTTGTTTGTTGAATGGAGGTCAGATCCATCATTTCTGATGCATTCAGGGAAGTCTGTAAATCTTAGTGACTCAGCATCAGTCAGATTAGTGTCTCAGTGTAAATGTTTGATCTAAAACAGACTGTTAGCCGACCTTCATAGAGAGACACAAATCCTCCCAACAATGGGAGCTGGAGCTCATATTCCCTTTAACTGTCCATTTCCATACCTGTATATTGTTTTTATTTATTTTAACAGTGTTTTAACTGTGTTCTTAATGCCTGTACAGTGTCCTTGGGTGTCCAGAAAGGCGCTTTTAAATAAAATGTATTATTATTATTATATCGGAGGCCTGTGTTCCTCCTTCTTTTGCTCTCCATACAGACTGATCTTGGGACGCTTAAAGGCCAAGGTGTAATCCTGATGACACAGTCTAAGATTGGATGTTTTACTGATGAAGAAAATCTGACAATACATTTGATCTGGTTCTGCTGGATCAACACTTTGCAAGGTCTGCCTGGAAAATGGTCTCTCTCCTGCTGGACTCATGTTGACTCTCGAGAGATCTAACAGTGTGGATTGAAAAATGAGTGTGCATTACAATCATTCTGTGCGCACAAGATATTAATTATCTTGCATGCTTGGGAAAAAAAAATAATAATAATAACATTGTCCAATTTACCAAGTGTGTTCAGAGAGATAACTTCACTCCAAACTGGGCTCAAAAACAAACAGCGTCTTTGTATTTAAGAGTTGTTTATTTGGATTTAAATGAGCTTTTTTGTGCTAATTTAGAGCTAAGATGACCTTCCTGCTTACAGGTCACCTTCAAAATCATTTGAACGTGACACACACAAATTTTCTAACAATCACAACAAAAATTCATCCTCATGATGACCTCCAAAAAAACTGTAAATAGTGTTGTGTTGTTTATGAACATTTCATTCAAAAGAATGGAACTGCTGAGTGATCGACGTGAACTGATTTGTTCCTTTCTCAGTTCAGTTGAGCTGAGCCATGAGCCTGGCATGCCGATCAGGTCAGTTCTACGAAGCAGGACTACTGCTTAGCGAGGTAACTTCGAGGGTAAGATCGGGGTTTCCTGTTCTACGACGCAGGTTCACTTCTTAGCGAGGCGAGTCTCCATGGCAACATACACTGAACAGCTAACCTGCCCCGGGGCAGGTTAAGTTCCAGATTGAACTCACGGAGTATAAAAACCCCGCCCACTGACCAATGAGCTCTCTCGAAAAAATGGCTTGTCTGTTCTTGGAGGATCCTACAGACCCCGGTGCTCGCATTGTCCGAGGAGCACTCCGGCGTGCGAGAGTTTTCAGGGACCGCACGGACCCACTTACTTCTCTGGATGACCACCTTTATGAAAGGCTCATACGGCCTACATATCACACAAAAAATGAAAACACGATAGGAATGAACAAACGTGGGAGCAAATAAAAATAAATCTAAAAACATCTGTCAAAGTGGTTAGCTGGTTTACTGGAAGATTTTATTTGTACACATTTCAACGCGTTAACAGTGATTTCCTCACACTGCCTTTTTTTCTTTTTTCTCCATCATCTGATGGTCACATGTCATCTGCAGACAGATTTGGGGTTAAGAGAGTTTTCTAATCTGCTTCAATAAATTCTGAATGATGACTGATATGCTGCATGAAATTGGAACCTGGAGCTTGGCAAATATTAGTGCATTGCTGAGACTTCATGCTACCTGAATATTGAGGCCGTCCGAGGAAAACTTGTAACGTTCATAGAGAACGTCATCAGGTAAATCAAACTGATTTGAACAATCATGAATATAACGCTCTCGGCGAAGCGCTCCTCTCACTATCTGTGCAACGATGTCAACAATCTTGGCCCAATCTTTGACCAGTCCTCGCATGAACACCATGCTGCAGGGTCAGAGTTGACACGCTGCCTATGGCGAGCGCTTTTAACTTTGCTTGGCGGTTGCATCTGGTAAAATTAATTAAAATGACTTAAATTGATACATGAAAGTTAACAAATTGCTAACAATGGCATAAATACCTTAAGTGAAATGGCATGCTTTTAATATTTTTTTTCTTATTTTGCACAGAGATGAACTAACCATTATTTCAGATATATTAGCAAAATGACTCATCAAATAACAAAAAAAATTCAAAATTAAGTACTTTGTGTTTATCAATCATCAATTGAATATAAAAAGCGTAAATACTGCCAATCTAGGGCATATATTTATGATGGAAAACAATCTGCAGTGGTCGCACCACATGATAATTGGTCGCACCGCATGACATTTTCAAATTCAGTCAAATCTTACTGATACAGGATTAGCCACATAAACAAAGCTCACTAGCTTCCCACAAAAGGTCACTATGAAATTTATAATTAAAATACATATTTGTGGAAATAACTTAAATTATTGGGTTTTTTTTAGGTCATACCACATGATATCCAAAAGTGGCAACACCATTACAGCAGTTGAAAAGGTCTTTTTTTTTTAAAGAAATGAGAGAGCCACCAAACCTCTTTCTGCTTCCATAACTCTACGACAAAATGGTGAATGATTCAACTTCCTGACCTTGAGTAAATTTCAGCATAAAAGTGTCAAAAATTTTCATTTTTTGATGGTCGCACCACATGATATTTATTGAAATGGACACGATCGGACAAAAATTGTTTGTATATTATGAAAAAATTAAGGCTGTCAAAGTTAACGCATTATTGTCGCGTTAACTCGAGTGACTTTTAACGCCACAAATTTTTTTGACGCACGATTAACGCAAGCCTTAGCCTGGCTTCACCAAACTATACACACACTGCCTCGATATTCTTGCCGTTGTAAAAGGGTAGAGGAACAGTTGGTGAGCTATGTGAGCCTCGGGGCACTCCGTAGTTTCGCGAATCAGGAAGTAGAGCACTGACTGATTCCGCAGCAGACATAAACAAATCCACGTGAGTAGAAACTAGGATATAATGGATAAGAACACGATTTTGAACAGAAAGTTCAGCTACAAAGCCTTGCCAGATGGCTCTCTTGACAGGACAAAAGTCATTTGTGTTTCCTGTCGAGCTGAATTTAGCTACCACCGGAGTACGTCTAGTCTCAAATATCACTTGTCGGCCAAGCACACAGCTGATGCAGAGAGCCCCCCCGCCCCCCCGCCTCAAGCAAACAATGCTGAATGTGCAAGGTAAACAGATGGAGAGCTCTACTAAATGCAAACTTGAAACAGAAATCGCTAAATGGGTGGCTCCCGCTTGTCGGCCGATTAGCATTGTGCAGGACGTTGGTCTGCGTGAAAGCATACGGATTGCATCCAATGACTGGACATATGAATTACCGTGTAGGACCACCATTACCATGAAAATCCACGATCTGTTCTCATGTTGATTCTTATGTTGATAAAAGTATAACAATTTGAAAAAGATCGATTTAGAATTGATCAAAAATATGCGATCAATTTGCGATTAATCATGATTAATTATGATCACAATTCGATTAATCGCGATTAAATATTTTAATCGATTGACAGCCCTAAAAAAAATATAACTGCAAAAGCTTTGCAATTTTTTACAGGAATAAAAAAACACTTAGAAAATTATGCCGAACATTGCAGAAACTAAATTGTAATAGATTTAGAGTAATTTCAAAGAAGTTTTCAAAACAGAAGTCATGGCTGGTCGGTCGCACCACATGATATTTTGACACTTTTTGTAATTTAAAGAAAATACAGCCGGACAGAATATTGAGGCGTCATGTCATTGACCCGTAAGCCAGTTTTACCTTAGCTCCCTTTCAGCCCTTTTCACACATGAAATATGTATCACCCCTGACTGCGTCTGCTGCTTCAATGTTTACGGCCTTTGGGATTTTGAACATAGGTCTGCATTAATTAATGATCTGTAGCTGCAGAAGAAAAGCTCCTTGGCAACATGTTTCTATCATTATTTATTTAATTAAGTACAGAATTATAGTGCCATTTTCTCACAGTTTGACAGCACACAGGCAGGGTTCAAAGTGACATGAATAGCAGCATGGCTGTCACTCATAAATTGAACTATATTTAGAGCTGCTGAAGGTGAATCCCTTTTGCAGCCCCTTTTACACACCCTATTCAAGGTTTCTGTTGTCCCTGTTATAGAGACATTTAGGGGTTATTAGTAGGGCTAATATATAATAATATATTATATAATAATGATAATAATTTCCCTCAATATCAATATAAAACATGGTCAATATGCTTTTTAATAGTGGGCATTCTGCCATGTTTTGGTAGACTATACGAAAAGCCAATGAAAAGGGGAGTTGCTTCGGGTCTCATTTGCATTCAACCAATTGCAAACAACTGAGTAGTAGCAGGCTGCAGCTACACGCAAGCATAGTACTTTAACACATGAAGCCAACAGCACTGTCAGTAAGAAAAACAGAAAATGAGTGCTACCCCTGGCAGTAATGCAGATGAAGGCTCAACAGATGACAACATTGTTGACAAAACTGGCACGAAAACGTCGGTGGTGTGGAGGTATTTTGTTTTTTTGAGGTCGGACATGAAGCAAATTATGTTGAGTACATGTTATAGCAAAGTCGGGGAATACCTCAAATCTTTTTTTTTCACCACCTGAAGCAGTGCCACGTGGCAGAGCATGCGCAATGCAAAAGATTATAAACCCCAAGCAGAGCAAGGAGCCCATAGCGCCTGTGCATCCCAAACAACAGACCATTCAGTCCGCTTTCTCTAGTGCAACACCTTATGACAAAACATTGAAGAGACACAGAGACCTCACAGATGCAGTAGCTTATTATACTGCAAAAGACATGCCACCAATAAGCACTGTTCAATTTCATTTAAGAGTAACAAGGAACATTTAAAATTGACAACTATTTTTTTTTCTAGCGTGATTGATATTTTGATATCGACTGTCATGAAAACAAAACAAAAAAAAAAGTGATAAACTTTTTGCCATATCGCCAAGCCCTAGTTATGAGTTATAATAGAGCTGAATCAATGTCTGTGCAATTGGGGAGTATGGAGAGGTCAGATAGGGACCCTTAGTTTCCTTTGTTGGGACAGCTTTGTTTGGTCATTTTAATTATAACGTTGTGATCGTGTAAAAGTAAATATTTATATCAGATTTCCTTATTCATCTCACACTATGTGAGAACATGATGAAATACGGCAAGATGGTGCTGCAGATGGTGACTTTGGTGCAGCTTTCTTCTCTGAACTTCAGCCACCAAAAAAGACAGAAACGGACCACAACAGACAGCCAGAGAGAGAAGCATTTGAGCAAACAGTGAGCCAACCTGCCTCTGAGCCAGGACTTGTAGCGCCCACAGTCCTCCTGATAAAAAAGGCATCAGCTTCATCACAGCCTCGACGCAACCTACTTCAACTTCAACTCCTTTCTGATAGAGGAACCATATGCCAACATAAGCCACAACAACAGCTTCTCTCCTCAGTCTGTCACTCTCATTAACAGACACAAAGCAAAGAGTCTCAGGCTAAATCAGAAGGGTGTAAGGACCAGGGTAAGGAAAAATTATTAAGAGTGTGAGACATTTTTAATTATATACTTTAATCACAAAACTATTTTTTGCTCCGTTTTTTTTAAAGTTCAACTTAGAGAAAAAAACTGAAAATAATCCAAGTCAAAGGTTTTTAAAAGATGAATTCACCTTTCTGCACTAACTGCCATCCCACATAATTACATGATTCCTTCTTCCTGCTCTTCCTGTTTGTTGACTTGCCAGTAACAGGCTGATACATTATCAAAACATATGCTAAGCATGTTAAAATACAACATGTCATCTACTTAACGATAGCAGCAAACGTTGTGTGTCTTTTTTAAATCAGGTTCCAAAGCAAATAGATTGTCACAATCATTTATGACATTTTAATTCTAAATGTTGAGATACACTTAGTTTTTATTGTATAAATGTGTTGACTGAGCAGCATTTTTCTGAAGACACTGCATTTTTAAATCCACACAAGGTCAGAGAGCAATGTCTTGTGGTTCGACTATCATAAGGTCTACAACTCTGGTTGTTTCTGTTGCTTCAAAGACTACGTACTGGTCTGGTTTTATCAATGGCTCATTCAAAAAATAATATTCTGAGCCCAGATCAATTTCAGGAGAGAAAAATATCCAGAAAACAAGACTAAAAAAATATCAGAATATTAATTACAATTAGCATTTAAAAAACAAACCATCCAGACAACTTCTCCACATTGAAATTAAAAGCACATCCCATTTTTAGTCTCCACTGTACCAAACGTCAGGATTTTAAACTTCACCATTAGAACAATACAAAAAGGGAAATCTGACTGATGAATTCTTGCTCTCCACTGAGCATGGAGACTTCAACTCTTTCTTCAGTGGATTCAGACCTGATTTCATTTGAAGCTGAACAAGAGTGTATCCCCCTAAACTTAAATGTATTAAAACAGGTCAGACTCTCATAAAAGTGTAAAACTTTAACAGTGATGAGTGTATTCTTTTTTAATAAGCATGAATCAGAATACAGCCGGTTTTGCCGTGACTCACCTGAGTTGTGCCTGTCACTGGGCCCCGCCACAGCTGGCTCTCCATTCTCTCCTCTCCTGGCCTCCTTCCATCTTCCTGTCCTCCTTTCTGCCCCACCTGACTCCGGGCCCTCTAGTCCATGGTTGCCATCAGGTAGCTCAAAGGCGCTCTCCTCATCCTCGTCTTCATCCTGGGAGGAGAACACAGTGCTGCCAGAGAGTCTGTTGCTGTCCACTGAGGAGAGGCGGGTGTGGCTGCAGTAGCGGCCTCTCCCTTCGTTGCCTGAGTTGCTGTAACAGGACGTGCTGTAACAGGAGGTGCTGTAGCAGGAGGTGCTGTAGCAGGAGGTGTCGCAGAATTCACACTCATTCTCGCCCGGATGTCTGTGGGTGCTGCCTCCGATTCTTCTTCCTCCCCCATGACTGGAGTCTCCCTCCTCACTCTCTAGACAGGAGGGGGAAATCCTCCTGATTACTGTGTGTCCTACCACTCCCTCACCTTCCAAGAGCTGGTTCAGCTCGGAGAGGCGTTCAATAGAGAGGCTACGGGGCAGGGAACGACGGCAGCAGGGGCCAGGGCACTCTGGGACCTGAGGGACACACAGAGAGCAGAAACATTCACTCTTATGTTTGTACTTAAAGCAACAAAACACAAGCGTGAGAGAGCTGTATGAATATTAGCAATGCTGTGATCCAATTCTCCATTTAATGCTCTTCCTACACAAACCCTAGCCCTACATCCTTTAAAGGGATATTCCGGAGTAAAATTAAGTTAGGGTCAAACACACCAAAACACTGAGTTAGACACCCCGTCGAAAGATGAATGTCGCCGACTGCTTGCTTCTCTACTTACATCAACTTTAGTGATGACCGCACAACAGCAATACACAGAGGTCTATGTCTCCACACGCAAACCTCAACCAAGACGCCACTCTATAGCCACAAATAATGCTCAGAACAGTATCTAACTTCATCAACAATACATAGAGGGTCCCAGCCATAGTACAAGCCACCAAACATCTTTTTATCTTTGCCTGATTTCTTTAGCAAAGAGAAGCCCTGACGAGTTGATCACCAAGCGAAGCGGATCATTTCCTTGAAGTAATAATCATCATAATACTCAATTTGCACTGTAGACCTGGTAGTTCTTCTGCCTTAGCGTCTCGGTCTGACTGCATTTTCATAAAGTAATAATCATAAATGTTCTTCCTTGAGCTGCGAAACCCCGCTGCACTCAGTGATCGACTCGCCAGGGCTCCCCCCACAAACAAGTGGCTGTTCAATAACCCCAAACAATAATATAGTGATACAGTAATGGATAGTCATTGTCATTGTCTTGCTGGCATATCCAAGGCCTCTAATGGCTGTAAAACTCATTGTATGGATAGTTGCTCTAAAGCCTGTATGTCTCTAGAGTTTTGGTGCCATACCGAATGTGTACACTACCCATGCCACATACTCTAGACCCCAATACAATCACAGTTGTTGGCTTTGAAACTGTGCTGTGGTAATGAGCTGGGTGGCCCCCTCTCAACACACAGTTCATGGTTTCTGCACTTTGCTTTGGTTCAGCTTTAAATGAATGTAGATCAAGAGTTAGTTTCTGGACCATGTGTATGGATGGATTGCTTTGAGTAGGTACCAGCTTTAACCTGCATTTTTAGGTGATGGAACAAAATATGATTCCAGACAACAGTTCTTGGAAGTGATTTCAAGACCATGCAGTGATTTTGACTTTGAAGTCATGCTTGTTTGTAGTACAGGGCCATCCAAGGTTCTGTATCGCTTTCCATCATTAAACAAAGCTTTGTACTTTAAATGATATTTTACAGTTTTACACTTTACAGGAGTCATGTTACTAGCCTGTTGCAAATGAACTCATAAGTTGGGTGCTAATGGGATATAATAAAAGAGCAATTTTTCAATACTTTTGTTGTCCCTGTCCCAACTCCTTTTAACTTATCACTGGCATGAAATATAAATATATGTTTTTTTTTTTTCATGTTTTATTAAGTTTTCACATTCGATATGTCGTCTGTACACAATCACAATCAGGGTTTAAGAATTTTGCAAATCATCAAATTCTATTTCTTACAAATCATCCCAACTTTTCTGGAGTTGGTGATGGAAATAATAAACTCAAGGACAGATTTTGTCAACTCTACACATCTCATCTTAGGTCATACCTGAGAGGGAGACAGCGTTGTATCCTCCTCATCCTCTTCCTCCTGCTCCTCCTCCTCTTTGGAGGTTTTAATGGTCGGAGATGTGGTATTGTTTGTGTTACTAGTATTCTCTCCATCCCCGGTATCCTCCTCCTCCTGGCTGGGAGGTCTAATCTGGGCAGACGGGAGGCTGTGGAGGAGGTGGTGAATGCGGATGTAGTGTGACCTGGGGGTCTCTGGCTCACCACAGGCTGACGCAATCACTGTCTCCAGTTCAGACACGGGAAGGGAACAGGGGCGGTTTTTACGGCGAGAGGGAGCTTGAGAGTTGTAGTTTGAGAAAATGGATTGGCAGGTGCAGGGGACACAGTTTCTGTCTCCTCCCTCTGTCACCTCCAGGGGGGCCTCTTGGTCTGGTTCTACGGTGTTTTCCTGGGCTGCCTCTGTTTGAGCCTCAACAGGAGCAGCTTCACTGTTTGTTGCTGCTGCTTCAGGATTGTCTGAGTCTGGCTTTGGCTGTGTTTCCTCTTCAACTTCAATTTTTCCTACAGTCACATCCCCCTCTGCAGGTGGTGCTGACCCTGCTTCCTGCACCTCCTCTTCTTGCTCCTGCTGCCCCACCTCTCTTCCTCCATCCTCTCCTTCTGTACCATTGTTTTCCTCCTGCTGTTCAGGTGAGGACCCCTCCCCGTGCTCCAACTGGGGCTCTGCAGGTGGGGGCTCATCCCCTGCTGTGCTCTCCCCTACAGCTCCTTGCTCCCCCTCTGAAGTCGCCTCAACCTCTTCCTTACCAGCAGGAACAACCTCCTCAGATGCAGAGGTTACATCGATGGAGGGCGGTGGCACTGAGGTCTCAGGATCAGGATCAGGAGCCCCATCCAAGGGGAGGTCAGGCATGTCAGGTCCCACACTTCGCGTGTCATCGTCAGGCTCCTCAGCAGCGTGGTTCTCATCTGCTGCATTTTCCTCCTCAGGACAGGCTGCCTCGATGATCAGGGAGACCTCCTCATCATCTGAGAATAAATACAGGTACATACTAAATGTACACCACACTTTCAGATCCAAACATGGAGTAAATATATCGCTCTAGTATTATTGTCCTGCTAATCTTACAGTATGTATATGTAATCAAAAGGTCTGATTTTGTTGCCTTTACACACCTCAAAGTAAAGCGAAGATTTAGTAGGAAAAGCTGCATACATAAAAATCTGAAATCTCCACACACAGAAACAAACAACAGCGCTGACTCTTCTACTGTCATTTTATTTTTTAACTCTGAACCAGAGCACTACTGGACATCCAATATGTCTCTGTCTTTTTCAAGGCTGTATCCAGACCCTGGGTCATCAAAGAAAACACATTCAGTAGACTAAGTTTAGACACAAGGCTGACATAAAGACGCTGCACTCCAGAGAGGGCAATATGTTTCACTTTGTGATGAAAAGACTCTTATCTGTGCAACACAGGTTTTCATAATGACAAGACATTTGCCAATGTGTGTGCTCACACGTTATACCTGCTGGTGTGCATGTGATTCCTGTAAAATAAATACATACTTTGCTCTCATTCTCGCTTTTAATTGTAGCTGTACAAGACAAGATTTCCCTATGCGTAAAAGAAAAGTATCATATTTTGGTATGTAATGTAATATAATGTAATACATAATCAATAATTTTTTTTTTTTTTCTTTCATGTAAGGATATGTTAAATGAAATGGTAACACTTAACAATATCCATAATTTATAAATGGTAAATAGATAGTTTATTAATGTTGAATCATCATTTAAAAACAGCATATAGACCAATAATAGATGACAAATAGATAGTTTATCAATGTAAGTTAATAGTTACTTTACTATTAACAAGCAATGAAATAATGATTTAAAATTTTCATTAATTATTAATGGACTATTTATTAAAGGTTTATATAGGGTTTAAATGTTGGTTGTAAAACATCTAGATTAAAATGTGTGTCAGTAGCACTTTGTAAAAGGTTAATATTTGGTTTTTAAACCATCTAAAGACATTACTTAGATGATTATTGTAAAGTTGCAACTGATGTTTGTAATACTTTGTAAATGATTAATAAATGGTTTATAAACCACCTATAAACATTACTTGGATGGTTATTGTAAAGTTAGGGTTAGGTTTTTAAAATTGTAAAATTTACAATTTATTAATGGTCTATATGCTGTTCATAAATGATGATTACACATTAATAAACTATCTGCTTACCATTTATAAGTTATGGTTATTGTAAAGTGTTACCAATAAAATAGTGTCATGTTACGTTACAAAATGTTGCTTTATGTTACACTACAATGCATTGCTATTTATTGTGTTGCATGTATTATGTTGCACTGTGCTGAGTGATGTTACTTGCCTCAGTTATATCTTGTTATGTTGCACCGTCTGGTTATGCAGTTTATGTTGAGTTATGGTATGCTGAGTTATGTAATGTTACAATGCTTTACATTTCATTAGGATGCACTAGATTACGAGTCTTCTAATCATACATTATGTAACGTTCCCCCTTTTTTTAACATTACACTGTGTTATAATGCTTTGATATCTTACCTATCTTACCTATAATAGTGTAAGTGGTCCATTTGTCTCTGGTAAAACATATATCACTTTGCTTCAGTCTATTAGATTGAGATTGTATGTTGAGATCACATCATACAGGGTGGTGGGGACAAACCTGCACAGAACCTGCAGCTCAACAAAACATATCGTGATTCCAACTGTGCCTTTACCTGATGAAATTTTAAGTCTGGCGGGTCATCAAATGCTGTAAATGTCATTAATTGATTATGGTTTTGGGGCATCTATAGTAAATGTTTATGCACTTCCCTAATCTGCACAACTAAACTCAGTGTTTCGGTGCTAGTGCTAGCCATGGCAACTGCACCGTGTTTTGGCTTCAACACATCTTTGTTGTGATGATCACTTCTCAAACTGACTGACATGATGTAAACTTGTAAACTTGAAGACTTTTTCCTCCTACTAAAATAACGTGCAGGACATTGTTTTGTGGGTAGGATAATTGTCACCTCTCTCTAAAACACTTGTTTACTCTCATGTCAGCTTGTGGCAACAAGTGTTTCCAGCTGACAAATAAGTAAAAAGGAGCTGCTTTTACCAGTTGTTTTCATCAGATATGATTGTATTATCAGAATAAATAATGAGAAGGTATCTGTAGTTTCACCCGACTGTTGTACAGTATATACAGTTCACATTCTGGATCCCTTAAGTTGAAGGAACTAAGCACGGCCTTACACCTCTGTGTTTCAGTTATTTCTTCATCTGATATCCAATTTAAAACTATTCTCTGTAGGTTAGCACCTGGTACCTATCAAATCCAAAACAAATCACCTTATCATGAGTAGCGTAGAATTTATCAAGTTCCTACCCACTAATATCCTGACAAAACTGTGTTTCCAACACTCCTGGTTTTGGAAAGGCTAAAATGAACTACACGTCAACTCCTTATCTGGAAAGGTTTTATCTTAAATTTCTCCCAGTCTCCCAAGCATCATCCACACAAAGTGGCTTTTTATGTCTTTCCTCTTTGTGAAGAATGCATGGAGTACCATAATGTTTGAGCATACTGTAGGAAAATTGCTCATCTGCAGTTATACAGTCCACCTCTTTGAGTACTGAGATCCTTAAGGACATGGAGCTCCTTTTTTAAACATCCGCAGCCTGATTTTTTTTAAGAAGTGGCAATTTCTCTAAGCTTTCACCCTTGAGCTCAGAACTGAGAATATTGTGAGAACATATTTCTGCAGGGCAAAAGGATGATAGCAGGATTGGAAGTGTATCTTTTCATGCTGCTAAACGACAGGAAGCACCATGTACCTGGGTGAATAGAAGAGGTCAGCTCGAAGCGGAACTGCAACTGACCGCAGACATGATCTGTCGGCAACCTGCGACCCAGTGAATAACTCACTACTCGATCCCTGTGGAGGAAGATAGACAGAGACAGAGAGAGAGAGACAGAGGCAGAGAAATAAATGTCTTTCGTGAAAGCGGAGAGAGGAAGTTGCAAGTTTCAGGTCTATAGCACCTGTTTGACAAGTATACACCTTGCTGAATATATGCAGTTGCAGAGATGCAGGTTGTCTAAACAGATACACTATGTTATCATCGCTAAAACCAGATGGCCTCGAAAGCTTCAAAATGGCAACAACCACCCACAGCCTTCCTCTCATCGTCTGTCAGTGTGGGCTGGTTTGTGGTAAAACTTCCACTGCTCTACAGACTTGAATCGTACAATACTGGAGGAGTTTCTGGACTGCCGACAAACACGACCCTGTTGCACCCAGCCATCTCTGCAGGGATGTGCGTGTTTGAGTGAGGAGTTTACCCAATGGCGTGTTTTTCCAGGAGTCTTTGGACTGGGACAGAGAGCTTTCCCAGGAATCGCTTGATGATCGGCCGACTCTTGGCAAACTTGTCCTTCACCTCGATCTCTAGGACGTCAGTTGGTAGAGACACAAAATTGAACCTCTGGAGATAAACATTGACGAGAAAAGAAGAAAACTGTTAAAATTGATCCAGAAAGACATGTTTGAGATTTGTGTGTGAGCAATAATATCTATAAGCCCCTCCCCTTATTCATCATAAGTATCAATGTGAAACAAAGTTTGGGAGCAAGAGGAGGTTGATGGTCTGCTGCATCTTCAACATGTTGTGTGACAGTGAAACAAACTATCAGGCAACAGCAGGTGGAGAGAGGAGAGCAGGGAGAGGAGCAGTAGGAGGCAGCTGGTGTGTGTATCAGTGAGTAACAGAATGAGCACACAGAGAGAGGCTGTAGTGATCACAAGTGTTCACAAGCTGACGACTGCTGGGTTTGGATCATGATGAAGTACAAGACCAGGTCTTGACGTTTAGGACATTGAAAAAAATTTAAAAGACTGTGTTATTTATAAGTGATGCAACCTGTGATGATATGTGAGCAGTAAAAGAGCTCCTTTAATTTTCCTGACATGTCATTTTATTCAGTGAGTATTATCACCAAAACAAAGCCAAAGCTCTTTAAGTGAAGTGAAGAGATGATGCGCTGTCTCTTAGCTTATTTTTCTCAATAAAAACAAGGAGATGAAAAACCGGATACTGTAAATTTAGAATAATTTTCCTGTTCACTTCTCATGTTGCAGCTACTTGCAATATGATTGTTAGCAGAGACATTTTTATGTTAATATCCAGAGTTTTGAACAATATGCATTACTCTGTATGTTCATCAGCAATCCATTATGTTGCTGTGAAAAAATGATGATCTAAGAAAAAAAAAACACATCCTGTATTGCATTGTCAAAGGAAAAATATCGGTTTCTTGTACATGAATATTCAATAATTATTTTTTTTATTATTCCAAAGACTACTCACTTTGGATACTTTGAGTATTCACCCCCAATATTAATGAATTCTTTAAGCTTTTAGTGTATGCTGACTCAATGCAGGGGCTCTATGATGTGCCTCATAATAATAAAGGGGAGGAGTGTCCTCATCCAAGCATGTGGACTTAGAGGCACTAAACGCACGCACGCACGCAACCAATGCCAAATCAGTATAATGCATGGATGTTATTCGTAGTGAAACTGAAAGAAAAAGACATTCACAAGTGCATACTGATGCTGTCTGAATGGTCCAATATATACTGAGAATTGGGTGTCCCTAATTTAAATGTAAAACCGTTTCATGACTTCAATGATTTTGGGTGGTTTTCGAAGGAAGTCTCTCACTTCAACATGGCTTAGTTGAAAACATTGCTCACTGTATAGTCGAGCGAAACCCTTTGTGAAAGGTAAAGTATATTTATAGCATCATAAATGAGTAAACATCTGAGGGTGGTGCTTTAAGGACGCTTCTGAAACAAGTCTTTACAACACCAGATGGACTCTGCTGGTGCAGAACAAGCCTGCAGCAGACAAACCCAGTACGGTCCTCGTATTAGATAACATGAAATATGAGGAGGTTTCTGCATCACTCAGGCCAATATATACAACCCATTCTGATCTACTGCTTTAAGAGAGAACTTTTAGTATATTATATTATATCATATATAGTTTATACCAAGTCACAAAAAAGTGTTTGCTTTGTTGACTGACCTCTATGTTGGTAAATAATTTCTGATTTTTGGTGCCACACACGTTTCCACAGCCACTTCAAAAGATTAACATGAACTGAACTACATTTAATTACATGAAATTTAATTAAATTAAACTGATCAAAATCAAATTGAATTGAATTTGACTGAATTAAATGGATTTAAATTGAATAGACTTTGTTGGACACTTGTTTTGGCCAGCGATTACAGCTTTGACTTTTAATGTGCATGTTTTCATCCACATATATTCAACTTAAATCCTAAAGGACGGTTTCCCACAATAAAATTGGCTGATTTTAATTTGCTGGGTAGTGAGGATTTGTAACTTCAAATCCTGCATCTTGAAAAACCCATAACTAGATAAGCAAAGAAGTGTAAAATAAGGGAACAACAGGGTTAGACAGTGAGTGAATTAACAATAGAGGCAAAAATATAACAATGCCCCCTGCTGCTTGGGCTAAAATGATTTTTTTGGTGTTAGGAAAACAGAAAAAAATGAGCAGAGGTGGGGAAGAGAGAGAGGCCAGGCAGGGGAAGATAAAGAAGCAGGATGAAAAGGAGTCAGAGTGAATAATTTAGCAGACGAGCCAGAAGAGAGCAGACAGAGCAAAAGTGCGTGTTTTGTGAGGGGAGGATGCTGGACAAATTCAATAAAGAGAGTGAAACTGCGTAGGACAGATAGAGAAAGAGAGAGAGAGAGAGAGGAAATGCTGAGAGGAAATGATGAGAGGAGGAGGAGGAGGAGGAGGAGGGGGGAGTGTGTTGTTGCACAGAAGTACAACGTTAATCTGTGGGAGGAAGAGAGGAGAGATGAAGCTGTAGAGGAGCAGAGGACAGAGAGGGCAGAGGGAGAATGAGTGGTACACAGAGAAAAATAGGATTGGATGAGTAAAGCGAAACCGAATAGAACAAGGGAAGCCTCAAATTTTGGTACGTGGGATGCTGGAGTGGCTGTTAACAGCAAATCCTCTGGATCCTACCGTGTATTATCTGTAATAAAAATCAAACGCTGAGTCCTCCCTGGTTTTGCCACATCATTCAAGACATCCTGCCTCTCACTTGTAAAGAAGGATTTTAGTAGTAAAATTTCAGGCTCTATCTCTGGTAACCTTGAAGCTTGATGAGAGAATCACTTCAGCTGAGGAGCTCAGAAACCATAGAAGAAAACACATGATCGTGCAAACCTTTAAAACATCCATAACATGGTCATGCATTTCAGGAGAAATCCCGTCATGGAGATGTCATGTTTAAAAAGACTTCCCACAAATGAAAGAGCCAAAGTTATGGATTTGTTTACTTTAATATTACATTCTTATACTGTTTAAAACTGGCAGAAACATTATTTATGGTTCCTCTCGACTCCTGAGAGTTAAGTTTAGATCTGGTTGTGGTATTCTTGTAGTCTCGAATGTAGCTTGGAGCTTGTCATCTCAAACCAGGACAGCGAACAGTCAGAGGTCTTATGAATTCTCTCCTCCAACTCCACATCTCCAGATTTACAATTCAAAACTTGTCATCTTCACATTTTATCATGTCTGGCTCATGCGACATCACCTGAGGCCATTTATCTGAACACTCACACTTGCCTGAAGTCACTGACAGCATCTTACAGCTTTATTTACATGCAGTGGAAGTGGAGTGGCCAATCTTCTATTCCATTTCTATTTTAATCCTAATTATTTGTTATTTTCTAATTAGTTTTAAATTTATATGCTCTAATTTTATATTGATCAACCAATGGCTAATATGTAATACTGAGATGACATTGTGTTTTCTTTTTTTTTTTTTCTTTTCTTTTGTTGGTTTGTTTTCTTCATGAAATTTGACAGACTACAATAATTAAATAATACTCAAAAAATTAAAACCACATTTGCTAAACTTAAGTGAATATTTAATGGAACAGATACAGACGGAAAAAAATACTTGGCTCAGTTTAAATACCGCCACATCAATATAGAAGTTGTGGTATCATAGATAATAAATAATGTTCAAAGTGATAAACATGGTTACAAGTTTTTAGATTACTCAGAATAAAACTGCAGATTGAAGGCATCAACAACTAACCAAACAAACATATCAAACTACCCCTGCATATAATTCATTCATAGTGCTTGGCTTAAAATCGATCTCCTCATTAAGACCTGAATGAATCATAATATCGGAAGGTTGAAAGGTCTAACGAGTCTCTTATTGACACAGTTTGATGGAAGATGGAAGAGACAGATTTTCAAGCCATTTCTAAGAAAGAATGAATGAAATAACAATAAATAAATCGATAGATAAATTGATATTAGTTACAGATAAACAGATACATAAATCAATATATAAATCTATTTCTTGGTCTTCTTCATCCCCTTCAGCTATTTGACACTTTTTAAAAAATCATATTAATTATTGTTCCTTTTCTTTTCCTTATGGAAAACAACATTGTTTGTTTAGCTCATTTATATAGTACTATATCTTTTCTTATTTTTGAGTTTCTGGGTCAACTTTGTCTGTCTATATGCCACAGCAGTTCCCTGTTCCCCCAACATGATGTTTTCAACACATCTCACCTGTGTCTGTTTAAGTTACCTCTCTTTGATGAAGACTGTTGTCCTGACAGTTGTTGACTTTTTATCAGCTATAGCCTGAGGGAATTAAAGCTTTAACAATTATCCTTGACTCAAACAAGTGTACCTAAAGAGAGCCCTGGAAGCTTCCCTGCTTGAATATTGGTCTTTCTTTCTGTTTTAATTGGACTGATGATAAAAAATGTAGCATGGATTAATTTAATGACACTTTTTAAGTGAGCAATGATGGCATGATCACATTTTATGGAATAAAACCCTGATTAATGATACGTAATTTAATTCCACTCATTATTCAGTGTTTTTACACAACCATCAAATTTGAAAATACTGTTAGTATGAGGCTCCATTAACAACGCTTCCACCAGCAATGATATCATTCCTGTCATGACTTTGTTAGCAGCAATAACCATGGACCATCATACAACCTTCACTGCGCTGGACTGTAACATGTACATCAAGCTGACAGAGTTAGCATGCTATAGGGCCACATTAGTAATACAGTACATCACTGCAGAGCAAGCTGAGCTCCACTCATCATGGAGGCTGTTTGGAAATGGAGAGTGGCTTTGAGCTGAGTGGATGCTGCCAAGAGAGACACTGCACTAAATCAGTGTATGAGGTCTCCTGAGGGATGTATGAAAGCATAACGGCTGCGCTATACAGCATCCCCAGACAAACACTGCAGTAGACACTAAACCACTCATGATTATGCGCATGTCCTGTTATAGGGCGAATACGCCAGGCTCATCAGTCGCTACTGTTTGCCTTCCTTTAATATGTAATAAAGTGAACATTTTTCTGAAATGTAGAAACAATTTTGCTCATTTTCACTTTGAAACTTAAAACAAACAACAGCAAACCAAAGAGATGACAGAAAAAAACTGATGAAGCTGCAGCAGACCCTGAGACAACACTGTACATCAGCCAAAGTGAAGTTGGCTTATTTGAGTCAATAGCTGTGTATAAATCTGGGTCATCTGCAGCAACACTCCTCTCATTAGGTCTAAGCAAAGTTTTCTCAAAGAAAAGTATTTTGCAGCTTTCTAAACTGACTGAGGGGAGTGTAGGTGGACTGACACAGCACCAGGAAGAAAACCACTAATTGGACCTGAAGTTGACGTCTTAGACTCATCTTCAGTGTCAGATGCTGCAGAGACAAACAGATACATGTGTATACAGAAACTGCAGAGAAAAGTAGATAACTGCAAAAAATATCCGTCTGGTCAAACTTTTGAAAAACTTCATTTCAGGTATTTTCATGAACAGCTGACAACCACATTTCACAACAATAGGAAGCGCAAACAGACTAAATACTGCAAGCACACATGGTCTCCATGCACACTCCATCTCTAAACATTTACTTTTCCTTGCATGTTATTTTGGCCGAAGGGGAAAATTTGGGGGAGAAATGCTGTTGAGACCTATACACAAAGACTGATTCAAGGACTGATCACATCTTCAGTCACTCAATAAGGTTATTAATTTCCAATTGTGTATGATTTTGTTATGCAATTTCCCCTATCATAGTCAACCTAATGTACATGTTGCTTTATTTTACTGTTTTTATAAAAGTATTGACTTGTCATGTATACCTGGAAATTTTGTGTTTTCTAAGAAAAAGTCACAACACGACAAAATCAATCTGCTTATCTTATTTCTGACAAAAAGAAACATGATTTTGATTGATTTCATAGATCTTATGCTACAGTTGGAACTGAAGGAGAACCCAATTACCACCTTTGTTTGTAATCTGGTCTGTTGTGCAGGATTCATGTAAGAAATCCAAAACTTCAGCATGTTTTCATTCATAAAAAAATCATTTAAATTTTAGTATGTGGCATCCCAGACATAAACTTCTGCTATTGTTAACAACCACTGTTTGCTTTCCCTCCATACATCACAACTCGCTGTGTTAGATTACTCAAAGTTTTGACACCTGCTGACTATTCATATCATAGAATCTCTCATAAATACGACACAGTTCAGACACTGATGTTTTGAGAATATAAGGGTTTTGTTGGCAGAAGGATTGGATTTCACTTATTAGCCAGTACCAAATTAACGAGTAAAAAAAAAATCTATATCCATGTTATGGACCTGAAATGGCAGTCAAAAGTTGGGTGTGAGCAGCTGTGTAGCCATCAAATGCGTTGCTCCTGAACATTACTAGTATGAATTAGGGTTTTGATGATATCACCATTTTTTTTTCCCACAATTGTTGAGGCAAAAAAATGAAATGAAGTACACTCTACAAACAGTAGTTATCATCAATGCTGGTTTACCGCTACAACCCGTATGTAGACAGACAGACAGACAGACAGACAGACAGACAGACAGACAGACAGACGGACAGATAGATAGATACTTTATTGATCCCAGAGGGAAATTCAAAAATGGTTAAATGACCAGAATGATATAAACCCTGGGTGTATATATTTTCACGGACTAATACTTTAAACAGTCAAAATACGTATATCTGTCTGACAACTCAACACATTGGGTGCACAGACAGGTCCTGTCCCAGTGATTTTAGACCCAATTAATCTTATTTTATTATGAAAATAACTCAAAAATACCTAATAACAAAGTAAACAGGTTCCTTAGTCTCTGCCTTCAAATGCCGACTAAAGACATAAATGCAGTCGAGATTTTGCCAAGCATCTTTGATCAGGATCAAATCCTATTTCTGTCTTTCTTCTGATCAACAATACTTTGTGAAGTTGAGACTCTTCTCCACCAGCTAAATAACAGCAGCTGACATTAGACTGAGCACGGCCAAGGATGTCAATGACACAGGAAGCATTATGGACACAATGTAGTTTAGACTACTTACATGTCTAAATACAGCCCATAAATCTATCAACCTCTTTGCTGTGTAAGTCCAAGTGTGTGTGTGTGTGTGTGTGTGTGTGTGTGTGTGTGTACCTCTGTGCTCCACTGGGGGTTCACTGTGTTGCACACAACTCCAGAGCGTTTCTCCTGGCCATGGTGTGGCAGCGAAGGGAAGATGCTGTGCTTTCCAGGCTGGATGGAGAGCTTCAGGTAGGGGTCAGGATTGAAGAACATCCCTTTCTTCAAGCCAACTGCCTGGAGGTCTGAAAAGAAGAGGAAGGAGAAGGAAGAGTGGGTTTTTTGGGTCTTGGCCAGTTTGCTTTCACAACAGAAAATGGACTGAAAGAAAAAACAACCGAAAAATCTCTGGGTTTGTCACTGCTGCCAAATCCTGAAGTTTCATCTCAAAGACTTAAATCACTTCATTTGGGGATTGTCAGAGACAGGAGGAGTTAGAAAAGAGTGCGGTTTAAAGATAGAGTGTTGATGCTGTGCAGTTTGTTAAGCCTCTTAAAGCAAAAATGACTAAAAATAAGTGACCAAAGGGGTGTGAGATATTAGCAGAAGGGACTCTAAATATCTGCAGCTCCAGAAGAGCTCTGTCTCAATACAGGGTGACCTTCAGGTGACACTGTTGAAGGCGTAAGGCACATTTTCTAATTTTGAACATCATGTTGTTATCTCTGCGGTTTCGGCAGAAGAGGAAGTCGATAAAGGTAATATTAAAAAATGTCCAGTCGTTACTTTTCTGGTCTCTTCCACTGGTGTCAACTTTCTTATACGATGAATGTACAGCCACGCAAACAAGAAAAAGACAGCGGTGCCTCCTCCACATTGTTGGAGCCCGAAAATTTGTCAGTGTTGACAAGTTAGACAGCTGCTTTGTACAAAGTGGACATACAGCCCTTTGTCTTTTATTTTCTGCAGAGCAAGTCTAAAAATATCTCCACAAAGTTCCTCTCTGAAGTTTTGGTGTCACGATATTTTGCTTGATCATGTCCTCCATTTTTGTAGAATGACATCACTGCATTAGTTTACCAAGGGCAAGAGGGAATGAATCCACCAGGTTATGATGAGAGTGTCCTCAAGCTTTTTAAGGCAGTTTGATGCCTCAGTGAACTACTGTATACTCTTATGAACTCAAAAGGCTCATCACAGTTTAAATATGAGCTACTCTATAGCAGCAAATAATGCCCAGAACAGCACCTAACTTCATCAACAGTACATATAGGGTCCCAGCCATAGTACTAGCCACCAAACATCTTTTTAGCTTTGCCTGGTTTCTTCAGCAGACACCAAACACAACTCCCCCACTCTCTTCCAGCAGCCGATTGTTTGTGGGGGAGCCTTGACGAGTCGATCACAGAGTGCACTGGATCATTTCCTTGCACTAATAACCACTATATTAATCATTTTGCACTGCAGACACTGTAGTTCTTCTGCCTCAGCGTCTCAGTCTGATTGTAGTAATCATAAATGTTCCTCCTTGAGCTGAAAAACTCCGCTGCACTTGGTGATTGACTCGTCAGGGCTCCCCCACAAACAAGCAGCTGCTAGAGGAGAGTAGGTGAGTTGTGTTTAGTCTCTTTGTTAACGAAATCAGGCAAGGCTAAAAAGATGTTTGATGGCTAGTGCTATAGCTGGGACCCTATATATACTGTTGATGAAGTTAGGTGCTGCTCTGAGCATCATTTGTGGCTATAGAGAGGCTTTTTGGTTGAGGTTTGAGTGTGACTCCTCAGATTGCTGTGTATTGCTGTCCTGCAGTTGTTACTAAAGTTTTTATAACTATAGAAGCAAGTAGTCTGCAACATTCATCTCTCGAGGGGGTGTCTAACCTGGTGTTACAGTGTGTTTGACCCTAACTTAATTTACTCCGCAACATCCCTTTAAGATACATGCACATACATATGTTAGAGATTCTTGATAAATTTCTGGATCTTTCAGAGGGCAGAGGTGAAGGAAAATGTGTAACAATGATACTGTTATGTAAGGGGAAAGAAACAGCTGTGAGCTCCAGGGTCCTTGCAGTGGCTCCACAAAATATGCTATTTTTTTAATGTAATAATTGAGTCGGATCTAAACACACACACACTTCAAGAAAGCTTTTAAAACATGGCTTACACTTTCTGAAAACATAAGTTTCACCTTTTTGAGGTTTGTAGCAACACATTATCCGACAATATTTCATACATCAGTGGATGCTTCACAAAATGGAGCTGCTAATTACCTAATACCTGCTTTAGCCAGCCAACTGAGCATGCTCAAAAAAAAAAATAGAAGGAAAAAAAACAAGGCTTCAGGAAACCAGAGTTTAGTTCTCCGCATCCATGACAACATGGTTTTGTGTGGTAGTGGGCCTGCAGTTGTAGACTTTCAACCCCCCTGGTTTAGTGGCTATAATTACCCAGCTGGCATTGATTTAAGCGCATAACCTCCTTTAAAAAGACAACACTGAAACAACAGACCCTGACAGGGAGAGCTGTAGGTCAGAGAAGGGTCAGATGGGGACAAAGCATTGATCTATGAGGAGTCCAGCTTTACTAGGCTAGATGGAGGGATAGAGACAGATGTCGATGACTTACCTGACAGAGAAAAGTTAATGAGCCGTCTGTTGCCCAGCCCGTGATTCACTTCAGGACTAACCACCGGCTTTAATATCTGAGGACAGGACAAAAACAGATGTGATGAGCTGGGGAGTGTTTTTAAATGACAGGAACATGAAATCTCACTCAGTTCTGCTCCTCTTCTACAACAGCCTTTTCCTGCTTTTGTTGTAAGATGAAACTTTAATGATGCCTGTGAGGAAAATAGGACAGTGCGGTCTAATAACAGTAACAATCACAAACACGGCAGAACAAAATAAGTGGAGAAATAATAGAACACAAAATAGATCTAATCCAATTAAATCCACAAATACATTTTTGACTGATGCCGCAGTTTAAACCCACTGTGTGAGCTGCTTCATTATTTTGCCAAATGATTAAGATGTGCACATTTATGTAGGTACAAAATAAAATCTAATTTCAACTCAGCGCCTTTTGAAGCTCCACTTTCAGCCAGCCTGAAAGCGTCCTGCGATCAATACTATGTCTTCATTATCCTGACATTGATTCAACAGCCAGGAAGAGGAGGATCATGGGGGCTGAGGGGAAAGAGAGAAGAGCTGATGGCAAGAGGAGGAAGTGGAAGAGAGTGTAAACACGGCTGTGAAGCAGAGGGAAAATGGTTTGCTTGATGCACCTTCAATATTCCCTTTTTTCCAAAATACAGCAATATATACTGCAGAAAGACAACATATAATACAATTTTTTTAATGTAGCGCTGTTCCAGTTTGTGCATAGAGCTATAACTAAAACACAAGTTTCTTTAAGCTGAACTATTTCTAAGGTTATAAAAAAATTACGTCATAAAAAGTTATGTCATACCTCAAACAAAAGTACATTATGAAGATAAATACAAATATAAATGAATTAAACCCCAAATTTTGTATTCATAGTCCCCTGATGTGAAAAATAGATGAGCTTGGTTGTACTTCTGTGCAATCAAGGCTAATTTTTCACATTTGTGCCGACTTCTTCATCTCCAACTGCTCCAACATCGACAGAAAAACCACATACCACACAAATGTAGAAAAAAACACTCATGTTTCAATGTACTACTTAGAGACATACTATTGTAACTGTGGCTGCAGCTGCCCTCTCTTTTTAGAGGTCAGATTGTGGATGAACGTGTAGTGTAGTGGCACATGTTCTCCTGGTGCACTCGCCATGTTTGACTAGTCAACCCCTAAATCAACATTAAGGAAGCAACTCAGAGCAGAGCTTCATTATCACAGCATCCCTGTCTACTCAGATCACCACATGGATAACAAGTTTAAAAACAGAGCTGAATTTTCGAAGGCTTTGGTGACTGAAGACTTTGCTTTAAAGATAACTATAAATTGAGCTTAAAACACCATTAAATACTTTTGAAGTATTGGTTTTACAAGAATGGTCAGATTTACAAAAATGAAGCTTTAATTTTAATGAAAAAAGAAGTTTGGCGCTACCTTTAATAAAACAAATAATGCTGATAATCTAGTGGATTATATTCAACAGTTAAAGGTGGTGTAGGCAGGAATCCGTTTAAGAAGCATATTTTTTGTGGTGTATATACAAAAAAGCTTTTAATATCAGTCAATAGCTATTAGTTATTGATGAAATATGGGAATATCACGATATTGCTGTGTTTTGTTATGTCTGTGTAGTCAACATTTTAACATTTTTGAGCGTCCCACTCTTTTGGACTGTACACAAAGCCATTCTCCACCTCCCCCAACTTGATTGGTTGTGAGGCAGACGCTGCTCCCTCATGTTGTGAGGCATGTTCCACATCCTTGAGTAACTTGCATGAGCCCAAACAAAGTTAGTGTGCTACAATATCGGACAGAAGAAACCAAACAGAAAGTACGCAAAACCGTCTGAATCCTCCTTTGGCCACAATGAAGTAAATACTGGAGACTCTGGCGGAATAACTGGCAGTTAAAAAGGAGGTAGACCGGACTAGGGCTAAAAACCCGGTCAACATCAATAAGGCATAAATGCTTCCAGGATGCTTCGGGATCTTACAGACCCTGTAACCTTTCTGCTGGACAGGTAAACCGCATTAACAAAGAAAGCCAAGTGTCTGCAACAGAAGTGTTTCTTGTAAAATGGGACCTGCTGCCTGTTGTAGCGCCACTAAACTGTTTACCTCAGGTCCTGGACTATGTCACTTTATCCTAGTTGTAGAAGTCCTGCAAACATTGTGTTTTCTGGTAGTTTGTTGGCATCTACAGTAGCACCAATGCTGTTTACTTTCACATTGACTGGACCCCATTTGTAATCTATATCTTAAGTATTTATCTGCATTATATCTGAATTTAATTAAAACGATACGAGAGAGCAGGAGCGTCTGTTTGTGGGCGGGACTTGCTGGAGCAGAGAGGGAGGGGAGAGGAGGAGCTGAGGGGAAAACTGGTTGGGAGGGGTAGTGTTTACATTCAAGATTTCTCCCAAAAACTGGCACTTCCTCAGATCCTGCCTTCCCCACCTTTAAGGGCAAAAAGATTTCTCAAAGCATTCACAAGCTACCTACTGACTTAGCTTTTTGATAATGTGGAGCTGATGTACTGATTGAGTATAAAAGACTGAGATTCTTAAAGCTCCTTGTTCTATTTCTGGTTATTGCCTGCTTTTCTTATCTTACCCTTTATGATATCATAAAGACCATCTGTAGACCTAAACTCTTTTGGACATTTATTTAGGAAATTTTACATTTTTGGCATTGGCAGAAAAAAAAGGGGGGCGAAGACTTCAGTGCCATCTTAGACACACCAAAAATCATGTTAATCCCCCTGTGAAGCAAAAGCAGTGTGATAAATGCATGCAATGTAGAGACAAATTACAACAACAGCCAGCGTGACAGCGTCTCCCAAAATGCAGCAGTATTTCTACGCAAAATTCTGTATGAGCTCCGAGTGCTTACACAACGAACTGGGGAACACAAAAAAGCCAAACTGGTGGTGAAAAAAACAAGATAAAGGGATAAGGAAAATGACAGATGTTCAGACCAATTCATGTTAATGAGATTCTTATCTGCATTGCCGAGAGTATTCAAAGAGAGTCAGAAAGAAAAGTGCCAGTGCGAGTCTCCTGGATGATTCTAATCTAACAGATAAACCAAATGACAACCTTATCCATCCGCACTGCTCCTTATATAATCCACTGTCAGCCTGCAGAATGCAGAAAAAGACCAAATACTCTGGCTCCTCACAGAAACAGTGTGTGAAAATCATGTGCATCCTTTAAATGCTGCAGGAATCTCAAAATGATGCAAGAATAGAGACGTCGTACCAATCTTTTCCAGCTATGACAAACCTGGAAGAGACAGCCAACATTTGCAAAAATATTCTAGTGACACAGTGTGATTTAGAGGAGGTTATGAGAGTTCAGTACTGTAAATCGGGGTTTTTCAAATGTAATATTATATGTTAGTTGGCAACAGAGGCAGAGCCCAACATGCCATACTGTGAAATCATTGCACAATCACTGCAGTCGAACAAGTGACACATCATTTGACTGTGGGCCGCAGGACATAGATATAGCCTATAGTGATCTGAAAATTTTATTTATTTAAGGGATTATTTAAATATCCTACCAGAGGGGAAAGTATGAAAGGATATTTGAAACCAGTAAACAGTTTCATCTGTCTTATGACCCTTCCAGTTACTCTGCTTTTTTCTGTGCTGCCATAAGGAAATTAAAGTTTTCACTAACTGCTTGTGGCTTTCAGTACTGATTTTAGTTCATCTTGCAACAAATAAACGTATTATGGCTCATTTGAATGTATGTAAACAACACTGATACACAGGGCTGCTATTTGCTCAGCAGTGCAATTTGTCAAGCATTTAACCCCTTTGTGCATGCTTTGTGGATTAGATGATATCTTTCTCAGTTTGCACAGGTTTAGAGGGCCCAAAAGCTGCACAATCCTTGAATCAACGAGGCCCTCACTTTGTGCAGGTCTGCTTTAAAGCCTTGGTATCTTCTACAGCAAAAGCAAACACTGTAACCAGTTAATAGGTAAGGATTTACATTAATTTTCACTGTCTTTATAAACTTCATTATCTTTAAGTTTTGCTCGTAATAAAGCCTTATAATGCCTGTCTGTGTCTGTCTGGATGTATGTATGTACAGAACTAAACTAACCAAACTAACTAAAGCTTAGCCAAACTAAATCAAAGTAACTAAACTAAAGCTTAGACAAACTAAACTAAACTAAACAAATCGAACTATACTGAGCTTAGCTTAACTGAACTAAACGCAAGGAAAGTAAACAAACAAAATTTAACTAAACTGAACTAAAATAAGACTCAGAGTAGAACTTAGTTACAACATGCAAGTTGTGTAAATTTTTTAGAAATTCTGAAACTGCACATTTGACTTTGACAAGTAAAAACTGGATCTGTTTTACATGCTTGTTTCACAGTTGAATTAGGAATGAAAAATAAAGAAAAATGACTTTTGCTTTAGTAACTAACCTACGTATGACATGATATTTAAGAGTCACCATCATTATCCAAGGGTATGATGACCAACAACACCAAAGGCAATACATGTTATGGCTGATGACAGGAAAATTATTCATTTTTGGCCCCAATAAATAAATAAATACATAAATTGTATGGTCTTGATCCTACTGTGCACATTTTTTTTCCTGTACATTATGAATATCATCTATTTTTGCATAAAACTTAATGGGCAGTTGTAACACATTTTTAAAATTTGACACGTTATTATTACGAAGATTATTAGCAGACACTTTTATCTATAACAATGTGGATTTAAGAGCAAGAACAAGACAAGCAAAGATGTAGACAAGAAGAAACAAGGTCAGTAAGAGCCACAAAGTACTTCAGGTCCATTTGGACGCAAGTAGGCTTCTACCATGCAGTGTTAAAGGTAATGCACAGAATTATTCTAGAGACCAATCTGTCAGGAACAGCTTCACTCTTTCACTGCTAATATTCATAAATAATATTTTTTACAAAGACACAGCCAACCTTGCTTTTCTCACCTGCCTCTAGACCTGCGATTGTTTAGCTAAGCCTCTCTCAAGATGCTGCACAAAGGTAAAGGGAAGGACAGCAAATAACTTGTCAAGGTGTACAAAGACAAAGAGACGTGCAGAGTGAATATTTCTGTTTACCCGGGCTATCCAGCTGAGCCTCGTCCTCCATCCGCTCCTTCTCTCAGGATGACTGGGAGACAGCAGTCCCAGCTGGAGACACATGCTCTCCATCACACAAATACACAACCAAATGCTCTGTCTTCTCCGTCTGCGGTGTCTCACAATCCAAACCAGCTACAGCAAACAGCAGACAAAGCAGGAACATTTCCCTCCATGGCTGTCCCGTCTGTCCATGTTATCTCATTTCCCCTCTCATTCTCTCTTAGCCTGAGTCGGCCTTCAGCAGTTTGACCTGGTGCTTTCCTCGCAAACACCTAAATAACTTAACTGGACTAGACTCTGTCCAGCTATCTCTACTAATCCCTCCCTCTCTATACCCCTTCCTATGGTGGTTATTTTTATTCCTTTGTCCTCAGGAAACAAGTACAGATCAAGTTCAGGGCCCATCAGCATTTCTAGGGGCCGACAGCAGCAGAAAGGGAAGGCAAACACTGAAATCCAATCGCCTGACTGGACACCCTCCTGATAACGGGTCCTGACTGATAAAGACTTTAGAAGGACAGTAAAAACACTGAAATGCTGATATATGAAGATTTTCACTTGATTTTTTTTTTTCTTCTTGTAACCATAATGCGATTTCTGCTGCAGATCTGTACTCATGAACCACTTGAACGTTGGATGTCTTGTGTGCTCAGGTTATCACAGGCATATGTGTTGTCCTCAAACCCCTTTTTACATACTATGGCTCATTGTCCTCATAGTTTGATTTGTAATTTCTCATTAAAAACTGCGTCTGTTCTTGGGATGACTGCTTCAGGTTTCTTCAGGTTATTATGATTATTGCAGAAAGGTTATCAGTTTATGTGCAGATAGATGTCTTCTGACAGGCACTGCAATAACGCCCCCCCCCATGTGAAAATCACAGAAATGCACCAAATATTAAAATCACTAATTTAGCTTACATTTGTTGGATTGCTTTGTTGGATTTGTTTCTGCCTGATTTTTCAATAAGCAGTGGTTTGATGTATTTAAACAGCTGATAGTCCTTCCTATTCAGCTCCCATTAAAAGTCCCTGGAACATACCTAACATATTGCGTGTTGTGGATCTTTCTCACTGTTCATGTGATTTTTACAGGAATGTATTGCATTCACCGAAACAAAAAAAAAAAAAAAAAAAAGCTCTGTTTTTTAGAGTAATTTTTTCCTGTTCCTGTTCTTTTGACTAACTTTTTTTCTGTTTTTTAGATAATTATTTCTCAGTTCTGTTCTCCAGACAATTTTATTTTTGTATTGTTTTTCATACTAATTGTTTTTCCTATTCTCTGGGATTGTGATCATTTCAAAAGCAAGGCTTTCATCCCTCTCGGCTCAGTTTATCGGAAGCAAACATGGTTGACTTGTTTAGTTTAATCAAGTTTTTCTTTCTTTTGGGTTTAAGACAGTGAGAGATACTCCTTTCTTTAAGTCAGATAGATGGAATTGTCAGAAGTTTGTGTAATTTGTGCAGGCACCTCAGGATCTGCATACCCTATGTTAAATTAATAACATGCTTTAGTGTCAGTGACCCTGTAGTCAAAGTTATCTAGGGACTGCAGAATTTGCTGATTTGGAGCAGCCGATGTTGTTTACGTTACATGACTGTATGAGATTCCTGCAGGATTTTTAAGTATCTTGTTTAGTCAAGAAAAAAAATAGTCAGAAATACAGAAAGGCGAAAAAAAAAGGAAAAAATTTCAGTAAAATTTTTTCCCAAAAAACATAAAGAGTGGAAAAAATGTTCGTAAAAAAAAGGAGAAAAAAAGTCAGAAAAACAGAAAGAAGAAAAGATTGAGTCCAGAAAACAGCAAAGAAAAAAAAAAGTAAAAAAAAAACGTTTCTTTTTTTTCTTTTTTGTTAAGTAAATTCACTTAGGCTCCCTCTGCCAAATAAACACTTCTCTGAATTAGCGCTACGGTGCATATTTGATAAAGACAGGATACAACAGATACATGTTGGCTATTAATACAGGTGCATGACAAAGTATTCGCCGACATGCTGCTGTCAGTCAATAGTAGGTTTGTGTAGGTACAGAAGAAGAAGAAGAAATTTATTGAAATTCAAAGACGTATTCATACCGAACTGTTTTGGTGCAAGACTTGCAAGCCTCTGTTTGGAGCACAGTATGTTGATGTAGAGGGTCATTAATGAGGGTAAGTTGTTTTAAGTCCTAACTTAGTAAAACAACTTAATTTAATTACTTTCACTCACTCTCTATAGATGTTTCATGTTTTATTCTGTTGACCCAGTTTTCACTGTCGTGATGAGCTTTCTGAGTGTTTTTAAAGTTGTGGTTCTCAAAGTTTTTCCTCAGGGCTCCCTTAAGTAGATGAGAGTATTTCAAGTCCCCCAACACCTCACGCTAATTCATTAAATTCAAATTTCTACTATCATAACATTTTTGTAAAACATAAAAAATGACATAATTGCAACTTCAGATCATGGTATCAGACCGTAGCTCCACATCTGTACATTGGTTGTACCCCCCATTTGGGAATCACAGGTCTAAAGTAGCGAGAATATTGTTACCTAGGTCGAGGTAAGCCACCATTTTAATTATCAAACACATTTTTTGTCAATTCTGTGCTCACCAGTACGGGAATCCCAAATATGACCGTATCCCTAAAGCAACTATCAAGCAAGGCTTGTCATCATGAGTAAAAAACCCTTAAAGGTCAGAGAGAAATCAACTGAAGGTAATGTTAATGTGTTGGGACAGGTGAGAACCCATTTACACCTGTGTGGTATTTCTCAGACAACTTTCAGAACAACGAACAACAATTATTTTTTAATCTGACATTAACATCCACTTTGAACAGATATATCAGGATGTGTGACCAAGATTTCAAACTTTAAACTTCCACACCAGTTTCCTGTTACCTACTGCTTGCCCCACCATTTCTGTCCCATTTTCATTAAAAAAAAAAAAAAAAAAAAAAAATCAAAGTACAAATCCTAAACCTTTATGTGGGCTGTAATCCTCATATCTGAACAATGAACGCAGCTCTAACAAAATGCACATAAATCTTTCTGCAATAACTTCCCTGAACCTCTTTTGAAAAACACTGAATGAGCGCTGTCCAACCCAACCATCCTCTTATGTCACTGAAGCTGCAGCTTTGTCATGCTGCTGAGCGCTCTGTTCATTCATGTTCTGAAAATCTGATGCTGTATCACAACAGTAATGAGGATAAGCTCTCTACAGAATCCGTCTTAAAGCTCAAAATCTGAAAAAGTGGAGCACTTTTCTGTCAAACCTCACAGGAAAACCATCTGTACAGAACAGTGATGTCTTATGTGAGGTGTAAGTGCTGTGCAGCTTAACTAGTTCTGAAAAAGTTGGAGTGTGTTGGGACTCACCGGTGGAGAACCCTTCTTAATGGTCACGCTGGGTGTGGTTGCCCTCAGTGCTCCAGTGACTCCGTGGTAGTACCTGAAGCAGACCTGGGTCTCAGCTGACGGTGAAAATAAAGATGGAGAGAAAAGAAAACATGGATTAGTCCCCTTTGACCAACAAGGAATCACTTCACTCTGTAGTGATCACAAAAAAAAAAGACATGATTGTTGAGTTACAAATTGCGTTTACATCCCATCAAAATCCAATTTTGTTGATGTTCGCTCTGCAGGTGATAAAAAAAAAGACTGCATAAATGACGTCAGGTGCTAAGACAGTTGAGGCAGTGGTATCTGAATTAAGGTTTTGTGTGTTTAAGTGGTTTACGCCTTGAGGAGTTAAGACTGACAGCAAGTGCAAAATGAAATTCAGAGAGTATAGAGGTCGTAAATCTTCACTTCTGCAAGATGAAATCAAGAGAGCCAAAAGAAAATGGCCACGAATGTCCAGCAAAAGGCAAAAAACTGGAGCAAGCAATGATGAGGTTTCTCCATCCAAGCAGTCCCACAGTGGGGGAAGCTGGAGACTGTGGGGAAGTAGAGGGAGAAGAGGAGTGCATGTGGGGGGCAGAGATCCACACCCGTCAAAAAACAAAACAAAAAGTAGAGGTACAATATTGGGGGAAAAAGAGGAAAGAAAGAAGACAAATGTCAATCTAAACTTTCTTTAGGCTACAGTTTTGACTGGCTACAAATATAGGCCATGATAAATGGGCTCAATTGTGTTTTTTTTATTCAAGGTAAGCGAATGCAAATAAAAAATACCCCAAACAGGTCATCAGAAATAACTTTGAAACTGAGTGATATGTGTCTGTAATTCTGTCTCCTCCTCACTGTGACATCAAGAACCATCTGTGAGCGACACCTGTATTATCATCACCTTCTTTTCAAAGGTATTATATTCAGTCAACTTTTTTGCATTTACTCCTGCCAGTATTTCGCACATTAGGGTAGAAATGCTCCATACTGCATATTTATTTTAAGTGAACATACTAAATGGACGACATGTGTTATCTCACACATTTGAAAGACGCAATCCTCAGTGCGGACTGTTAGATCAGCTAGTGCATTTGTTTACCAGTGCTGCGAAGTTTATTTAGCCTTTAGAAAACCAGGCCCTCAGAGAGTACCTGAGAGCTTTCAGAGTGAAGGTCCTGTAGAACTAAAGTTTCTATAAAAGTGAGAGAAAAGACCTGCCAACATTTCTCAGTAAAATTTTCCCAGTTGTTTTTTTTTTTAAACATTATCTGTCACTTTTTAAAGCTTCTTAGATATTTGAGAAAACATGGGAAACTTTTTTTTTTTCGCATTTGTATTATCTGAGAATTTTAACAAAATAATCAAACTTATTCATAATTATGTTTATCCATATGAAATTAGAAAACTGACATGATAAAATCCCATCATGAACCCAGATCTGTTCACACTTTGTATCTTGAGTTGTTAGTATCATTATTTTCCTACCTACAGAATGGTACTTGCTCAGTTGCAGATACTAAACAGTGTGATATAATGAGCTACTTCATTCATTTATCAAGTTTTAACAGATAGTTGATAGATGACATTAATCTTATCTGGGATTTAGTACTCTGTTGGAAATAAGGGAAGTGGAGCACACAAGTGGTGACACAGGGAGATTAAGGTCACTCTAAAGCTCCATGTTTTTTCTGCTTGATTGATTAGACACACTCTGATGAAGTGACAAACAGAGAGGGGGGAACACAAAACACTTGACACGAGTGACTGAGTGTCCAGAACCGAGTCGGTGGTCTGATTTGTAAAAGTCACAGAGAGAGGGAAAATAAAGTCACTCTTGTTTTCAGTCATGGGTGGTTTGTTTCCACTCACATCATCAAAGTCATTGAAGTGTTCAGTTTAAGTCCTCCTTTGACAGGCTGCAAGTATTTAGAAAACCGCACCAGGAGACTCTGACTATGAGTATACAGACAAACATTGACTGTTCATGCTGATGACAAAATGCTGTTAACTTTAATATACACAGCAACAACAGCTCCACAAGCTGCTTTGAATCCTTGTAGGTAATTATCACTGTAAAAACAACAGCATAAAAAAACGACTAAATTATACAAATGATGAAACTATACCGAAATGAATAAAAATAAAATGCTGTACCAGTTTCTAAAATTACACTGGTCACTATTTAATTCAAGTTTATATGTAGAGGATTTTTCTTGTTTAATTTCTGATAAAGGCATTTATGTACGAGCCTCATTTACCAACCGTTTAAAAAAAAAACACACAAAAAAACGGTTCCTTTGCAGACTACCATTTTTGACATTCTTAAAGGTTTCATTATCTGAAACATGTTCTTAGATTACAATAAATTCTTTAAGTACTCAAGAACACTCTCACAATTAATTAAAAAACTGACATAGCCATAAACAATCATTAAAATATTATGTCTTTCTTTATTTAGAACCTTCATAATATTATAAGGCACACAAATCCATGATTAAATATAATTAACATTTCAATCATTCAGTGTTTGGTCTAATCTGCAAAATGATGAACTAAGACTATTAAAAATCTGAGCTTTGGACTCGGTATATGACCAGGTAAGTGACAGGACACATAAAGCATTGTGTCTGGTACTACTAGATGGAAACACCTGAATAGCTTTCCACCGTTAAATTTATTCAGATTCTCACTCGTCACCCATAAACACAATTCCTTATGTCCCTATTGCATCATATGAGACGGTCTCCCTCCCTGAACCCAGTCTCTCCCCCTCTCTCCCTCTAATGATGCTCCTCTGTAAGCAAGCTCTCTACTTTCCAGAGACTGCTACTTCTCATGCTGATACAGCCACAGGGCTTAAAGGCTCAATCCACTTTGTTCTCTGAGAGAGGGAACAAAAGCTTCACGGAGAAACCGGCGAGTGAAACACAACCAGGACCACCTTTATCCAACCACACACTGAGTCATATAAAGTATTCTCCTTATTGTATCTACTATAAGACAATTTAAGCATTTCATGTGTCTAACTTTGTCTGTAAATCACCTGAGAAGTCATTATGTTTATTTTTAATTTTATAGCTACGTGATTGATGAAATAGCATTTTTATTTCTGGCTCCTCACGTTCATAAAAATAAACTAATCCAGACTGAATGACATCACCGCCGGGCAACTGTTTTATAAAGTCGAGACAAAGCCCAATCTTTGTCTTTTCTATTTCTGTCTACAGTGTGGATCCCAAATACTTGCACACAGTGCTTCTTAAGTGTTTTAGGGGTTGTTATTGTCAGCTCAGTGAGGCTTTGCTTCACCATGTCTTACATTTTTTTAGAATAACATTACTGTATTAGTTTACTGAGGTCAACAGTACATTGATTGGCCAGGTTAAGGTGAGAGGGTCAAACAGCAAGCTACTTTAGGTGGCCTAATGTGCTGGTATGCGGTATGATTGTGAGTTCCAATGGCTCATTACTGTTCATATAGTCAACTGAAAGTTTCAGATAAAAAGTGACATCATTAAAGTGTATGCATGATTTTGGATCCTGTGTAGGTTATATACATAGCTGCACTGTTCCCATAACCATGCAAAGATGTTCGATGATGGCCAAATAATTTCAAACAATAATTGATTAATTATTTGAATTTACCAACTTCCTAAATGGAAATCTGAATGTTGTTTTAAACCTTGAACAAGATGGCTACAATGATTTGTTGAGCTGTATTTCAGTAAAATTTGGGGTTAAATTGTTACCTTGGTTCTCTGAGAGAAGGGACTACCCCTCCACACTGATGCATTGCATGTGTGGGATATGATCTCCTGCTTGTCAGGGTCTGTGGATATAACTTTAAGAAAAACCAGCTTGTGTCTCTCTTTGAGATGGCCTGTCTCACACTGGGGACTGTGAAAGGTCCCCCCTCAGGGGGCAGAGATACTTAATGAGCCCCCTGAGGTCCAGAATAGGACAAAGCCCCCTGCCTCGTTTGGGGACCAAGAAATAGCTGGAGTAAAGCCCAGCCTGCTCTACTTCTCTCATCACCTTTTTCTCCAGGAGAGTGGACAGTTCTTCCTGCTGTATTTTTACATGCAGAGGGTCTTTAATGGTGGTGAAGGTTGGTAATTTTGTCACAGTAGGTCACCCATCGGAGACCACCCATGGGTCTGCCTGCAAGGCTAGCCAGGCTTCCCTGTGTCCACCTGACAGGGAAGACTGCCTGAGTGGGGCTCCAGGATTGTGGTCAAATTCATGACATGGATCATTCACACAACACACCCTGAGTCAGGTGGAGATCAGACTATCAATGATTGCACACCAGTAAAGCTGTGATAGTCTCAAGAGGACAGAGAACACGGGTGACAAACTGTAAAAACAAGAGTTAACTGGAGGACTGGAGTAATACCACTTGGATGCAGAGGAGCAGTTATTTAAATATATAATGCATTCTGTTTTATGATATCAATATTAACCTTATTTCATTGAGTATTGAGGAATTTTTGCTACTTACGGTCACTGAAGATGGAGCTGGTGTCAATCTTCCAAACGATCTGTCCGTTGTGAGATCCATTGATACCTCGGTTCTTGTAGTCCAGAAAGTTCTCAGACAAAGCTTCATCTGGAAAAAGAGATAAAACAAATGAAATTACGCTGCCACCCCGACCCTGAACATGTTCACAATGAGTCATTTTTATTTCTTATTTCTCATTACACATTAAAGTGACTTAACTGCAGCTGATTCCCTGTCTGCCATGTAATGGTATCACATTACAAAAGTCGTGACACATACTGTTACTGAAAGGTTTCACTTTACAGTGTTTGTGGTGTTCTTGAAAAAGGTTTAGACACACAGAAACAACAGAAACAAAACACTTGCCTAATGAAAGTTGTTAGCTGGAATAAGCCTTTAAGAGACTGGGCAGAGATGCTACAAAACCCTCTATTTTGAGTTTATATAATGACTTCTGCTTCCATCAGACTCTGATTTATTTTAAGTTGCAATCATTGATCGCTGAGTTAATGTAATTAATTACAGCAAATGTCACAAAATCAAACACTTTGGTAGAAGCAGAGGCTTGCATTCAGTCAGTCACAGTCTGATGGGAATGTGTGAGGAGAAAGTGACAGCACAAGCAAAAAGCTGTCCGTCAAACAAGGCTGAAGTCAGCCTGACGATCAATAGCTGGACCAATTTTACCAGCATGGACTCAAAAGTACTAAAACCACAGCTTTCCCTCTGTCTGCTCGCTAAAAGCCTGTACATTACAACTGCATTATTACAGACAGACTACAGAGAGTGGGTGATGCTGAAGTTAAAACATTATTCAGGATAAATTATTAAAAATGCTTCTTAACTACTTTGATATTATTAGTTATGTAGATAGTTCAGTTGTACTTTGGGAGAAGGTGAGGGTATGATTTGCAAAAGAACTGCCCTGCTTTTGTGCTATTGGGCCAAAAAGGCATTGTCTTATTTTCACAGCATGCATAAGGTGTTAAAACTGGTGCACAAACTCAACTGTTGTGTAAACAGTGCCTCTGTGCACCAGTATGATTTGCATAAATCTTACTGAGCCATTATGCATTCATGTGGAACAAAACATCCCTCCTTCAATGCAAATGAGCCTTATTTCAACACGATGGTACTGATTGAACTGGAGTATTTAAATGCATTAAGATGCTTAACGTCCCAGTGATCAAGACGATGATTCACCTCTGGCTGACCTTGAAATATTACAGCAGTGCATTAAATGTGCTGACATTACTTTGAAATTACTATTTTTATAAAAATCAACAGTTGAATTAGTCCTCGGCAAAGCCATATTACTAAATTTAAGTGTAATTTTTAATTTAATTATTCTTTTCAAATTTTTATCCAAACACGTTGGGTTTTGATACCTCACTTTAGGAATTAAGCTGGGCATAAACTATTAAATTTGTGTCACATCTGTCATGAAACACCTACACAACAAACAGCTACGGACGTGTGGATATAACCTGCTGCTATCAGGATGAGAGTGCGCAGCGCATGTCTGTGCAGCGGAGAGTGGAGATGTTAAAAACTTATCTGGGTCACATAAATATTTAAAACTGGAGCAAACTGAACACAGCTTTAAAACTGTGGGCTTTGTGCACTGGAATATCATTAGTGCAAGTAGCTTTTTAATTAGACCATGAGCAAGAACAGATACCAGCTGCAAATGAGGTGCAATTATTGGTGCAATTTATGACCACAATCCAACTTAGTGGACTTCCCCATAAATGTATCCATATATGAAACCATGTATGTCTATAAAAAAACATACAGCTGTCAGGTGAGTGACTTTAAAACAGAATTAATGGCTTTGTGAGTAAATAGTCTCAATTAATTTTATCAGTATTGTTAGAAGCATCCCATTACAGATAAACATGCTGCATTATGCTATTCATTGTTTTTTGTAAAACTTTCTAACTGTAATTGTAATCAACCTTTACCTAAAATGTTAATTCACAAACTAATTTAATCTGATCACTTTCCTATCCAAACTCTCTAACACCTGCTTTCTGCACACAGCTGCTCACTTTGCCCCCTCCTCCTCCTCCTCCTCCTCCTTTGTCGTCTGCAAAATTCTTCACAATTGTTTTATAAATGCAGAGTTTTTTTCCTTGAACTTTTGTTATGTATGTGGGAGAGAGCTGTTAACGTTGGATTGAAACAACTGAAATTAAAATGTGGTTCTGAACGGCTTCCAAACTTTTTACAGGCCTTCAAAAATGAGGAGAGAAGTTGTATCAATGCACCCTCATTGTATGTCACTTACCAACTTGATACATGCCGATCCAGTCTCCAGCATCCACCTCCTCTTTGATGTCCCATGTGATCACCAGGTCCTCTGATTGGCCAATGGTGTAGTGGGAGGAGTTGATGGTCAAGGTGGAGCGAGCATCAGGGGAAACCAGATCAGTGTCGCTGGTGGACCGGGACAGCCCCAGCATGAAGGCCTCCTGGTTCAGACCGTTGACAGCAAAGCTCTCTGGGCCATAGCTGTGACGGGCCACATCCTTGCAGCGCTGGCGGTTCTGGCTGTTGCGGGATGGGGATGCCATGGCCGCCAGGCCCAGGAACCGATTCTGGTACAAGTTCTAAGACAAATGACACAGCAAAAGGGTTTAAGCCAATAGGTCAAGTCTGGGGTATTCAAGATTTAACACACCTTTAAACACACCCTTCACTGCACTTCATTGTAAAAACAGCAGAGTGTGAATATGTGAGTGTGGATGCACCGGTCGCAAAGAAAGCTCACAGTTTTTGGAGTAAATACCTTCAAGACTTTGAATGGCTCCACTACAAAAACAGCACAACGCTGTGTGTTCACTGTTGAGCCTGGGTTAGGTTGCAAGTACCACAGTGTTATATTGTTACTGTGATGCTCCTGAATTTTCACTGGTGCTGCTAAATTTTTGATGCTAGACTTTAATAAACAGCAAAACCTTTAATATAAAGAATGACATTATAAACGGCTTCAGATAACTAAGTACAAACATACTTGAAACACATCACATCTTAAAAAAAAGGTCTACTGCAAAAAAAAATCTTGTGAGTAAATAAGTAAGCATCTAAGATTGAAGTTTTTTTTTTTCACCTGAGCCTAAACTGCAGTACATGAACTTGTTATCAGCTATGTTTATTTTCCATCATAAGTCAAGTTTTCTACCAGATTTAAATACATACACAGGAATTGAAAAGGACATTTCTCTTAGTACAAAATATAAACAGTTCAATAGAGAGAGGTTTAACACTGCTAAATAAAGAGTGTTTCATATATATGTACACATCTACCCTCATGTCTGATATGTACACTCACATACACATGCACATCTGCAACCAGCAAAATGATTCTGTTGTTCACATTTACATATGATCTTTGTGGTATTGCATTACTGTAAACAGTAGAATTGTAGTGCTAATACAGAAACAGGTAATTCTGTAACAGCAGCAGAGTTTTAAGCACAAAGATAAGATTTAGTTCAAAGTTTGGCTTCCTTCCTGTCATCAGTATTTGAATTTTCGGCTTAAAGCAAAGAGGCTTGTGTTGGGTAATACACGCCGTGTTGTTGCCCTTTCTTCTCACTTACTGGCTGAGAAGCAGGGAGCCTGTAGTATGAATTTAAATGATTTAGTGGTGCGCTTAATGGATGCACACAGCAGCTTGGAAGCATGCTGTCAATCACAGCAAAGTTATCCTAAGCCACAGTGGGGATGCATTTCTCTCTCTTTAAAAACTTGTTTACATTAAATAACACACATTTGGATGATTTGGAAGCTTTCGAATGAATTTCTGTGCTACAACATGAGTCGAAATGCTGCAGCGAAAACAAGATGTTTGACAGAATATTTTTTTAATCACCAAAACATGATTTTTTTTTTCTTGATGGAAGTGTCTAATGTCAAAGAGAAGTACCATTCCTAGTTTCACTCAATGTTACCAGTGGCTCATATTTAATTTTTTAAAGGGGAAAAAGCTCTAATAAGGCAAATACATCAAAAACGTAAGGATGCGAACAACTCAATCTAAGATAGACAGCATGGCTGTTGCTTTCTCTGATATAAGATGAAGAAAACACTGTGTTTGTGGATCCTGTTTGTCTGATAATATCTTGTAAACATGATGGAAATTCTTCACACCAACTGGCAGATAACCATTTATATAATAACACTGTACTGACACAAGAGACACATTCATGCATTAACTCATCTCTTGGACCATTAGACACAAAAGCTATTTAATAGGCAGAATGGAATCATAATGACGCTGGTGCTGAGAGTGACACCAGCTGTTTATGGAGGAGATTGGGACTGATTTAAACAGTCTCAACACAAATTTGATATATCAGACTTTATGCTGTAGCTCAGAGCTCTACCTTTTCTAAAACACAACATCAGATGATGATCAATTGATGCGAGGTTTGTAGCTGAGGTTGGAATTTACAAATGAATAATTACATTATAGTTGATTCATTCATTTTGCATATTTGTTTTTGTTTGAGCACCTTATAAGACAGTTAAAAAGCCTGCCTCAGACCATAGTTCACAATCTGTTCACATAGCGGAGGACAGAGTGAGGTCTGTAAGTAGGGCACTGCTTGTTGTGCCTGGGTCATGAGCAGTGTCCGAGGATGTGCCCACATTATTGCCTCTCACTCCTTTACTGTGGCTGTTTTAAACACGTTAGACCTCAAAGAGAAGAGGAGGCTTTTTCATAATTAAATATTTATCATTAAGACTTTCTTTTGGTGCTTTAGATTATTTTGCAGGGCTTTTTTCCCCACATGGGATTTAGATTTGCTTAAAACATCTCCTGAGCATCAATAGTCTCATCATAGCCTAACAATAGTAACTAGGTATGGCAGTCCTACAAGTATCATGTCTGGTCTAAAATCAAGGCTTTCCCAACTACATGAAGCTAAACGATGCCAAGTTCACCAGTTTGTTACTCGTAAACTGAGTCTGGTTCTGCCTGGTCCAAAAATTCTTAACTATCTGTACTCTCTATTGAGCAACTGGCACTCACTACTCTGTCATAATGTTGTAGCCCACTTAAACACAGATGTAAACAAGAACACATGATAGATGGCTTCTTGAAAGACAGTGAGGTTAGGTTGTATACTAATCTACAAAATGGGCAAGAAGTTGTAAATAAGCAATGTCAGATAAAACAGGCCTGTAACCGCTAAAACAAAGAGACGCAGGCATAAGCAGGCATGCAGATTCTGTTGTATAAGCTTGATTTTGACTGCTTTATGAGCATTTCTTTACCTAAAAACAGCTGGTTGGAATGCAAATCTCACTTCAAACAGGGAGGATGTAAGTTATGTAGTTTTCAAAAATAACTAAGGAAAACAAATGTACTAAAAGATTTCTTAAGCTATGTTTTAAATCACCTTACATTTCATGATAAACTTGTTGTACAGCTTCGGTGTCTAAATTGTTGTGGATCCAAAAGAACTTCCAGAGCATTATATTCAACAACCTTCTCTGTAATCTATTTTTTAGCCTTTTTGGCTCTCTACAGGATATTGAACTTTTATTTAAGAGTCCAAAGTTTGGTAGAGTCAGATCTGACCTAATGCTGAAGTGTCCTTGGGCAAGACACTTGGCCCCACCAACCCCGCTGACTGGTGTGTGAATGCAATTAGTCAAAAACTGATGGACTCTGTGCACAGCAGCCTCTGCCATCAGTGTGTGATTGGGTGAATGTGACATGTGATGTAGAGCACTTTGAATGGCCAGTAGACTGAAGAAAGATCTATATAAACATAATCCACTGACTTTTTTTCTCTGCTGCTTTAGTCAACACACTGAACATTTCGCTATGACGTATCAGATTGGGAGTATTGAATGCAGCTTGACTGCTGCTGCAATGGAATCATGTTATTACACATTGTAACATAACAACACATGTAGCTGTTAAACTGTTCTTACTTTCTAGAGTAAAATACTTCCACATTGCCAAAATTTTGGCCTGGGGCTGCTGAAACTATGTCCTCCCATGTTTGTTAGAAATTACAACAGTGTGGACTTGGCTCCTATCATACGACATTATTGTCTCTGTTTAGATGTCACAGATGTGTTTGTGTTTAACCCTAACATCCACCAACTACAAAGACAAGTTAATTTCACATAGGGTAACACTATGATTATACTTACTCATAATACCCCATATTCATACCCTTATTACTGTGATTATTATACCACAAAACATCCCATTCAGTTTCACGTTTTGTAATCCTTTTAAAACATACTGCAGAATCCTGGTTCCCGTACTAGAGCACTAAGGTGTGGCTTTGAGACTTCTTCCTCTTTTCAGCAAGTGTTGTCAGTTTTGAATGATATAGTTTCCCTACCAGCAAGTCTAAGTATGAGTGAGACATTTCCATCCTGTGATCTCAGATCTGATCAGAGGACGCTCCAGTTAGAAAGGAGCTTCAGGGCACGACTCAGCCAGCTTTGATAGATTGGTCTAAAGCACTTTGTGAAGAAGAAAACTGTATCTACACGCACTAAACAACTTCTGCGGGCTCCCCTTTGTCTCAGTTTGATATGAATATTAAGGTTGGCTTAATTCATGATTCAGCCTGTGGGAATTTGAATACATTATCTTTAAGTGATTCAGCATATATTTCACTTGTATAAAAACAGGATGCAAGGCAGGCATTTTATACTTTGACATGAGCATGATCACATTTGAAGAAACTAGCTAAACATAATTTACGCAAATGAAATCACCTAACAACGTGTTGTACTGTTTAGATCAGCTGTAAAACTCTGTATTCTTCATGACTGGGTGGTAGGTAGGCAAATAAAGATGGTGGTAGGTGATCATGATGGCAGGCAAGGGGGGCACTGACCTTGATACTACAGAGCTGCATCAGCATAATGACCAGGCAACCCAAAGCAGACCAAAACCTGAGGGAAGTGGGAGGAGAAGGATGGCATGTTACAAACAATAGAAACAAAAAGCAGAATGTAGCAAGTGGAAATCCAAGGTATGGCCAACAGTATTATGTCAAAGGGGGGGAAATAAACAACACAGCACCTTCAAACTTTCATACTTCATCTTCATCAGATAAAAATATGAAAAATTTAAGGAGAACAAGCACACAGAGCGAAAGACAAGTGGAAACAGAGACAGAGACACTGTGACCTCTAAACAGGAACATGGAGAACAGTGAAATACAGTAGTGTGCACACATACAACGTCAGAGCAACAATGATATTCCTGAACAAAAAAAAAAAGACACACAACATTGACAAAGCATCTGCTGATGATCACATGTTGACATTCCTGCAACGTAAGAGGCAAGCTTGCGAACAAAGTAACTGGTAGCAGGAATAGCTTGGTGTGTTTAAAATGTGATTTGTTACAGACCAAGATTTCATCATGATTGAAGACCAAAATGCCACTGACAAAGTCCTCATTAATATGCAGATTGCAGACATCTTTTTTTCGAAGGATTTGCTCATGTGTGACTCAGATATGACCCTGAGAAAAGCATAACTCATGTGCAGCCGTTTCATTCTTAATTACATCTCTTTCATATACTGCCCAATCTGCTTACATGCCTAAAATCTCGCCATGATCCAAGTGAAGAGTCGTATTGATGACACACTTGCGCATTCAAGTCACGAAACATTCATCTGCTCGGGCCATGACAGATTTATTCTTAAGCAGCCTTTGGCGTGCTGAAACTCTAGATAAAGTCTGTTTCTTCAAACAAATTGAGATCACCATGAGTGCCTGTGACTCAGAGTCTACACACAATGAAACGCTCAATGGAAGGTGACATTTCTCAGCAAGCCTCAGTTTAAACTCAGGCTCTCCTCTTCTTGTCTTGGCTGTCCTTATTCAAGTTAGCCATGTTTACTTAATTATGCATGTAATATTATGATCTTGTTGAAATCATTTAGTTAGGTTGTAAGATCCCTGCCATCATCAGTCAAGTTGTGACTCTTACGCCTGGTTTAGGCATCTGCGTCAGACCTTTGCCGTATCTACGCTTTAAGTGCCTATACCATCGTGAGCACATGCTTCTACTTCCTTGTTTGGATGCAGAAAACACAGCAGTGGAATCCAAGAATAATATTTTGAGTTTCATGTACTTTCATGTTTGATCACGCTTTAATTACTGCATAGAGGATGGACGTCCAAGGAGACAAACAATACAGTTGTGAAGGATGAAGACGGGATAGTGGACTATCTGGAATATCCACTACCAAGCAGATGAATCATAGGGCTTTCCGCATCATTTTGACGTGTAGTTGCATCTGAGGAGTTGTGTGTTAGCTATATCCATAGGCTTAGAGGGCCACTTCGACCTACAGCAAAAGCTGGGTCCAATGCAAAGGCATGAATCAGGATTAACTATCCCAGAGCTTTCAGTGCAGCAACCGATGACAGAAGTTGAAAGACACAGCTGCGCTAAAGGACTTTTTCTCCTTGAACAGTCAAAAGACAGTTTCACAATTGTATACTAGTCTTTGAATGATTTGATTATATATTCAAGTTTTGGGGTACTCAAATATTCTTTGACAGTCCTTCCACTAATCAAGTTCCAGGCAACCATTGTAATTGTACCTTTATTATTCCCAAAAGATGTTTATTTTAAGTTGCATTTGGCAGATTGTCTTTTATTTTATTATCAGCCTTTTATTTTACAGATGGATGACAAAGTTGATCGATAAAAGGTATGTTTTAGCACCACTGCAGAGGCACCTTTTCTACTGATGTTGCGTTCACACCAAGTGCAAATAAAATCCTTAACTCACTGAATTTGTGCATATTTGGACACACGGACGTGTGTTTACTTGCTTGATTTGAGTGAATGGCTGGACATCACAGAATCGTGATATACAGCAAGAGTAAGGGTTGAATTGTTATCCTCTGTGTGAAGATGTTGAATGTTTGAGTTTTATTTCAAACACAACTATGAGAAAACAGTGTTTTTACTTTAAAAATTTGCTTGACACAATTTAACTTAGATTTAATAATCAACTGAATAAACATGACAAGTTCCACTTTCTTCCGCCTGATCAGCTTACTGGTGAACTCAGTTTTTTATTATTATTAGTTTGCTGGTTAACTCAAGGACAGCTCAAGGTCTGTCAGCTAGCAGCTAAATAGCAGCTCCTTGAATTCAAGAAAAAAAGATAAATTTAGTGAGATCCCTTCCCTGAGGCTCATACTTGTCAGTTTTGAGGACGTCGAGAAGTTTTAAATTCTTGTTCATGTGGCTGGAATAAAAAACAATTTTTTCCTCTACATTTTCTGCAACACTTTACACCAAATTTTATTTCAACTGCAAGGAGATTTCCAAAAACGACACTGCTGTTACTACAACAAAAGAAGAGGCTGGTATGTCCTTGTAGACTTGGCTTAGTGCTTCAGGTGACACACATATGCAAATATGTAAAAGCCCAGGAAGGAACAAAAACCATGCAAACTCATGTCTCACAGCCTTGTCCAAATCCCTATAGAGCTCATTAGTCATATAGTGCCACATAAGTATGGTGCCCTAACTACTCGCTGCATTTACATGCTTTGCCTATAACCTCAAGGAAATCAGCCCACTTATCCTCTCTGATTGGCTGGAAAAGCTGTAAACATCATCCAAGCTCAAGCCAAACGCTGGCTGTTGGCTCTGTACATCGAACAGAACATTACAGATTATTTATTTGGCACACAGTTAAAATGTGATGGGAAAGCTTGTGCTGAAAATAAAAACATCCACATACATGGTTCAGTAATGAACAGCCATCCCCCCATGGTATTTGGTTCAGAAGAGGAAGAACGGGCAACAGCAGCAGGGTTTCCACTACATGGAAATGATCATGGCTCTCTGCCACGCCAAAATAAAAACCGCCATACCTTCAGAATTTTTTTTTCAGATGTTTCAAATTTAAATCATGTTGTATGAATGGATTTAAATAAACATGAAGTCTATTTTTGTGCAAATTTACAGACCATAATATGGGTGTGGGATTGTACTCACAAAATGTGACACTGCTCTGATTTTGTAAAACAAACTTCCAGCCCGAAAACAAACTCTACTGTGCCTCACTGGAGAGTGGTGGCAAAGAGGCGACAGCAGGAAAAAGGGATAGAGCAAAGGGTGAGAGACAAGTAACCAAGAAGGACAAGTTTAACAAATATTTAGCTCGAGAGCAAAGGGCAAGGCCCGCCCCCTCTATTGTGGTTAATCAGTCTAGCAGCAGAGTAGCATTACCGCGCTCTGCCCAGAAGGCGATTTTTTTTTTTTGTAGGACGGTAGGGGAAAGTCCCGCCTCCTACGCCTCTGATTGGCTGGAAAAGCTGTAAACATCATCCAAGCTCAAGCCAAACGCTGGCTGTTGGCTCTGTACATCGAACAGAACATTACAGAATACATCACACTTCTGAATCTCCTAACCCTAACCCTCATCCTAATCCTAACCCTAACCCTGACCCTTACCCTAACCCGACAGACAATGACGTTTCACAGTCATTAGGAATAACCAATTGGAGCCCAGCACTTCTAGCAAATCAGAGGCAAAGGAGGGCGGGACCTTCATATATATAGGACATATAGTATGGACACCAAACATTGTCACGAAGCATTTTTTGTTGTAAATTTGAAAATGCATAATAGCCCCCTACTAAAGTCTTCAGATTTTTTCCTGTTTGCATTTGACTACAGAACAAGAAAACTGCTTACTGTCTGATGATAACAGCACAGCAAAGAAGAACATAATGGACTAAACACAAGTAAATCTGCAATAATCCAAACTTTAAAATCACGTTGCTTGTTCACATGCAGTAGACTAGCAGTATGTGTTCACATGCACAGGATAAAATCTCAATTAGCAGGAAATCAACCACAGATAGGTAAAGCAACCTGTTGTGAGTCTGTTGTTCTCTATATTCTGAGTCCAGCTGCAAGGGGCTGCGCTGCACTGCTGCTACGCTGTTGCTATGCTGTTGCTACGCTGTTGCTATGCTCCAAACACGCTTCCAGTAGGCAATAGCGCATGCTGTCCAACAATACCAGGACATGATGCTGACACTACGCACATCCTGTTGGTTTTTAGCTTAAGGCCTTTAGAAAAAAAAACTAGTCTAATCCTTCTTCTCCATAAAGCTGTCTTGATTACGTCAAACATGTATCATATTTACAGTTTAAAATGTAGGCGCTGACGTCAGGACTCTAAGGGTAGAGAGAAAATATCCACAAGAGACAAGTCTGCAAGGAGACAGAGCCTCTCATGGTGTTTCCAAGCAATGATAAACATTTCAGCCCCTGAGGCTAATGTTAACTAGCACTCACTGCTGACAGATATCAAAACAGACAGCCAAAATCCTCCCTCCAGTTTTCAGTGGAGAAGTGCAACCATTTCTCATACAGAGATGATAAACTTCTGAATTTTTAATGCTTGGTCAGTCTTGATTGGTTTACATCTGTTTTCTGAAAGATTGCGTGAGACTGTGCAACGTTTGAGCAGTTGACTCAATAATCTTGATAATGTCCTGAAGCGAGTGATGCAGTACGGTTTCTTCAATCCTGGAGTATGGACATGTCTGAGATTAAAATTAAGGCTATTTAGGAATTACTTCTGATGTGGCTGACGAAAACCCATTTTTGAAATCTGTACGGGTTTGACAACTTTTGAGTCTCATTTCTAGTTTGAGGATGATGTAAAAAGTTCAGAAAGAGCAGATGCAGCAATATGTTAGAGGTGTTGGCTACTCAACAAGACCCTATTTTTAGCCTGTTCATGACAAACTTGGATTTTTGGATTTTACATGTTGACATCAGCACAAAAAATGACATACGATCTGTTTGCTTTTTTACAATGAACTTATTTGTATGTTATTCATGTGCACTGAGGGTGTTGAAGTCCCAAAACTGCCTTCATTGGTTCTGCATCACTACTTGCTGTTATTTTTAGAGCATCCACAGGCTCCTTTACATCATCCCTTTACATAAACCTTATGTATCCTCCTCAGGGAAGCTCTGCTCACAGTTGTAAACCGCTGCTTTAGTGCAACCTTAGTTACTCCATTGTGACCAAGACCTCAAAACAGGGTTGGACAGATAATGAAGCAATCCTTTTCTACATTACTGCCACCTTCTTCCTAGGCATCTTGCTGTGTAAAGTAGAAATAATGCTTCTTATTCTTTCTTACACAAACCTACACAGTGAGAGGAAGCATTTCCTTTCAGCAGATTTCTTTACGGGTCAGCCTTTTTCTATATCTCTGTGTAAGGGCCATGTAAGCCAGACATATAGCCTCCAGCGTGACATGAAACCTCCATGAGTAGAGGATGGATGCATTAGTGAAAAAAATATGCAGTTATATATAAATGCACACTCTCTACCCGCCTGCTTATAACGATTGTTTTTGTCACTTGGCAGCCACCTGCAGGTTAGAATATCACTTCAGAGAAGGTCAGAGCCACTTTTACTGCAGACTGGTCCAGAGCAGGGAGTTAGAAGCTGAGACATCTATTTGTTTACAACAGAGCAGCCATATGGCCGTTAGCAGCAGGAAGACGAAAATCTGATTATATTTTATCTAATGTAAGAGCTTTGGTCCAACCTACGAAGGCTTTCTGTGAGGAGTTTGCATGTTCTGCTGTTTGTTTGTGTTTTTTTTTTTTCCATGTACCACTGCTTTAATTTTTTTTAGCTACAGAGCCAAACATGAAATGTTCAAGGGGAAAAGAGTGGAAAGAAAAGAGACTGAGGGAAACAACCAAAACCATTTGTATTTCACTGCCCAGTGCTATGGGCAGCTTTCATAGCAATCTCGCCTCTATTTGTTGAGATGACTCACTCACCATCCTCCGGGACTACTGCTTGTAGGGTAGAATACACAGCATTAGTCAATGGCAGAGCCTTGAGTTTAAATAAACTAAATCTCAGCAAACCCAACCAGGACCACTGTTGTCAAGGAGAGAAAATCCTTCTTATGTAATAAATTACATTTACTAGTATGGCTCTGTTCTGAGAGCGCCCTGCCCTTCCACATGAATAAATGTGATACCAGTGTAAAGGTCCTTACGTACCGGGAGCATTTTTTTTCATGCGATTATTTTGGATGTCAATGTTTTTTTTTTTTCAAACCTGATCCTGTCAATACAAGCGTTCATATCAGCAACATTTTCCTATCTTGCGATATTGCGGCATTTATTTTTTCGTACAACGGTCAAATTTTCGAAAGTTTTGCATACTGTGTGTCCACTTCTGACCAAACAGATTGCGTGTTGTTGCGAGGTCAGATTCACCGGTATATCCAACATGGCCAACCCGCTGATTGTTTACATGTCGGAGAACAGAGTGCTTTATGATAAAAAAAACACCTGAAGGACAATTTGTGGAGAGTTATAGCATCAAATCTCTTGTATGATGATAGTTTGTGTGCTTTAGCAGTTTGCTAAACGTCTTTGTTTTAACTCAACTCAACTCAACTCAACTTTATTTGTAAAGCACTTTAAAACAACCACAGCTGTACAAAGTGCTGTACATAACTAGACAAAACAACAAGATAAAAAACAATCAAGAAACAATTAAAACAATGGATAAAATAAAAGCAGAATTAATAATAAAATATAGCTTCAATGTTTTTAAAAACTAATTTAAAAACATAGAAACAAATAACTAAAAAACAAACCATAGAACACTAAAACAGGAGCCGAGTCTCATGCAGGGTTAAAAGCCAATGAATATGCTAAGTAACTTTAGCTCGTAAGCTAACCTGTTCAGATACAACATACCATATGTATTTTCACTGTCTCAAACTCAATCACGTTGCTGTCACAGCACCATTAGGTCTCAGTTGTTACTTTACGTTTATGGATTGTAGTTTAATGTGCTTATCTGGTACTGGCCCCAACTCAGTACATGCTATCATGACAGACAGCCATCTCAACACTAGTGTCTAATCAGAACTGAAAAACAGTCAGTCTGCTGTTGTGTCAGTCTACTCGCTTTCACCCAGGACATGTCTTTTTTCCCACCAGAAAGTCGCAAAATCGCATCATGCTTGATGTGTATAGTCAGGTGCGTCAAAATTCGCCTCTGAATATTTCGTAATTTCGCATCATATATTTGCGTCGTTCCCGGTGTGTAAGGACCTTTAGGCGGGGAGAGCAGACTACCTGGTCTTTTTAACCGTTGAAGGAGACAGAGTAGGTAGAGCAGCAGCAAAGACCCCAGTAAAGAACAGAACAGAGCAAAGCAGAGCATTAGTGGCAATATGGTATAGGTAAAATAAGAGGCAGGTTGTAAAGTGAAGCAAGAAGGCAAAGTAGACTGGATGAAATAGTTTTGAATGTTGACATTTGCCTGTTGGATAAGCAATCAGCTGATATAGGCTGTTGTTGGAATTAGCTAATGTACTGTGGGGCTGACCTTGACTATGCAATGGAGAATCAAAGTGGCAGCCAACAACCAACAATGCCATCTACACGGCTGTTTACACTTTTTACACAGCAGTCACTTTCATCTGACAGTCAGGTTGCAGAGCTCAGTGCTGGGCATCAAACTGATCATTTTGTTTTTTCCGTGTTTCAGGTTGCAAACAGATTTGATTTGATTTGACTTGATTTATTTTGGATTCACCATTAGTTACAAAAAAGATATGCAGTAGCTATTCTTCCTGAGGTTCTCCTGACTGAATGTAGTTACTCTGAGAAACTGCTACTGCTTATTATTTTCTTCTTTTATTCTTTTAAAACTAGGACCAGGCAATGACTCAAGTTTGTTGATTACCTTATATGTTTGGTGAAATTTCATTTTACATCTGTATTTTCTCAACTTCCTTGGGCTTTCCCCTTGTTTACTTTACAAGTTTCCCTGGCTAATCTGTGAAACTGCATATGAGAAAAGATTGATAAAAGCTTGAGCAGATGTTATCTTATTTCACTACATGAGGAATATGGTCCAGTCAAACCATGCACCCTTATGTGACTTTGATAGTGCATTCTAGGCCCTGCACAGTGTCTCCTTCCCCCAAATCTTAAACTCCTGTGATGACTAGGGCTAGATGATAGACTGAAAATTTACACCAAAATTTACGAAAATAACCAATGTCATTTTGCCCATATTGGTACATTCGGTGTCAAAAAATAAATATAAAGCTGGTTTAGGATGCGTGTAGGTAGGCTACTGTCTCATGTCCATTTAAGATGCTGTCCTATGTCAGAGACGTGACTCCACCCCATCCAGTCTGTAACAAAGGGGAAAAGACAGGTAAGGAGATGGAGGACAGTTAAAGTAGACAGCTGAAGTAGACGAAATTAATGTGGGAGGGGGTGAGCAGCTTGTGGAGTAGTTATTGTACACTTATCGTTATTGAGGTGAACTGCTCAATATATCGTGATATTGATTTGAGGCCATATCACCCAGCACTAGTGACGACTTTAGAGGTCAGCAAAGGCTAAAAAAAACGTTTGGGACATTTCTTTGTCATTTTTATTAGTCCTTTTTACGTAGAAATAAAAATGACAAATTAAAACTATGATCCAAGTTTTGTGGTAAAAACTCTAAATTTCATTCAGGCTGTATCGTCCACCCCTATATCCACTCTAGAATATAGTCCAAAACCACAACAGCATTGTAATGTGGTCACTCTGTGGTTATGGTGAACACTTCTCGGATAGAAAATGAATAAACCGTTTGGCTCTGTGAAGCTCTCACAAAAAGTATCCACAATTGTTCGAATTTGTAACCATGGCAACTATCAATCACTTTGAGGTCATTTAAAACAATTTTTTATGCAGCTGCTTTAAAAAAAAAAAAACGCAAATATTCAAAGATTGGTTTTCAGAAGACTAAATTAACATCCAATCAAATATAAAACAATCAACACTTCATCACATCACTCCTCCAACATACAGCTGCATTCAATCTCCAGAGTGTCTCCAGTACAACGCTGCCCTGCACTGTAAATCAATACAAACTCTATATACAGCACTGTACGATGAGTGCAGCCTGCAGCATATCCATGTGAACTGAGATGTTGTTACAGAGACTGACGACTGAAAGCTCAGTTAGACTCATTCCTGGTATAATATCACTGAAATATATTTCATGTTTTTACTTCAGCATATCTGCACTGTGTTCTTTCTCCTTAATGATTCATCCGAGGATCGTTTTCTGTACTGACAGCACAACAGTTTGATCTCAGCCAAAAAACAAAGAGTGAACTCTGAATCTCTACTCCCGGGCCAAGGTTTGAATATTTTATGAGTTTTTTCCCCACACTTTGAAACCCCAGTTTTGTAAATTTTACTATCATGCTTGACAAGTAAAAGACGCAAATGGTGTATTTTAACGTGAATATTCAGAGACAGTTATGGTTTGGCATATTTGCCTAAAAAAGGAAAGGGATGAATTAAAAATGATTAAAAGAGCAGCTGAATTAATTTCCCCATCTCCTCTCACATGGCTTTCTCTGGCTTGACATGACAGCGAAACATCAAAAGGACGGTAAAAGCTGATGCTTAACTTGATTTTGTGCGTTGCAGCTTTGATGTGTGCCCAAACTGCATTACGTACCTGTAGGGCTTTTGACTGTGCAAAATCTATCAGTGCCAAAATGTTGAGTTCAGACCTACATCTTACCTTGGATGTAAACCCTGAATTTACTGAGCAGACATTCATTTCTTCCTCATTAAAAACTTGAAACCCCAAAGACACAACTTTTTGCACTGACAGCACACTAAAAAGTCAAGTCTTGTCTCACTAATACAAGAAGTGCTTTGTGATTTCTTTCATTCGAATTTGCACTAACATGGTTTGAAACGTAAGCATCCGATGAGGTGCAATGATGTGCATTAATATGATCAGTACCTACAATTTGCTGAACAACTTGAGCCCATTAAGTAGTCGCCCAGTTAAGTTTTGGAGCAAAACTCTAAAGTTTTGCCTTGCACTTTAAAGTTGAGGTCACCAACATGAGCAGCATTTTCTTAACATGCACATTTTAAGTGATGATGAAGATGCAAGACCTGCAACTATCCAGCCAGCACCAAACCATTTATTCAAAGATAAACTAAGCAAATGGGCCACAGATTAGGGTGACCATATTCTGAATCCCAAAAGTTGCGCGTAGTTCATTTTGAGAGTTTTTCAGGTGGGACCAAGTGTCTTTTATGCCCTTCTAACTCAGTAAGTCAACCCAACACAAACTTGAAACTTCCATAGAAAACCCTGGACATTTTAAGGACTTTATTAGGACTTATTCAGTTGCCAATCAGACTACCCTGCCAGCCATCAATCAAAATCAGAGACGAGGAAACCATGCCCCTGCATGTGGAGCGAGTCGCTGGCGCTGCTGATGTTGTGCCAAGAAACACGTGTGCACTGAGAATGACTTTCGGAACATTACTCATCACAGTTTAGCCCCACAAATAAGAATTGTATGGGTTTTAAATTGTACATTTCAGTGGACCACTCTACTATAAGTGGTGCACGTTTTGAGAGGCGGATGCAATTCTCGGAGGGCATGCGTTTCTCAGCACAACAACGTTAACAACAACAAACGCAAAATGAGAAACAAACAAGAGAAATCGACTGAAAATGAAGACTTGTTGCCAAAAAGAAAAGCAACATCAGCTATCTGGAATTATTTCAGTTACAAGAAGGATGAAGTCGACCAAAACACGTTATGTGTTCATCTGTTGCTACAATAACGTCCCAGCACAGTAAAAGCAAGCTAAAATATCTCTGAGACAGACAGAAGCCATTCTACAAACATTCACAAAAAGAGGTAAGATCAGTGCAGGTTGTGGCAAAAGACTCAAATGCAGACCCGAGTTTCCAACATGCAAAAGACAGGTTTATTAGCAGTCCAAGTTCAGTACACAATAAGGCAGAATAACAGGCAGATGTGTCCAAAGGCAGGGTCAAAAACTAACAAGGTCGATATCGTAGACTGTGATAACTAGAAGTGCTTGAACGTGAAACGAACTGGTGACGAGACTGTGGGAGACATGAGGTTAAGTACAAGGGGTGATGAGGGGGATGGGAGACAGGTAGGGGGAACAATCAGGGGGCAGGTGTGACAAGGCAGGGGCAGGTATAGTATAGCTTGTTTTAGCAAACATCACACGTTATATGGTCTTTCACTGGATCCAGCTCTTTCTGAGTTTCTTAAAGAAATGTCAAATAGCTCCTTTCAGAACATTTGGACGAAAGCAAACTCCACCATTAAGAATCGTCTGTAGCTAGGTAAGACGTATGCCTTCAAAGCTGTGATTGGTTGATCCACACAAAGAGAAAGTACTCTCATAATGACCACTTCAGTTTAAATAAATTGGCCTTGTCGAGAATCGGAATATGATTGTGGTGTTTCATGGCTATTGTGATGAATGTCTCAGCTGAGTCAACTGTACTTACTTTACTTACCCATACTTTTAAAGTATGTGGCTAATACAATGTTCAGAAATAAACACCCACTGAGTGAGTAGAATTTCCCGCACTTGGACTATGTATTAAAACCAAGTTTATTTATATCCATCAAAGCATAGTTGCCAACAATTTAAAGCTTTTTCTATTGTAGCCATATCCTCATCCAGGATCAATAATTTGTGTGATCTGTACTTGCTCTGTACAGAAACATCCACTGCTAGATCACTATGAGACATTATTTTCAGTGAGACATCCCACCTTTTTAATGCTGTTGTTATAATTATTCTGAGCAGATTGTTGCTGCTGATGTTATTCTGCACTCTAAGCTTTTCTACATCATGTCACAGATGGAATTGCATGGATATGTTGCATTTGTTCAGCTTGAGTGGAGGAGTCTGGCACAACTTCATATACTTCCAAGGTGCACAGAGAAGGGAAAACAGTCAACAAAGGTCAAAATTCACTCAGCTCTTGAAGTAAAAGAGCAACTTTATGGATAGACCAATGTGTTTTTGCTTGAGGCCTTTATCGGGGTTGTAAGACATCAAATTAAATTCACACACAATTACAGCCTTGGAGAAACTTTCTTGATATAAATGTACCAAAAAAATACAAAAATTAACTTCAACTTACAAGATTTGAAAAAAATTGTGACGCTCCAATGAAGAGATGTTATCAAAATTTAGAGAAAGAAAGTATTAATATAAAGGGCATAATCCTAAAACAGGGGAATATACTCTTAATTGATCCAGCTTTGCAAAAGGCTTTTTAGAGTTCTATCCATGCCTACTTTTAAAAGAGGGACATAGTCTAGAAACACCACAAATACAACGTGGAGAACCGGCTGATTGTTTATGTGTCGGAGAACAGAGTGCTTTTGATAAAAAAAAAACACAAACATTACAAAGATAATGACCTGAAGGACAACTTGTGGAGACTCATAGCGTCGGATTTCTCATATGACGCTGGTTTGTGTGCTTTAACAGTTTTCTAAATGTCTTTGTTTTAACTTTCATCCGTGCTAAGTAACTTTAGCTCGTAAACTTGTAAGCTCAGATACAACATACCATATGTATTTTCACTGTCTTAAACTTAATCTCATTGCTGTCACAGCCCCATTGGGTCTCGGTTGTTACCTTACGTTTATGGATTATAGTTTAATGTGCTTATCTGGTACTGGCCCCAACTCAGTACATGCTATCATGACAGACAGTCATCTCAACACTAGTGTCTAATCAAAACTGAAAAACAGTCAGTCTGCTGTTAAGTCAGTCTTCTCGCTTCCACCCGAGACACATCTTTTTTCCCCCCGGAAAGTAGCGAAATCTGTTTTGTTAAATGATGCTCACCAAAGAGAAGATTCTTCACCCACTTCATGAAAAAATGGTAACCAACATTCAATGTTGAATACAGGCCAGATTTTAAGAAGTGTTGCACATGAAATAACTTTTGTCCTAGCAGCTGTTCGTTCATCAGACCTCAATCTTGTCCATTATTTGATGTATTATAGGCCACTGATTTGCATGACACCGCAACACAAAGGAAAACAAAAGAGAAAATACACCCACTGTGCGTTGCTCCAGTATTTAAGAGGATTTTGAGGGTGGGAATCCCCACACAAAGAGGGAGGGGGAGCGTATGCTTACATCAGGAACCATAATTCAGGCCAAATCAAGAGGAACTGGGACACAAATCTATGGCCCTGACATACACAGGGATGTGAAAGGAGTTTCTGGACTGGGAGGCCCAACATTAGGAAACTTAAGCGGGGTGACAAACAGTATGTCGACACACACTTGAATAAATAGCATTCTTTCCTTCTGCGCTTGTCAAATATACTGTAACCACTAACTTTAAAAAACAACACACTGGGGTGGTGACATGATAACCTTTTAAGTTCAAAACTTTAAGGTCTCTAAAGGATGCATGCCCAAAGTCACAATTTAAAAAAAAAATGCAGGTGCATATCTAATGATTGTATTTTTGATGATAATATGGTGTGCAAGAGCTTGCTCACCCTTTCTATCATGAAGCCATGGAAGCCATGAAGGACAGGAAACTCCTGTGATTTATGCCAAGTATGACTCTCTATTTGTCAAGTTTTTACCATCAAAAATATCTATTATTACAAATTCTCTTGTATGAGACAACCATTCCATTATTCTTCTCCCAACCAGTGTATTTTGGGTTATCACTCACTGCACAGAAAAATGCCTGTTACTTTTTCATCCACTTTATGTCACTACAGAAAAGAGTGTGAGGGGAACAGGACCTGCACTGTAGGGCTAATTTTATGTACTTTTTAAAAAACTATTTAACTAAATGAACACTGATTTAACACTTAGAACTCACTGGATCGCCGGCGATCTTACTTGACGGCATTAATATTGTTTACAGTTTCTCAGGAACTATAACGTGTATCTCTATGGGATGAAAGGTGTTCAAAAGCTGACCCTTTGGCGATCTATCAAACGTTTCCAGGCATTTCTACACCTCCCACAGGGTTTAAAATCCAGCCACAAAAATAGGTGTTTGATCGGAGACGTGGAGACGCCTGGAAGAATTAGTGTAAATATGTAAATTGTTTCTGTTGTGTGTTTGTTCCAATCCCAATATTTCTTCTCCTGATAACAAAGACTTGAGAGAATGATGTGCAGGTGAGGAAAGGCTTGGTCACTGTAGTTTCATGTGCTTTTTGAGCAAAGTATTGTTGGTATCAATTTCAGTTTTTGTTTTTTGGTTGACTTTGCTGGTTCTGAATCTACTGTCACATTTATATTCATAATTTTTGCACCCATCAACTGACAGCTGAGGTTTTCCTGAAAAAAAGATGTGTATATATTTGCTGTGCTTGAAAGGATAGAGTTGCTACATAGATTTTTACCAAATACTAATATTTTTACAAATTTTTACTAAATAAAAAACCAGGCGGACCAAAAATAGCTAAATTAAGCTGGGAGATCCAAGGGTTAAACACACTTACGCCAGTATATTCCTTTTACACCAAGTCCATTCATACTTAACATACAACCAACTGTACCTTTAAGTGCAAAGAAAAATACTTGCAGTCGGTTGCAAGACAGTCAAAATACCTTCTTGAGCATCACAACGCAAAGATAAGCAAATAACCAATCATAGTAGTGACCAATGGGATGTCAGGGGGGCCTAACCACCCCGGACTACTCATCTGGACTCGCCCCTGCCAATACAACACACTAAACCCATCCTCCAAATTGATTTAGTGTTGCATTGCTTGCAGGCGAAAATTGAATTTGAAACGACAGATGACTCAAGACTGACTCATACCCTTGCTCACTCTTTCATTCGGCACACGTCCAAAACATAACAACGACTCAATTTTGCCTTTCATTTGATATATCGCCAACTTTGAGGAATGGCGTGGCTTGCTGGCTGCATCACAAAATAAAGCAAGAGTAGAAACGCGTTCAGACGTCCAGTGAATCACCTCAGATAAACAATCTCACCAAGATGCTGCTTGAGGGTATGTGACCTATACTTGAGGAAGAGCCCCTGTTTGTTTCAATATCCTCTCCGTTAACGACATTTCTCTAAATCGCTTGACGTTATGAGCGCAATTTAGCGTGTGGTTTCCTCTCCACGGGAGAAAATGTCACAGTGAATGACAGGCTACAGAGCGCCGGGCCGCTGCTGGAGACTGATATCATAGGCTGTATCATCTAACGTTACACAGCAACAATGAGGGCGAACCTACCTGGGATAAAATAAGCTTCCGGTGGATCATCCTCCAACACTAACGACGAGGACGCGAGGACGTACACACCTAATAGTTTCCACAGAGCTCCATTTTGCAGGGAAAAGGCAGTAGGGACACAAATAAACAGCGCACCGAGCAATGGACCGACGAGGCACGCGCGACAGGATCCAGTCACATCCTTTCCTCTTTCCCTGGACCATTGTGAAGCCGGCGGTAATACAGCGAGCATTTCCGGGTAGCGCCACTGGGGTGCTTTAAATTCAGTAACCTGTGTCGAAATTTTATGCATTTTAGCAATAAAAAATGGATAAAAATTACACGAATTGGATTCGAAGAGTCACATTTAGCCTGTTTAAAAGAGGTCTCACTTCGGAAGCAATTAACATGACCTTGAGTTTGCTTTTATACAGCTGTTCCACTTCCTGTCATTATCAGGAAGAAGCTCGCGCTTGACAGCTCTGGGTACCAATCCTTTACAGCCAATCACAAAACGCGCTTTTTTTTCACTCGTGCGCTGCTTCTTCCTTGTCGAAATACGTGCTCTCCACTTACCAACACACGCATGACCGTGTATGTTACTCGCGCGCAGTCACTATCCTCTCTCTCTCTCTTTCCTGCCGTGGGTCCTTTTCCATCACAGAGCCTCAGCTGATAAGAGGCAACGCGGTGGATGAGAAAGTGTCAACCTACTGGGATGACAATTGTATTCCAAACAGACTGGCAGTGAAATTGCATCATGAAAAAACAAATTTTACAAATTTTACAAATTTACAGTCTTGTAGAAAAACAATTTAGTATCCCAGTGCTTATTTATCCATTTATAGCTGTTGGATTTTCCACAGGCTTAAGAAAGTGCATAATTTTGGGTGTTACCTGAAATAACTTGTGATTTTGTGAGTGAATTTATGGTCTAACGAAAGAATACTACAATAATTTTCCCCAGCATGGGTTCCCAACCTGGGGTCTGGGCCCCCCTAGTGGTCTTGGGAAGGGGTGCACGGCTTTGTCTGGCTTAAAATTGCCAAAATTGAATTTGACCTTCACAACACACTTCCTGTATGTGGATAAAACAGTGTAAAAAAATTCCTTTTTTCCCCTCATTATGTAAGAAAATTGACATTTTTGTATTTATTTATTTTAAATAATGCATCGCTTTTTTATGTGAGGGCTTTAGGGGCTCGGCTGCCTCAACTGTCACCTAACTCCAACACAAAACATGAAAATGATGACGAAACAGCTGTTGGTCAACATTTCATTTTCAAAACTCTATCAAGAAATCTCTTCAGCACCCAAAAAATTCACAGGGTTGTTATTTAAAGAAATGATGCAACATAATGGTGCACCATGGGTCAATTTATTTCAAACATATAATTGACAGTTAAGGTAAGCATTTATTGCATTTTTCATAAAACATGGTATTTTTTTTTACTACAACATTTATTTTATTTCTGCACTTTTTAAAAAATTAAAAAAATGATTTGAATGATTTGCAAACCATTTACTTCTTTTTATACCAACAATGTACAGTGTCTTAACTGGTTTGGAAGAGGGGGTTGTAATAAAATTATCCTAAAGAACAAGAATATTACCTCTTAACACTAAAAACAAACTGCAGATGAAACCTGATATCAGTGATTTAAAGCAATTAAAAAAAGGTTGGATACAACAATTCTGGATTTATTGTTGTCAATGAAATCCTTTACTTCATGGCATCAGAGCATTGGCTGTTCCTCTGGTGGCATCTGCTGGACAGAAGATAGTGGTGCCTCGGTACAGCATGACATCACTGGATATCTGGTCTGCCTCTGATACTGCAGGAATCACCAGTGTGTATGACCGTGCTTAAACTTGGATTACCAAGGAATTTTCTTTCGCAATGACATCTTTTGATGACTTTCTCTGTTTTGCAGCTGTAAAATCATTGCATGAGGGATCATCATGAAAGGACTCTGTTTAAAATCTCTGCCTGGGTTTGTGTGGGAGGGCAAGGAAGAGTGAGTAGAGGTGGTCATGGGAGAGAGGAAAATATTCCATATGAATGTAAATGAGTAACCAACATTTACATCTGTCTGGTTTGACTGTGCATGTAGTCCCGTGATATCTTCTGCCCCTCTGTCATCCCACCCACTCACATTATCTCCTATTCCCTTTCATTCCTCTTCGCTTCACTCCCTCACTCACTCACTGTCTTCCCCTATCCTTCTCCTCCTCAGGCTTACTCTGTCACCTCCTCCTGCCCCACCTCCTCTTCCCTTTTCCAGTTCTTAGTTTCATTTTCCCGTCTCTGTGTCAATTCCTCTCCATTAGGGTTGATTCATTGAAGTACAAGGAGCAACAGCTGCCTATTCATCTCCCTGCTGAGCAAGATGTGAGAGGGAGGAGGAGGTGGGGGAGGATTGCAGGGCTGCTTTTTTTCATGATGTCCTGTAACCACACAATCATGCCTACAGCTGCGATTGCGTGACTCAATTTGGATTTGACAGAGATAAAGACAGTCAGATGATTGGGAGGTTGGACTTTCCAAGCACTGCAATAAATCATCTCAACACTTGCAAGTCGAATCCTATCAAACAACTCCTAAATAGTCGCAAAACCATCAAAAGTCCAAGTAAAGCATCAGAAACAGGCACTGAATCAAATAATTTGACATCAGCACTGCTCATTTTAAAACAGCTCATTGATATAGTGCAATTTGTTTAGGGGGTATTTTTGACATCGACATTATATGGACAATAAACCAGTAATAGCATCTAAATTTTAATATCAAATGCAACAAAAAAAGTGTTTTGGGTAGAAGAGCTTTAGGTTATTAGGTCCCCTCCTCTGGAATCATCCACCAGTCGAGGTTTGTGGAGCAGACACCCTCTTTACCTTTATGGGTAGGCTTAAAATGTTCATTTTGATAAAGCTTACAGTTAGAGCTGGTTCAGGTTTGGGCCAGCTCTCAGTAATGCAGCCATAGGTTGAGACTCCTGGGGGTACTGGCACATTGAGCACCTTTCCCTCCTTCTCCATCCTCTTTCTGTCTGTGTCATTAACTTTGAATCATCATGTCCCATTAGAGTCACTAACACACTTTTCTGATAGTCCCTGTGCTCCATCATGTAATAGGTTCCTCTAGATCTGGATTTGCTGCTGTGGACCTGCCTGCCTTTCAGCTGTTTCAACTGCATGCATCAATCTTAACTTTGTCCATCTCTCTCTTTATGCATATTCCACCATCTCCCAGTGTAGTAGTGGCAGATGACTGTATAACATGAGTCTGGTTCTTCTCAAGGTTTCTGCCTTTTCAAATGAAGAGTTTCCTCTATACTGTAAATTGCTAAATGCTACAGAAAGCTACTCTCATATAATTGAAGATGGGATGGGAGTGGGTCTGATCTTACAAGATGGGGCTCAGTCTGATCCCATATTCACATTGGATTGTTGTAAACAGAGTCTGATCTAGAGCAGGTTTATTTGTTAAGCGTCTTGAGATAACACTTGTTGTAAATTGGTGCTACATAGATCAAGATTGATTGATTGATTGATTGATTGATTGATTGATTGATTGATTGATTGATTGATTGATTGATTGATTGATTGATTGATTGATTGATTGATTGATTGATTGATTGATTGATTGATTGATTGATTGATTGATTGATTGATTGGAACACATGCTCGGCTGTCCTCTGGGCCCCTCGTACATAAGGACTTGAGATTGTAAATTATGAACAAGTTTGATATTTATGATTCCAGGATGCTGATCGTCTTCCACACAGATCAGGGGCCAGAAAAATCACATTACATTGCAGGATAATCTGACAAGGTAATCTTTAACCCTTGATTTATTGACCCTTGCTGACTTTCACCAAGATAGTACTGTGACAGGGCACCCCAGTACCCCCCCAACCCTAACCCTAACCCTTACCCCCCTCTTCCTCTTCGTGTATTTTGATGCACACCCACTTGCCATTGAGAAGAGTAACATCAATACCTGCCTTCATGTCAGAGACCCAAACCTCAGTAAAAGTTGCTAGATTTGTCGCCAGGCGCGTTTTAAAAAATAAGTAGCTTGAGGAGTAGGAAAAGCTGCTAAATCTAGTGACAAAGTAGCTAGGTTTGCAACACTACCCAGAACTTCACTTTCATGTACTTTTTGTGTTTTTCTTTGGTTTTAGAGGGAAAAGTATACCGGAGTCAAATTTGTTGTATGTGTACACATTCTTGGCCAATAAAGGTTGTTCCATTATCCTGTTGTGTGTCCAAGGCTTTAGAGTGCAACATAGTTATCACTCATCCATGTAAGATGTTTAATACAGAGGCCAAGTTTGTTTGTGATTGAGAGGAATAAATATTTGGTGTACCCCCTTTCCTACAACATGCCTCACACCTACACTGGATGAGCTGTTTCTAAAGAGCATCGGTTCTTCCATTTTTTGTGCCCTTTTTAAGTAATGTGATCCCAGAATCCAACAAAAAAGACCAAATACTTCAACCTGCATTGGGAATAAGCCTTTAAAAAACTGCAGCTACTCTTCTGTTTGATTTTAATATGAACAGATTTATTTAAAAGGATCAGAGATTATCCTGTCCCCATATGTGTGCAGTGCTCACGCTGTAAAAATTGTGACAACGCGTATCATTGCCTTCATTGACAGTTAAATATAATGACATCTTAATTAATAAAAGCCTGATTAAGTCGCGGTGAGGTGAAAAAAGCCCCCAGTGTAAAGTTTGTGGAGGTGTTTTGGGTTTAATTACAGTACTGACATTAATTTGACTGCTGTTACAGCAGCCAGATTCCAGTCTGTTTACCTTTAAATTGACACTAACGTCTGTAAATTCTGCTCTGGGCTGGTGATGCAAAGCACTGTGAAGTGTAATTAAAAAGTGTTCTCTGTTCCTTATTAGAGAGCCAGTTCTCCGGAGATTTAGTGTAACCATCAAGGGGTACTCGGGGATAGACCTGAACCAAGAACTGACGAAAAATGTGGGCTTTTAGAGCAAAACTTTTGATTTATTTCTAGGAGTTTGAAAGAGTTCAAAGCTTTGTGCTCTCCTGAAGAAAGAAGTTTACCTTCAGCCGAAGTCAAAGTTTCACATCAACAAAAGCCTTTCTTTGAATTAGGGATAAACATGTGAACAAATGTGAAGTTTAGGAGCAATCACAGGTGCTTAATGGTGTTATTAA